GAACTAATCTGATTGATGGCATTTCGCCGGGTATATCGTTTCATTGCCGGGTGAAAGCGTGTCACACTGAGCCTGGTATGTACATCATGAAACTAACAAGCCCTGTCAAGTGAACTATACCCCGCACAATTCGCGGGGTATCCCGTCTCTAAAAGCGGGGTTCGTCCAAGCATCCATGCCAAGAAGGGGCTTATCTATCTGAGGACTCTTTACAGTGGGAGGAAATTAATATGCACCCCCCCTCAGAAAGAGTTCAGCACTTTCCCTAATCAAGTCTAGCCTATGGCTATTCTGCCAGCTTCTTCCCATATATTTTAGGCGGTGTGTGAGCGCTTCAAGAAGGCGGTATCACTAGAACCAAACATTGGGGGAGAGGGGGGGGGTGCAAATTAATTTCCTGCGACTGTACCAAGGTCGCGCGGGTGGAGATACCCCGAGATTCATGGGGCTACAGGCTGGGCACCTCTTGCTTATTCTATCCCTAATAGGATTTCCAAAATCCTTGTTCATGGATACGGAGGACTGATGTACCTGTAACATAGATGTTATTGCTCCGGGTGCGAAAAGACCAATGCTCTCACCTCGACGCTGACCCTAGGACACGATGTCTCTGGGGCATTTCCGGGAACAAATGATGTATGAGGGGCATCTGCAATGAGCCTTATTAGCCAAAAGTCTATTGCACGGCCTCTTCTGCCCGGGCAACTCCGAAGGGTCTAATCGATAGCGGGAAGACCGACAATCCGCATGGTGTGTCACTTACACTTCACGCTATTCTCGTTAGAGTCAAACCCCTTGAAAAGCAGCACATCCTCGACATCCTGTCCACTCATAAAATACCATTGAGAGGATCCACTTGGATCATACTGTGGATAGAGCAGAGTGCCATTGTAATTTCCCAGTATCATATCCGTTTCAATTACCTTCGATGGATCTAGGGTACGCCCATCACACACAGCAAGCGGGTGGTCGTGGATCGGTCCACTGATTGGTCGCCACAGGCTAATTCTCACCAGTTAGGGCTCGACGCTCGGAGGGGGGAACGACAAGGCTAGAATTTCTGTACGGGCAACCTTGGTACTTACTTGATCAATCGAACCCGTCCAGCAAGAAGATGGTGTGATTCTTCAGGAAGATGATTTCGGATCCGTTCCATCATCGGGGTTCCAATCTTGTCCCGCGTAAGAAGCGTGTCTTTAATATTGTCAGCAGTGTTCTTGCTGGCTCAACACCTTCGCACCGTCTACATAGTGGTCACCCTACCGATATGAACCTGCTTGGCGAAACTCTGCAAATTAGGGTTCCTCGTCCGTCGCTCCTTCGCGCTTTTCTTCTTTCTGATCTACACAAATTATAAATTTAGTGTTCGGTACATGTTCACATTCTGCGGTACTCACTTTCCAATCGAAAATCATCACCTCATCAGCTCCCTGAACCTCCCTTTTTAGAATGGCCTCGCATTCGGGCAGAAAAAGACTTCGAACTTTGAGGGAATCCGAATAATCCCAAGGCTTCGTCAGAGCCGGTGGGGGGCATTGTAGATAGACAAAACCATTGATGTCAAGATGAAATGAATCTTGCGCCAATCCCCGAATGTCTCTTATGGTTTCGGCGTGATCTGCCTCGTGGAAGACTAAGTTAGTCGTTTTATCACGTTCCTTTTGCCGCCGCCGTCGAGTGACGAATTGACCGATTCGATAGGGGCGAATATGAGCATAGCTGGGCTGCCATTGGAGGTAGGTCAACTTTGCTTGCACATCTGCTGCCATGTTGTATCTTTCGCGCTAATCGGAATTGGGAGCAAACTTCTGGGTGGAGGAACTAAAGATAGTGCAATTTAATACAGCAAGTGTGCAGGTCAGGGCGTGGAGGGGGACTTATTATCATACATCCAGACGACTAAGAGTGTCACGCAACTCGAGTCAGTCATGAAATTGAGTGAGTCATTCCTTGTGTGAGCTTGATCTAGGGAGCTACGCTAAGCCTAGCAGTACACCTAGGAACTTGAAGTACAGTAGGGTAAGACACACTATTTGGACGATGACCAAGGTTCTCGAAGGCCTCGCCCTAGTCCTTTTTGAGGGTGTATCCGCGTCCGATTGAGCATCTTTAGTACTAAGCAGTACTGTACACCACTTCTCTTTTTCGGGGTCTATATGCACGATTGCTGAGGTTTTGACGAACATTGACTATCCCCATCGTAATTTACGAAGGTACCAACATTAAGATACAAAGCCACTGATACCAAGGGACGCGAATTAGCGCGATTTGCTCAATATCGATTCATCAGCACTAAGGCCTTGGCATGGAATCGAGAACAAGCTACTGGATGTACATTGGTCAGGCGCTGCTTTCTAAGAGAATTTCGGCCTAGACCCTGAGTCACAAAATCTTGACTAAGTCTAACTTATGGAATGTGCTTTGCATGACCACATTTACCAGATGCGAATATCCCGCGATCGACGGAGTCGAGACAACATACCCTCGGAGGGTTGTGAGCTACCGTAGATAGACTGGGAGAGTACAGAGAATACCACATCCGATATTATCAGGTATCGCAGGCTTTTCTGTTCGAAAGCTGACAGCGGCGTCACCGATGCAGCAAAATTGTGATGCGAACATCGGGCATTGCTCATGCGACCCGGACTCACGCTAGATGACATGGCATGCGGCCTCTAACCGACTTGGGAAACCGATCAGGGATCTGGGTTCATGCGTGATATCAGCGCTAAAGCCCAATTAGGGCGAGTGATTCGACTTATATGCGCCAGCCCTGCACCTCATAGCCAATGGAGACTCATGGTGGAGCAATTGGGAGTTCGCACTCATGGCTTTTAGCTCCTGAGATTGCCGCGCGGGGTAGCAGTGGGTTTGCTGGAGCGCTCAGCAAGGATCCTTCACTCCTCAAGGGCAACTCTCTTGTGCAAGAAGTCAGTTGAACTGACACGCGCTGCGACAAAATTCGAGATGTCAGCGAGAGAAGGTAATCAGGACCCCGGGTTACGGGCGTATCTCGCGACTCTCGAGGCGAGTTCCAGGACACATCCTCGTTACAACTGGCTAAAAGGCTACTTCCAACAAGACCCCGAGTTCGAAAAGGAAAGATTGTATCCGTTTGTGCCTGGACGAACGCGTACGATTGTGGCGAACTTCTTTGAACCACCTATACCACCCACTATTTCGTGTCCCGCAACTCTGGAGGAGCTCGACCAGACTCTTTCTACCAGATCGTCAGAAGCTGCGGTGCGACTCATCTTCGTGACTGCCATAAGTGGCGTTGATGAACAGGTTCGAATTGCGGTAGGTGTCTTCAATCCAAGAAACGAAGAATGATTCATGCTCGATCCGAGCTGACGCGAGCACGAAATGCACAGCAATTGTTGGGAACCGCTAGGGGTCGTAATTTGCGGGAAAGACTCAGTTCAGATGAGCTCGCACCTGTCGTGACCAGGGCGCGCACTGCCGGGGACTCAACGACTCTTCTGCATCCGTTCCATGGCCATAGCTCTTATTTACCGGATCCCAAGGTCTTGAGCCGCATTGCAGCAGCGACGAAGGTCGAGCCGGGGATATTGCTCCGGCACCTGGATCAGCAGGAGCACTTGGTCTACAGGTCCCATACATGGACGAGACATGAAACGCAAGCTGATGAGAATACCGGAAGGTGGCTGGATTTCAGTCTTGGAGTGGATCAACAAAACTTCATCACGGCGGCAATGCTCACCAAGACGTTAGGTCATCTGAGAGGGACGAATAAATACCGGCATACCTGTCAGTACTAGTAATAAAGCATTTGAAAGCAAAGTCACGCCCTGCTGACAAGCACTGCCATAGTACTCATGCTAGCGACTGAGGATAATTGCCTTGGTATCGACTTCAATAAATTCGCTTCAGCGCTTGACCAACCGGCTGTGTCCTATGATGGCACGCCCCACCAGGCATTCGAAGCTATACTTCGATTCATGAGTGAGGAGAAACTGAGGAGTATTCTGGTCAATCCCCTAGGCTTGGTCTGGGATTATACTGCTGGCTTGTCGAAAGCATTTGCTTGCCAAGTAGAGCTTTACCGCCGCAAATGGATTTGTCTGTACGAACCATACGCCAACACTTCGGCCGTGTACGGGGATGCAGAGAGCCGAGACCATGTTCGCAAAGAGGCAAAGCTATTGTCGAGGCATCTTCAATACCTGCACCAGTCGTTGTCGAATCTAAGGCAGATCATGGCTGGAACTCAGAGAAACTCGCGCCCAGGCATCAAAATTGAGACAAACGAAACCGTCCGTGCATTTAAGGACGTATCCAGACTGCTCGAACCTCTCAAGTCGGCGTATGACAATTTCATTGAACAACAGGTTAGCAAGATCTCTCTGCACGAAACAAGGCAATCCATGACCGAGGCCCGCGATCTCCAGCGTCTGTCTTATCTTGGGTTTGTGTTCGCACCACTGAGCCTTGCAAGCTCTTTCTTTTCCATCAATATCCGACCACTTGGAGGGCAGGCTTCGCTCTGGTCATTCGTCGTCACCTCCATGTCTACCTTGTGTCTATCAATTCTGGTCTTGTTGTCCTTGAACAGCCGAATTCACCAGAAGGTGTTTCGAAGCAGTCAAAGTGGGCAGCCGAGATTTGTATCAGGCCATGCACGAAGCAAGGAGCCAGGTCTCCCAGAGACCAAGACCATGCATCCATCTCCAAATCTGCAGAAACAGGACATTGAGACTGGCCAGCCTTTGTCTGAACTTGTGAGCCATATGACGGGGCAGACTGCAGCCCCGTCGCAGCTTGCTGCCGGGGTAGAGCCCTCCAGTGCATGGGCACCGGCACGAAAGCCAGCTAGAATCCCTCCGAACGACAGTGAAAGATCGTGGGAGTGGGAAAGGCTATGGGGTCGGGAAAACCAAATCACAGTTCCTCACGCACCACCTGTCCGCATAGAATATGCCGATCCCCCCTACAGAGGCACCATATCTAATGTTATCACGGCCGTCTCGGCCCAACGACCTTCAAGCCAGCTGGAACGATTGGTGTACACAATGCCGCCGCCGCCAAACATCTCGCTATCTGTGTCATCCAACGCATCAAAATCAAGTTGTACCTCTAAACGGACTGAAAAATCTCTGCAGCCGGTGAACAGTAATGAATATATCCCTAAGGCTAAGCGTGCTCTCTCTAGTGAAGGGGGAAGCATTACAAATGATCGAGTCTTGGATATGACTCCTTGTACTGTCGTCAAATCAACTCCGCAGGTTATATCTTTGGCCTCGAAAAGCTCAACGAGCAACCGGAGTAATGACAACGCGGTACTCCGGAAGATGGAGGATGGGCCAGTGGAAATTGGTGATACCGAGCAGAATCAAGAGAATCCCGATACTAGCACTTTTGCTTTCGGTATGGCTCAGATGTGGAAATCCTCCCACCCCGATGACGGAAGAAAATGGTGGCCAGGCGATGAGGAAGTCTCCATGTTTATCATGCTGAAGAGACTGTGTGAGGAGAGAGATGCAGCCGAGATCAAGCGAACTGTATCTCTTAGGCCATGGTGGAGGTCTAACTTGAAATTCGACATCATTTACGGCCTGGCTCTTGTGGAAGCAGCATGCCACTTGTTAATAGATGCCTTGCCGGTTTTTTACAGCGCCATTAAAAACCGAAAGATTCGCATCGAATGCCTGGCCACCGCGCTAGGCATGACTATTGGCGACAGTGAAGGTCATCTCGCAACATTGCAGTGGTTGGGAATCAGAGGCGTCCGACTAAATATTTGGTATGAAAAGTTCCTCCTTGAACATCATCTTTTGAGTAGGGCCAGCATAGATGACTGCCCAGAGGCCGCACGACTTCTTCTCGACTTGGATGCAAATCCGAACAGTACAACAGCGGAAGATGGCGGAGATATAAAGTCCGAACCTCTTCAATGTGCAGCAATGGCGGGTCATTTGAGCGTCTTAAACGTTCTCCTCGAAGCTGGGGCATATGCCAACGATCCAGCGGCCATGCATATTGCCGCAAGCCATGGCCATCTTCATATAATCAAAGCCTTGGTCACAGCGGGAGCGAACGTTTCTGACCCAACCAGCGTCTATGATGATGCCTTCTGCGCTGCAGCAGAAGAAGGCCACTGGGACGTGTTGACATATATGTTGGAGCTCCAAGTTCCACTCAATCATTATTTTCCCTCACGGAAGAACCGACACGGTGACGTGATTCCGGGCACGACACGGGGAGAGGAGGCTATGAATAGGGTTGCAAAGAGCACTAAGGCTTCGACTGAAGTCATGTGCCTCGAGCTGTTGAATAAAGGCGTCGATCCGGAATTCACTAGTTACAATGATCAAAGGCGGCCTCAGCTAACTGCTAGCATTGCTTACATTTATGCAGCCCTAGCAGGTAGGGTGGAACTCCTCCGGCACATCATGGTGACTGGCACGGACCCAAACCCAATTGCTGCGGAGTTAAACCTTTATTTTCATGACCATTTGCCCGCAATGAGCAACGGTATGAGCATATCAGATATTTTTCGCAGCAGCATGCTTGCATTGGCCTGTGGTGCAGGACGTACCGAAGCTGCTGCTATGCTGCTGCAACACGGTGCAAATGTAAACTACGGCGGCGAAGCAGAAGAGGGCCCCCCGAGGCAAACACCTTTGCATCTCGCGGCAAAGTACGGCCACGTTGAGGTAGTCGATCTGCTACTGGCTAACGGGGCTGATATTCACGCGCGTGCGACCTCGGAAGGGATCACCCCCATACACGCTGCTGCCAGCGCTGGAAGTATTAATTGCGTCCGCCGTCTTCTAGAACGCGGGGACTCTCTCGAAGCTCGCGACAACCAGGGCCAGACACCGCTTATCATTGCAGCAAGGGGGGGCGAACAGAGTAGGGTTGAGCAGCTTTTAGATCAAGGAGCCGTGATCTCAGCGACAGATGCCGAGGGGTGGACAGCTGCACATCGAGCGGCTTGGAATGGGCATAAGCTGGTATTGAAGCTGCTTGAAGATAGAGGCGCTGATCTCGAGGCAACGACAAATGACGGCTTCACAATCAATGATTTGCTTCAGCATCATGCGCAAGGTGAGGCACTCATTGACTCTGCGTCAGAATAATGAAAGTGATGGAGGCACGAAGAGGAATCGATTCCGGCTAACTAGGTGAGGCTATATCATACGTGGCCGAACCACCGGGGAAGGCGGTGAGCAAGGACCATTGAGGCTTGAGGCTCTCACAGAAAGTGATATGGGACCATTTGTGTTGCATTGCTAGGCGTAATCATAGCTGCAGTGTTATAGCTGCAGTCTTATATATCGGCCAAGGTAGATGATGAATCTAGATATCATGCATAGAATCATAGTTATTCCAGCGATACACCCTCCTCCACATTATCTGTCTCTTCATCACGTCATAAAGCCATAATATGAAACCCGGCAAGACATTCTAAACACTACTCTCTGCCGAACCACACATCTCGACTTCCTGAATTTCCAGCAACGACTCAAACAGCAACGCGTCGTGCTCTTTGATCATACCCTGTCCGATAGATCTCCGCATCTCTCTCACGTCTCCCCTTGGACTCAGAAAACGCCAGAGCCTCGACAAGCAGCTCCGTCGGCGACCGTGTCGGCTTGAGATCTAGCAACACACCCATCAGCACAATCACAGCCCCAACAATCACTATAACCGCCCCAATCTTGCTAGTGATTGAGTCAAGTCCAAACGCCCAGACCTGGATCGAAGCCCAAGAGGGCAAGTGTGTGGCATAGGGGTGCCCCTGCCGTTCCTCCGACGCTGTCGCGTTGTAGGTGGTATACCCCGCCAACGAGAGGGCATGCAGCATCGAGTTCAAGTGCATCACATTCCAGATAACCACGGACATAACGTTGGTTTCATCCTGATAAGCCGCGAGCATCGCGCTGGCGGCGGTGCAGGTGGCGGGCACAGTGCCGTTGACCTTGTCCACCGACCATGGGGCCAGAAGCCAGTCCGCGTGGACAGGCAGGGTGCTGAAGGAGGTACCGCGCGTGGACGTGTCGTTCAAGACCTCTGCCTGCACCATGTTGATAATGTCCTCGAGGGGGGATGTGTCGAGCGTGTAGGTGGCGTAGGTGAGGGTGACGGCGCCGGTGCACCGGGTCACTTGCGTATTAGGCCAGGATTACAATATAATGCCAAAGCGAATAATCCTGTTAGCTGCCCTGAGTTTCCATTTCCTGACTTGCGGTACCACTTTGAGTTCTACGTCTCTTCAATGTTGGGAAGAATATCAGCAGAAGCGGAGTCGGACGATGAAAATGCGGATGATTTGACATATGGGTACAGATCAAGCATTCGCTGCGGTTGTCTTTTCAGGACAACCTCTTCTTCTTACTTGTTCATGGTATTTCTGTCAAGGGTTCTGGGAGCTAATCGATCGTTTCTACGTTCTTGGTGAGGACTTGTGTACGTCAGCATACCTGTAATCCATATACAGATACATCAAGATCTAGTATCTGTAAGGGCTAGGTTTAGCATAAACAATTCTAGATCTAATATATACGAGAATCTGCCACTATATACACCGCATCCCGAAAATCCAAATGTCAAGGCTCACTCTCAAAACAACTTCTTCACCGACCGGAGGTAAACCAACAAATACACAACCGAGTAGTTGAACACAACGTAGGCCAAGAAAATTCCAAAATACGGCCAGATATACGATGAATCGAGACCGATCTGCGAGAGGTACTGTTCCAGTTCCAGTTAGCACGGCCATTCTTGAAACCCTTCCTTAGAGGGGAGGCTCACCTCATCTCCAGAGCTATAATCGCAGTACCCGCAGATATCATAGTCGTTTGGATTCGACAGATACCCCACGCCCTTCTCCGCAAGCCACGGCCCGGCATACTCGCCGCAGGTCATGTTCGCGGGGCTACGGAAGAAGCTCAGTTCATCCTGCTCGCAGATGACGGGCGCGCCGCGCAGGACGGAGGTCAGAACGCCGCCGATCCAGTAGGTGAAGGGGGTGAGGTAGTACATCGTGTACTTCCAGAAGGCGGGCATCTTGTCGTGCGGTTGGATGATGCCGTTGAACAGCTCGCACATGGTGATGAAGAATGGCATCAGGGTAGCGGCGATGGTTGCGTCAGCACTTGAGGCACTATGTTAGTATATCTTCCAAGTTGGACGGAAAGCTGACTCACCTGAGCGCGGCGATCCACTGTCCCCACGACGTCGCGAAGAGGAAGAACAGGAAGAACATGAGAAAACTGTACCCGGCCGCAAACCCGTACGGAAGCCCGGCAGTGAAGTAGCAGATGAGGTAGAACATCACGCCGGACCCGATTGCCAGCGGCATCTCGCAGAGAATCTGGGTCGTACAGAATGCAACCCACCCGTACATGCCGCTGGGACCCTCGCGAGCCAGCCAGATGTCTCGGTTCAAGACGAAGCGCATGGAGATAGCGTTGATAAACTCGGGGACAAGCATCAGACACAGGAAGCAGAGGAAAGCTTTGGACTCCAGGTCCGTGGCGCTATTACCGAGCTGGTAGAATGTTAGGCCGTCGAGGAGGGCGTGGGCGAAGGAGGCGTAGAGTCGCGAGTAGGGGTATTCGGGGCTGCGCCAGTACTGTCGCAGCGTTCGGGCGGACAGCAGCTTCACCTGGCGATAGAAGGATGGGGAGGAAGGCTTGTGGACGCTGGCTGGATCAGTCGCGTTGTCCTGCCCGCGGATGGCCTGGATCTCAGCCCTAACCGCCGCGAACTCGCTGGACTGGTTCCACACGTCGACCCAATTCACACTCTTCTCTGCATCTTTCATACCACTCACGGCAATCTCAATGAGGTAATCTGCTGCATTTGTGACATTCTCGGGCTTGTGACCGTGCTTTCCGAAGTAGTCAAAGATAGCACGGCCTGAAGCTCCGACTTCACCAAAGTAGTACGTGTTGCCACCGGGGCTGAGTGCCAGGACTCGATCGAACTAAGCATGTCAGTATCATTTCCCTGCTCAACCGGGCAGGAGACTTACCTCCTCAAACTGTTCCTGATTAGCCTGGTGGATCGTGCAAAGGACAGCCAAGCCCTGATCAGCCAGCTTTCTCAACAACGCCACGATGCTTGAAGCACCTTGGCTGTCAAGACCACTCGTCGGCTCATCCAGAAACAAGACCAATTCGGGCTTCCCACAAAGCTCCACACCGATCGTGACGCGCTTCTTCTTTTCGATGTCCAGACAGCCGATCACAGCGTCTTGCAAGTCAACCAGGTCGAGCGTAGCCAGAACAACGTTGACGTAGGCCAGTTTCTCCGCATCAGGAACGTTCTGGTTCTGTCTAAGCAGTGCCGAAAACTCAAATGCTTCGCGAATGGTGCTGCTCTCGTCATGAATGTCCATTTGCTGACAATAGCCAATACGGCGATTATACGACCCATCGGTGGGACGTCCGTCCACGAACATCGTGCCGGTCAAATCACCCGAGCTCTGGCGTTGTGTAAGAGCAGTCAACACTATATCTCGTCAGCGCACAGCCCATCCCCAGTGATTGCAGTAGTTGCAGATCCAACTTACAGGTCGACTTTCCCGCGCCAGACGAACCAACCAAGGCCGTCAAGCTCCCCGGTTTGCAGTACCCAGACACCTTGTTCAGCAACCTCCGGGACTCCTTTCCGATCTGCACATGCAGCTCGAGGTTCTCCCACGTGAACGTCGACTTACAGGCAAGGACTGCTGCCTGCTCGTGTGCTTGATCCGGATTTGGAAGTCCGCGAGCAGCAGGCACACCCTTTACATCCACTTGCACTGCACCTCCTTCCTCGTCCCGAACCATCTGGTTTCTTCGGAGCTTCTTCTGCGAACTCTTGTACTGGATCGGACCTGCGCTGGAAGACTCCCACTCCTTGATCTCAGAGACCCAGCACGTTGCAGCCATGTAGACCACGGTGAAGAGGCACAGAATGCCGAAATTGCGCCAGACGTTCTTGTAGTAGAAGCCAAAGTGCGATTCCATGTAGTCGTCGCCGCGGATGATGGTCGTACCGATGCGACTTCCGTAGTATCCGCAGGTCTGGTAGGCGGGATCAGTGTAACTGGGGCCAGAGGGCACAATTGAGCCAGGAGAGCAGGCGAAGTCAGTGTTGTGGAATTCGGCAGCCATCATCGCCTCGAATGTGTAGATTACCGGTGTGGTATACTGGTTGACAAGTCAGTGCAATTCCAATAACTGGAAGGTTGCAGGGCCGCTTACGGCAATCCACCCTACCCAAGGGACAAGATTGATGAGCCTCTCTCGCGAGATGACATATCCACCAAGAACAATACACGTCAAAACAGAAATACCAGTATAACGAAGGGCAACCTCGAACGTCCTCGAGAATGCAGCAAAGAGTCTGAATTGGGCTGTCAGAGCGAGCGCGCAGAGGAGGATGAACAAGTAGTCTATGAAAAATGATCCAGCCTAGTGTATGGTTAGCATCCTCTACAGATAAGGCGGGGATGGGCTGGACGTACGTTAGACTTCAGTCCAGAAAGGAAGTAAACCACGACCTGGAACAGAGCACTGATGGTGGACAGAAGCACGATGTCAGATAACATACGTGCCAGACACACGGCGCTGGGGCGAACGAAAGCAAACTTCTTCTGACGACTGAGAATGTCGCGTCCCTGCATTGCCTCTTCCAGCTCGGACATCTGCAGCCAGGCCAGCATGAGCGAAGAGTAGAAGACCACACCACCACGCGAGTAGAGTCCCTCAGATGTTTGAGGCATGTCGTAGAACAGCGACCCAATCAGCAAGCCATACACCACGGCGGACATTAGCTTGATGTAAATCGGCCCCATGTGGTTTTTGGTCTGCCACACCTGGCGCCGAGCGCAGAGCACGATCTGCCGGAAGAGAGAGACGGTGTAGGGGGACTTGGGCGAGACGAAGCGCGACTTCTCCGTCTGCACGGCCTTTTTAAACTCCTCCAGGCTTCCAGTGTCCGTGTCGTCTGACGATACCTGGCTACTCCTGCCACCTAAGCGCTGATCCTCGTAGGCCTGCATGTCCCGTTCCACGGCTTCATATGCACTGCTGGCACGGAACGCCCTCTCCAATTCCTCCGCTCCCTTCGGCGCACGGCTCTCCCAACCCGGCTTGAACCGTCGTCGTTCGGGGATGGGGACGCTCGTGAGGAAGTCAGACACCGTTTGCATGTCCGCACACTCGTAGCCAAGGTCCTCAAAGTAGCGCTTTGCATCGCGCGCCGGACCCTGGTAGAGCATGCGGCCCTCGTCGATGAGCAGGACCTTGTCGACCAGGTCGTAGATGGCGTCCGAGGCCTGGTACAGCGTCATCAGGGTGGCCTTGCCGCACGTATCGGTCATGATGCGGAGACTGCGTGCGTAGTCCAGCGCCGACAAGGCGTCCAACCCCCTAGTCGAGTTATCCCAGCACATCACGGCGGAGTCGGTGGCGAGCGACTCGATGATGGAGATACGTTTGCGCTCACCACCGGATACACCCCGAATGAACTCGTTTCCAACCAGAGTATCCATCGTGTGAGACATGGCGAAGACGCGACCGTAGATCTCGAGGTAGCGGGGGATGCGGTCGCGGTAGCGCTTGGGCGTCTTGCACTGCAACGCGAACTCTAGTGTTTGACGGACGTTGAGGGTGGGAAAGTGCACGTCGTCCTCCGGGGAGTAGGCGACCTGGCCACGGTAGTGAGTCTTGACTTCCTTCAGGCTCAGGCCAGAGTAGTCGATGGATCCGGTCACTCCGAGGTACGACGCATGGTCGCCGGCGATAGTTTTCAAGAAGGTCGAGCATCCTGCTCCGGGTCGTCCTAGAACACTATGAGAGCAAATTGACTGGTTAATGCGGTTGCTAGCATGCTGGGCTTCTGCTTCGAACTTACAGCATCATCTCACTGCTCCGCACCACACCCGAGAAATCACGGATCAACTGTCGCCCATCTTCGGGCTTCTTCTTCGACACCCACGGCTTGATCGTCCACTCGTAGACATCCTGCAGCGTCAAAGTGCGCCACAGAGCCGTCCCGAGGGTCTTGACCTTTACATGTTCTTCTCCATCACCCCACGTGGACAGGGACTGGAAGCAAACCCCAAGGTTGGACTTCATCTTCCCAGCCCGCACCTCCTCGTCCAAGAATTTATCAAAGGAAGAATGTGGCTCCGCATATTCGCGCGCATCCTGCCGTCTCGGTGCAGTCAGCGTGCGATGGATCTCTGCCAGCTCATCCTCATCCTCCCGCGACAGAAACACATGCGAAGATGGTGCCCCGTCATCATGATCCCTCGGCCCCTCCGGGGAGGCGGCAGAGGAATGCAAGTGTGGAACAGGGTGGGGAGGCATGCTTCATTAAACGCAAGCCCATCAGCAAAGAAGGAAAAAAGAGTCCAGGAGGTCTGATCTGAATACCCTTGATCAAAGAAACCCAGCGACGAGCACGCGATATTTAAGCCCAAGGTGCTGGTGACCGTGTGGATCGGAGGCCGCGGGGTAGTTAGTAGTTTACATACACGGGCCACTGCCCCCGGAACCACCAAAAAGGAAGCCAAGATACAGTTGGTCTAGGCGCCTGCCGTGAGATGATCGAAGAGGCTAATTTTATTGAGTAATGATTACGGTTTTGCGTTTGCAGCCCTAGACGCGGGGAGGGGAATCCTTGGGTTCTCAAGAACTTTAATGTCAATGATCCGCTTGTTGGCAAGCTGAACGACTGGCGAGAACCAGGGAACTGCCGCATTCTTGCGTCTAGAATTTCACTTTCTCGAATAGCCGATCGCTTTGATAGGTGCACTGGCGCTGAGCGGAGAATGCTAGCGAGGTTGGCGTCTATCAGGAATGGAGACTGCCAATTTCCAGCGATCTTTTTGCCGCATTAGGCAGCTCGGGGGAGAAGCAGGGGACCCACCAAGTACTTATCCAATAATCCAAGGGGTGGATGTCCCTAGCAGTAGCTGATGCCCTTGCGAACAGGGTAGGGTGATCCCAGAATACGATTGACTCGTAACTACAAAGATGAGCGCGCTGCATATCAGTCATTGCAGCGGTGCTGTTGGAACTTGGCGTGGAATGTGCTCATGAGTCAGGGCAAATATACATCTCGGGGTCCGCGGACTCCGTCTTCCGGCTTGCCGTCGCCGGAGTCAGAGGAGTGTGTACTATAGTTGACAATCACTATCATCTGCCCCAATTGACCAGAACAAATAACAGTCCGAGATTGACAGTCATGATACGTATTCCTCCTCTGCCCCCTTACCAAAGCTTGGTTGGTTCCGACCAGTATTTTCCGACTCGACAGTGCAGCGTCAAATGTCAGCCACGGGAATATATATCCAATTCTTGGCACGTTGGGGGCAGTGCTGTGATAACATACGGGCTTTAGCGTTAGCATGAAAAAAATCAATGGCGCCCGTCAACGAAAGCAACCGGGAGTCTCTGCAGCACATGATGTACACCCCAATCCATATCTTGATGTTGGGGGGAGTTTCGAGCACCTTGAAGGTCGGCCAGGAGCCCATGACGTCATTTACATCGACCGCGTCAGACTGAAATCTCTCAATCAGCAATAACCGTCACCTTGAAACAGACCCGAATGAGAGTGTCAGTCCATTCTCCGGCAAAGCTTGGGCAGCTCTATTCCATGTGTCAAATGTTATATACAGGGAAGGAACGCGTCATCTGGGGCCTGCCACGTCAGAAAAAGGGGCAACGCAAGGGACGATATCACAATCGCGCAGATCTCACCAACCAGCAAGAGCCGTCTCTATTAACTTGATCCTTTTGGTAACATACAGTCCATATTCACTCTGCTAAATGCAAGTCCTTGGCCAACTCTGGCTGCATCAGCTCCTCATTAAATGCCTCCGACTCGGGAAACTCGAGATGTACATGCGTATTTACAGCCGCCTTCAGCTCGACATTCTCCGCCTCGAACTCCAGGATATGTCCGCCCGCACGACGGTCCTCGGATAGAAAATGCAGGTGAAAGCCGGCGACGCAGATCCCATTGGTGTAGGGCGGGGAGTAGAACCCGAACAGCGTGCCGGTGATGTTCTCGTAGGTCTTGACCGTCTGGCGCTTGGCCAGCTCGAGCAGGGGCTCGCGCGGGCGGACTTGCGGCCCGCCAATGCGGTAGACGATGCGTCGGAACGTGGCGTCCACCCGAACAGCGATGAAGTTATTCTGCTTGGCGGGGAAGAACGGGTGCAGGGCCTCCTTGAGGGTGTCCATGTGCAGTGCGTCCAGGGATTTGGTGAGGGTTGGCTGAAAGTCTGTGGCAACGATCATGGGCATGCGGTCGGTTGGCGCCAGTTTGTGCAGTTGGTCGTCCGGCGTGAAGTGGTAGGCCTCGCCGTCGACGATGATGATCTCGCCGTTCAGGCTGCACACCGTGCCAAGGCCGTGGTTGCATTTGGAAAGGATGTCGGATACGGTCGCGCCGTCGGAGGAGAAGCCCTGCATCAGGGCGCTGAAGACGCAGTATTGGTGGATGTGATTCATTCTGCTTGCTTTACTTCTTGTCGCACTGGAGATGTGGTGATGAGGTGGTGGGATGTTGATAGCTCGTTGCTGCAGCTTGTGCGGGGCTATCTATGAGTGTAGACGCTAGTTTCCTTTGGGGCGCCGATGCCGGCGAACCCGGCTATGGTATGCAAGCCTGAGGCCGAATGGCTTGAGTCAAACAATCTTCTTGAACCACCTGCCATGTTGGCTGCGCTATCGACTCTAACCGGGACCCTTGACAGATTAGGTTACGGAGTAGCATGTCCCTGAGGGGTCAGGGCTGTGAGAGTCATGTGCGGATGCCTTTCCGATTGGGTGTTCCGACACTGGAGGCGTCCGACTCAAGGTACATGTTTTGGTAGTTTGACGCTGCTATAGAGCTTCTCTTAATTCCTCATGTCACTCTGATATACAGTAAGACAAAGCAATCGTTTTTGTTTGACGATAGCATTTAGTGCGTGGCGGAGGAGCGAAGAAGAGCCACATTACAAAGGGTCACAAGAGGTACTGATTACACTCTTCGCCTCATGGGTCAAGATCAATGAATGGGAAACAATATACGCAAATCGCTATGCCTCTAGATGATATTTGCAACCGGGGTCCAACTGATATAAGGCGCCGCAGCAGAGCACTTCTTATGAGGAGAGGAGGGTCAGCCGAAACCGAGTCCAAGCATTTGCCGGATTCCTCCCCAGACAAGCAGGCGGTAGCAGACTGGAGCCTGGGAAGCCTGGGGACAGGGTGAAAAGAGGTGTGGCTGCACGATTGGTGCGATTGAGGAGGGATAGTGGGGCTCATGCGCTGCGTTCTGGCCCAGCTCGGTTGCGGCGCCTTTTGCATCTACTGAGGTCATTGCAACAACCCTGTCAGTTCTCAGTGCAAAACGGTTGCCAACGTTCGGAATATCTATTCGCATGCTTCTTTGCTTGGTTGAAAAAGTTTTCGCTGATCGGGCGCTGAGTCAATTCGTGTCTTCTAGGCTAATCCTGGTCCTATAGGCAGAAGAAAAATTCTGCAGTTGCTCGGAGAAGGCCGCGATCAAGATGCTGCACACACAGTTGTACGCGCCCTTTGGTCGTTGAGGCTGCCGCTGTAAGGCCCAATTACCTCAAGAAGCATGGAAAATGCGGGAAGTTACGGAGTGGTTCAGTGCAAAAATTGAAGTCCGAGCGATCTCCCTCCTCGATCCGAGGTATCTCCGTTCCGAGAGAAAACCGAGTATCTGACGATGTCGCTGTGTGAGGCATATAAGGATACACCATCAGCCTTATTATCCCAGATCGTAGAAACAAGGCCTTGATCTTTTTCAACTGCTTGTATGCTTGCTGTGGCATCACAAACTGTTCAAAATGAGCGCACGATCGTCATTAGAGCTCAAACTCTTGGATTCACTACATCAACATCCCTCCACAGGGAGCAACTTCAAGTCACGGTTACGCAGACACTGGGAGTTGTGGAAAGTTGGATTGGCCGCAAAGCAGCACTGGGAAGACGAATATAACTTCCCCGCAGGTCGTTATGCTGGACAGGGCCACTGGTAGATGTATGTGGAGATCTGCCAACCCGTCCTTCGCACGGACTACTAACAATATGCATTGACTCTAGTGTTAAGCTTCCCGCTTCATCTACATCACTACCACCAATTCTGCGAGCGAGGCCGAAAGAATAGCTTATCGAGCACGATTCTCAACAAAGCCACACAAGCCCCACCACAACACCAACGGATATCATGATACCACACGATTTTCTTTCCATGTCTCAAAAGCACCTGTCTTTCCAGGAACCTTTCTCTCATGTCACATTATACCCGATACAAAATTTGCAGCGTTTTTCTGCACGCGAGACAACATATCACCAACATCGAGTCAGAATACTTTTGACGAGGCGGGGTGTATAGATTATATAATTTAATGTTTCATCAATCAAATCAAGCACCAGGACCTGTCCGTCTGTTCGTCGATGTACCCATCCACTACCTACACAACAGGCCTCGCTCCGTGGTCAAATGTTTCTCAGTTAAAGCCTATGCATTGGTTATTCGGGGTCTGCAGACTAGGCCGTCATCTTTCAGTGCGGCAAGTTGCGGATTCCCGTGGGTGACATGTTAGTTCATTAACATGTTTGCTACTCTTGATCGGATACATGAGGGTACACTCTTCAGAAAGAGAGTTGTGACTCTGATTTGTTATGCATTAGGTAGCCATAGATCAGCCAAGATTGATTGTTGCGACGCGCGTAAGCGCGGAGCCCTATGCTAGGTCCTGTCCCTCGGAGGACTCCTGAGCATGCGTTTTGATTGGTCGGCTACTAGGCCTCTTTCTGGTCGGCATAGACAAAATGGTTGGATGAGATTCAGTCTTGGCAAAGAGTACTCACGTGACCGTATATTCTGCCATTACTTACCGCGTCGGCCAGTTTCCGGGAAGGTGCTTGGTGAGAGGGCTTACTGTTTCGCTTACTTTCTCAGTTGTTTGGTTAGCTACCTGCTTAGTTGCTTGTTAAGGGGTGCTTAGAAAGATAATCAAAAAACTACATATATGATTCGCGTGTTTCATGCCTCTGTTGCACTCGGTCCTTCAATTTGAAGGAGTCAACCGAGGGTAAACAGGACCTAGTAAGTGATCCAGTGCAGTGGACCCTCCCGACAACTTCCTGAAAGCGCTTAGCGCCCGCTCGGATCCACTTCCGCCCCTCTCCGTCGGCTTTTCGTTTTGGGCGATGGCTACTTTATCTTAGATTCGTCCACGGGCCTTAAAATGGCTGACACCTCCATATGGATAGCGGACTTGGTAGCAAGCTTTTGACCTCCCAACTCCAAGTCATGTCGACGCAATCTATAGAGCATGGCAGACCGCCCATAGATGAACCAGAAGGGGTGCATCCCGCTGTCCAACCTTCGCCGGATATACAGCGCTCACAACCAACGTCACAGCCACTGGATGCAGCGACAATAGAAAGACTGGGACGAGAAAGGCCTCCATGCTTCTCTAGCATCTGGACTGAGTTGGCCTTTTGCTTTTCTATCATCATGTGCCAAGTCCTCGCGGTACGACGGGCCCTGAAAACACTTCAAATATATCTGTCTGACGAGCATCAACCTAGGAATACTATATTTCTGGCTCCAATGTTCTCCTTCCAACTCTAATCGAAGAAATGAATATTCCGCCAGCACTTTCCATTTGGCCGTCGACGGCTCTCTCGCTCGCCGTGACCTCTACCCTGCTCATCTTCGGTCGCCTCGCAGACATGTACGGTGGCTTTATTATGTACATCGGTGGAATGGTATGGTTGACCACCACATCCCTCATCGCAGGTTTCTCCCAGAGCTGGATGATGTTGTTCGTGTTCCGTGGACTCCAGGGGTTGGGGTTGGCCTCCTTCCTACCATCCAGTATCATGATTCTCGGCAGCGTTTACCGACCCGGACCGCGTAAGAACCTGGTTTTCAGTGTGTATGGAGCTTGCGCGGCACTGGGATTTTTCGCCGGCATTTTCTTCTCGGGTATTGCAGGCAGCTTTCTTAACTGGCGCTGGTACTTCTACATCGGCTCGATTCTCTCCGCGGTCACCGCCCTTTCATCCTATTTCTCTATCCCAAATGACTATGCCGCCACGCGAGCCTCAACGAAGGCTACTATGGACTGGATCGGGTGTGCCTTGCTTGTGCCCGGAGTGGTGCTGTTTGTTTTTGCCATCGCGGACAGCGCGCACGCGCCGCAGCAGTGGCGGACCCCGTACATCCTCGTCTGTCTCATCCTAGGCGCTATCATCTTGGGGGTATTCGTCTATGTGGAGGGTTGGGTAGTCGACAAGCCCCTCCTCCCCGGAGATTTGTTCTCAGTCAAGTACATGAAGCCGCTGATTATTTGTCTCTTGCTCATGTATGGGAGCCTTGGAATATTCCTGCTATACGCTGCCTTGTAGTATGTCGTCATGCGTCCCCTAACACCCCCCTGTCCCTTTTTCGTCACAGCCAATTACCCACATCACTAACCCTCTTCAACAGCATGGAAAGCATTATGGGTGCAACTCCCCTCCAGGTCGTAGCCTGGACCACGCCAATGGCTGTCGGCGGCCTGATCATATCCGCCACCGGTGGCTTCATCCTACACAGCCTTAACGGAACTCTCCTTATGATCCTTTCCGGACTGGGCTACCTAGGCTCGGGGCTGCTGTTCGCCGTCCTTCCTCGCGGAGGCAACTACTGGGCCTTCGTCTTCCCCTCCATGATCTGCGGCACGATCGGCATCGACATCAGCTTCAACGTGACCAACATCTTCATCACGACCAACATGCCTCAGCAGCGCCAGGGGCTAGCGGGAGCTTTGATCAACTGTACCTTGCACATGGGAATCGCCGTGATGCTGGCGTTTGCGGACCTCATTCAGGTGTACACTGAGGAGTATCTCGACACTAAGGGTAGTTACCAAGCTGCCTTTTGGTTTCAGGTCGGCTTGTCAGGACTGGCCTTGGTGCTGGTAGCTCTGTTTGTTAGGATTGATCGCGCGAAGAGTGATTTGACGGTCGATGAGAAGCGGAGGTTGCAGTTGGAGCAGGAAGGCGTCTTGAAGGGCTCTGAACAATATTAGAAAGGCGTGGTGCGTGACTCTATGGTCGTTAGACTGTGCTTTTAATATCTTGCATATACACAATTCTGGATATAGTAAATTTTAGTTTCTCCTATGTATACGAAGCTGAAATGCAATAATTACGAACGAAAAATTATACAAGACGGGAGAGACTATCCGCCGCACGCCACCGGATATTCTAGGTACAACAGTATGACCATTGATACAAATGACTGCTGAGTTGGAGGCATGCGTGCACTTACTCAACATGCAAACTGCAAGGAAGAAGCAGAGTATTCTAGGCTCATTGACGTCTCCGCTTGAGACCAGAGTGAGGTTATACAGATGGTAGGCACGTTTGGGTCAGTTCCTTCCCTCTGTGCCCTAATTCCTTGCCGCGACGGCGGCCACCGCCAGCCGGTGCATACTAGAGAGCATCAACGAATGGATGCCTCTATCAAGTACGGAGTCCCTGAGTAGGCTTCTGAGGATGGGAGCGAAATGTAGGAAATGAATGTTATTAGGTTGCCCCTAGAAGCGTACCTTTTCCGACACATAGCTCGTAGAGTCAGTATTGCCCACGATGTTCCCGGCCATGAAGCTATTCGCAGCTTCCTCGATATACGCAACTTTCTCCTTCAACGACCTCCTCCTTCCTTCCTTCGTTGAGCACCCAGAAACACGACAGCCAGAGTATATCTCTCATTCCTATCCTGTTTCCCTTCTTCTTCTTCTTTCTCCCCTCCTCTCCCCAACCACTTGACTCCTTGATGCTAGTATCGTTTTCAACGCTCTACGCTTTCAACGATGTCCTCTCGTGTGTTTCTCCCCACCCGCTCATCTCTCTCTTCGCAGCTCAAGAAGGGTCCGGTACACCCTTCTTGTGGCATCCTTCCTTCGTCCCCCTCCGCCGTCCGGACACGACGCGACACTCCTTTGCCGGCCCTCGATAAGCGTGCATGTGTTGGGAAGCAAGTAAGCTCCAAGTCCTCTCGTTCTGCTGTGCCTTCGAGCACGTTCACTCGTTCTGTAGTGCCTCCAAGCCCGTCCTCATCTTCTGCCAGTCCAGTAAAGCCTCTCAAGTATCTCACTCGTCGTTCTTATGCTTCTTCCACTCGTTCTTCTGCTGCTGCTGCTGCTTCTTTCACCCCTTCTGTCCATTCTGTGTCCGCAGCACGAGACACGTCCACTCGTTCTTCTACTTTCAGTCGTTCCCTTCCTTCCCGTGGTTGCCCTACCACATCCACTCCTTTGTCTGTGCGTTCTGAGAAGAATGCGTCCACTCGTTCCACCTCCACACTGCCCCCAGCAAAGCCCCTTCATGGTCGTTCCTTTGCCCCTCGTGGCCAACCAGCCACATCCGCTCCTTTGCCTGTGCGTTCTCCCGAAAAAACGTCCATTCCTTCTGCTCGTTACTCCAAGTCTGGCCTTCGCCTTCGTTCTCTGCCTGGTAAAACTAGCGCGTCCACTCGTTCTACACCTCCTGTTCCCCCTTCCCCTGTCGTTCGTTCGACTCCAGTCGCTCGTTCTACTACTTCCACTCCAGTCACTCGTTCTGCAGCTCCCACTCGTGTCACTCTTTCCAATCTTGCTGCTCTCCGTGAAACTCGCCAGGCTCGGTTCGCCGCCCTGGCTCGACAGCGGAGCACGCCAATCGATGCAGTCCTTGCATCCACCGCAGCCCAGACTGCGGTTCGTAAGGACAAGTCGAGGAAGCGTGTTCACTTTGCCGAGACCAAGTCAGTCGTTACCATTTCTCGTTGGATCGTTCCTGGTGTTCATATTTGGGGTCCTGGGCAGACCACCCCTTGGTGGGTGGGGGAGGAGTAGTAGTTGTCTTTCTTTTGTTTCTTTTTTTCTTTCTGGACTGGCTTCACATTCATTTCTGTTTCCTTTTCTGTTTTTTGCTCTGTTTTGATTTTTTGGCCGGCTTTAAGTTCCTTTATGTTTTTCCTCTTGCCATTCCTTTGCGATCTGCAGGTTGTTAGTAAGTCTGGCTTGGTTGTACCGGAGCCAAGCCAGATACTGCTGATTGCACTGCAGCTCGAACGGCCGACGGATGCCATCGCGACGCGATCGAGACAGACGAACGGTTTTTGTTGGCTCGAGGGTGTACAGGCTCGGGTAGGTATTCCACTTCTTCTTGGAGAACGCAGCTGACCTTCTTTTCAGATTAGAATGTGGGCGAGCGGCAGCACCACGGACGACGACAGAGGCATGGTCCCGGTTGAATGTGTGCGTGCTGGGCATGGGGTTTCCTTTGTACTTTCCTTTATTTGGGATGGGATATGGAATTTGGTCAAGGCGTTGGTTTGCTTTTTTTTTCTCCTTTTAATTCATATTGTCCGACCTGGTCACTCATTTCTCACTTGATATGTTTTGCACTCTGAGTTTGTTACCCTGTCCGACCCGGTCACTCATTTCAAACTCCACTTTGCATTTTCTTTTATTGACACTGTCCGACCTGGTCACTCCTTTCGCATTTGCTTTGCTCGTGATGCATTTGTTCAAATCCTGTCCGACCTGGTCACTCCCTTAACATTTTGCTTCACTTGCTTTGCATTTCCCTTTTCCATTTTCTGCTAAAGCAGCTTTGGTTTTATTGTCCGACCTGGTCACTCCTTGCCATTGTCTTGCTTTCCTTGTGTTGCATTTGTTCAAACCTTGTCCGACCTGGTCATTCTCTTGACGATTTGCTTCACCTTTTCAAATTTCCTTTTGTCTTTTTGTTTTTTTTTTCTGATAAAGCATCTTTGGTTTTCTTGTCCGACCTGGCCACTCTTTGCCACTGTCTTGCTTTCTATGTTGATAGTTCACCTACTTTTGTATGTCTCGCGTTCCCGGCGTGGGCGTGGAGCTTTTTGTCCGGGGTTTAAAGACCGTGATTCGTCAATGTCACCATGTCTTGACTCCACACTGTCTTCTTCGTAGGGCTAATGTCAGAAGCTCTTCCAACTGGCATCGCCTTCTCTTCGTAGCGACGTTTTACATTAGTGGATGGGAATTCGTAGACATACGTACAGCTTGAACCAACCGGCCGTGGCTTGGGAGTGTCGAACCTATCGCTTAGTGACAACAAGCTTAAGTTTGTTGTCAAACATTCGTTGTCGTAGGGCAAGTTCAACAAACAAGAAATGCTATATTGACAAGTATAGTATTGAATGCTGGAATTAGTCGTGGTCGATGTTTAACCGAGCGTGCAGTGTATGTATGTAGACTGCGATGACTCCTCACCATTGTCCTGGAAAGACATGCGCCCCGGCGAGGACCAACTACGACGAATAACGCATATTACCAATTATGGGGAAGTGGAATAATTCTCTTTCGGCTCTTCCAATTATTCTGATCCAAGCTTAAGTATCTGGCGATGAGATCAAATCAAAGACCTGCCAAAGACATGTGTCAGCTTGGCCCATGGTTGACTACTAAGTCTATTGTGTGCCGCGGGCACGCGCAGAGTCGTCACTCATATACTTGAGAGTATTCCCACAATGGACTCTAAAGGTTTACTGTGGAAGCCTGGTTCATTCATATGTTTTCATAAGTCTGGATCCACGCATTAGGACGAGACAACTCGTCAGCAGGTTCTCGCTTTCGCACACCTGGTAAGAGGGCCCTCACACTTGGCGTGTTCCAATATGTTGGTCGTTGACATTGTGCTGATGCATTCAGTGGCTTTGGTTGTCCATGGTGATTGTAGTAATGATAATCGCCTCGCTAGCAAGAGCCATGTTCTTATGAGTACGGTACCCAAAGAAGCGGGCAGCCTATTACCTATGCCAGAAGCGATGAATGATTGACTTGTAGCCTGCAGTCAATGGCACACGTAGGTTTATCATGGGGAGTATTACTGCTCGTATAAGGTACGCAGGTCGTCCGCCAGGCCCTGTCATACGTCTGTCTTGAGTACAACCCTTCGTCGAATCAGGGAAGAAGCAAGCCGATAACTTGCACAGACAGGCTCGTGCTCGATCATATACTCCCAGCTTGCACTACCTCACTTTCCCAGAATTTGGATTCTATGCTTGATGCAATCGAAATGTAGGCAGCTTTTGGTTTCTGTACACAACTCCCGATTTTGGCGTGCATAGTAGCTGCGAGGGAATCTCCAAAAATGAAGACGCTTTCCAGAAGCCCACGTGCGGATCATTTTTACCGAGGCGGTCATCGCCAAGTCCGGCAATGGGATCTTACTCTCTCGTAGTCTCAAGTTACTTGACCTAACCAGAGAATAAAAAAGGAGAGAAAAAGTTAAAGATCGCTGCAGAAGAGTGCCGAATCGGCTGGTGGGGACTAGGAAGTGCACTCGCAAATGGTTAGGAATGATTAACTTGGGAACAACAAAAGATTGACGCATTCTTTAAAATAGGTTCAATGACAAGCTCAAGTTCTGCGCGTACTGCCTACAAATTGTGGATGATCAGAAGAACAGTGAAGATTGATTCGAGACGATAGAAACAAGAGATAATAAAAGCACTGAACTACTTGATGATGGATCCTGCGTTCCGGGAAGTAGTGGCATCATGTGCAAGACTAAACTTAGGTCATTATGAGCTTGCTTCCTTGACTAACAACGAGAATGGCTAGCATGGCAAACAAAAGGAGCGACAAGGTCTTTGGCGCAACGCCGCTGCAGGCCATAACAAAAGGTGGAAGATGCCTACCACGAGAAACAGAGTCTGAGAGCCAATCCGCCAGCTATGGTGACCGAGGGGGTAATCAAAGGTAATCGATCACAAAGGGGATCTTCTCGAAAGACCACGCCTCTCGATCCAGATTCGTGCCCACTTTAAGTGGCGTCTTGGGCTCCTCACCTCGGTCGATTTCCGCGTCTGGCCAGTAAGGGACAGCGTTTCCGATGACCTCTTTGTCACTGTTGTACAAAAACATTAACACAGGGGACCCCTGATTGACGTACTCGCTGTCACGTCCGAATCTGTACTCTCTGAACTCGATATAGGTCGCGTTCTCCGGCTTGCCCGCCCAGATTAGCGCCTCGCTCAGGAACCCAGACAGCGTGCGATTGACGCCCAGCCATTGTTCATTGCCGTCACTTCCGGTTCTGATCTTGTATGGCCAGTCCAACAGGAGCTACGGTGGTCAAGTTAGTTAGCGATCGGGTGGTACCGATGTATAAGCAGAGAAAAGCGAAGAGCAAGGGGTAGGGGTGGAAGGAGGTACAGTACCTGGTCAGGATGGCCTTCCTCGGTGATAATTGCGAACTCTTGACCTGGCAATTTGGTGTCTTTAAGAAGCTGCAGTGGTGTGCTCTGGCTATTCTCAGTCGATAACTTGTTCAGGAAGTTCAATCGCTCTGCCGTGACCATGGCCTTCGTATCCTTCCCAATCAGATTTTCAATTGTCTGGCCTGTTGGGAAAGTCAGTCATTCGACTGTCAATTGCTATTAGAAAAACAAGGGGCTCACGAACTGTAAGTATCCCCTTTTCCTTCGGCCGGGACTGTCAACTGGTGTCCAGTCATGGAGCGAATTCGAAACTTGATAGTCTTCTGAGTGGGCGGTTCGGGCTCTTTCTCCGGCTTGGCCTCTTGCTTGGTTGCCAGCAGTTCCGCAAATTTCTTCTTGGTATTCTGATATCCGGGTACCATTGAGATGAAATCTTCGAGTGCAACAACTTTAGTTTGCTACATTTCCAGTCTTGGGTTAGTGTGGTACATGCATCCTCTTTCTTTCCAAGATATTACTTACTTTGACAACTCTCCAGTTGTAAAATGAGCCAACCGTGTATGCCCAGGCAGGAGGACTGCGCGAAGTGGTTAGTATGCATGGAGCTCAGAGGAAATATCGCAAAAGCAGATACGCACTCGTTGCACTGTAAGGTATCTCCACCGTGTGCTTCCCAGCTAATAGTGCTGGTAGAGGCGCTGCTCTTGTTCTCGGAGCTGGAATTCGACGAACTGCTGTGGCTGGCACTGGCAGATGCTTGAACCCAAGGTGATGAGAATGAGAGGGCCGCAGCAGCTCGCATACTCTTGGCCTGGGCAGCAGTGGCTGCGGCATCGGTAGAGGAGGACTCTTCGGATGAATGCAGCCTACCGCCCAGCTGGACCCGGGTCGCGATGAAGCGGCCTATATCCTGTTAAATCATTTTCCTTCTAGGGTAGACTGTTATATTCACCGTATTTGTTCTTGAAGATGTCTACTGCCTCAGCTGTATCGACCGTCGCCAGATCCTCCTTCAGCTCGTCGGAGAGATCCAAGCCCGTCGGATCGAAGTCAATGACGACGCGAGGGAACTGCAGAAAAAATACGTTAGAAGTATCCTTGGGCGTACATAGATTCTAGTGTGAATCTCACGTTATAAGTAATAGTCATTATACGACTGTTCTCGTTGGTGCTGGAGGTCGAGGCCGACGACTTTGACTCCCCCCAGCTGGCGGAGGCACTGGCGCTATACCCGAAGGCACCACCTTCACTGTAATTACATATCACTTAGTCCAGAGACATGGCTGGCAAGATAGGGGCGGGGGGGCGGATCTTACATGGCAAGCTTTGCGTCGGTCTCGGACAGACATGACTCGGCTATCGCCCGCGCGACCGACCTCTTCTCCTCGTATTGTCTGATATAGGAGTCGTCGTCGATACGGAAGCGCGGAATGCGCAGCATTTGCTTCTGTCCCGCAATCGAATCAACCTCGGCAGTGGCGCTGATCTGGTAGTTCCAGAAATTGCGAGGTTTGAGGACAAAACCTGCGAGTCTAAATCAGCCGGGGGGAAATTCCCTTCGGTAGTCGACGTGTGCGGAGGGCCTTACTGGGATACAAGGATCGTTCCACGAGTTTACCGCCCTTGTCCCCGAGGTCGAGGACACGATACGCATGGAGCAGAGAGTTGTTGCGCATCACGACACTCCAGTGCTTCTCGGACATGTCCGCGGGGTGGCTAGACATGTCAACGCGGGGCGATCTTGCGGTGGGGAAAACGTCACTTACACGATGCTGAACGTGGTAGTCGGGTTCAGGAAGATGTTATGGCTAAAGCTGGTCGGGACAGCGGGGGCCTTTGGCTGATCTGCGACAGGCAGCGCCGCTATTTTCTTCTATTCAAGGGGTCAGTCAAGCCTGAGGATTTCGAGAGCTCTTGCAGATTAGCGTTTTAGTCACTTACATCCAGATCAACCTTGGAACCTCGATCAAGAAGGCCAACCAAGTGGTCCATTTCAATAATCTTCTTGGACTTGAGATAGACCCTGTAGGTATCCGCATTGTCCTCAGACCGATCCTATCTCTATTATCAGAACAAGTCTTCGACATTGTCAAAGGATACTCACGCCGAGTTCGCTCGACTGTGAGTAAAATGATAATTAGCACTCATTCTCTAAACGCTTTCTCGATGGCTTCTCTCACCTTCTCATTCAGAATCTGAAGATATGTCTGGAACGAGGTCGTATCCTGTACTTTGGCACCCCTCTGGTTGCAGAACGTGCTCCAAAGCCTGGTTGGGTCTTAGTATGACGCTCAAACACTGCTGTGAAACAAGGGGAATCTCACAGTCTAGGCTCCAGAACCTTCTCGCCAACCAAGAGGTCACGGATATCCGAAAGCTTCAAGTCGGCTTTGCTAATGTTGGAGAAAGGAACGCAGGTTTTCTCCTTGATGACCTTTGTCTGGCCGTCATAGGAGTAAACGTGTAGCACCTGCGAGGTGTCCTTGTCCAGACCTGTAAGGAGTTAGATATATACAGACGCTTTGACGGTTAGCTGAAAGGGACCACAAACTATCAAGCAGCTTGCCCAGGTCGTTGTCGACCGCAGAGGATGTGTTCTTGGCTGTGCCTACCACGCCTTTGACCACGCCAGTAGCGCCATCCCGAAGAAGACTAGCCATGTTCACCGGTTGGTGCCTTATTTTTTTCTGTTTCCTTGGGATAGATTCAGAGGCTTGAATGTACTGAGAAGCGGTATACAAGATGGCTAGAGAGATGGATGCTCAGAATCAGGGGACTGATGGGGGCCTATTTATGAGGAGGGTGGATATCGATCCGGAGAACACTAGCAACGGTTCTCCGTAGACCTGCAGCAGAAGAGTGAAAGCCCCCTCAGCAGTGTGTCTGAGACGTCTCACACGTCATTGCAGGACTAGAGCTATGGACATACATCACCGAAGTATAATAGAGTGGCTTGATCGACCGCATCTGGATCGCTTCTGTATATCACAACATGACTGGCACGATCCGAATAATCTGATTTTCCTCTATGTTGGGATCCCTGACACCCCATGTACAATAGAATCGGGTTTTGCCTCAAAGATACCTGTTCCAGATGATAAAACTGGTTATTCGTACCATTGGTGGCGAATGACAGCAGATCCTGATCGTCCGTTGTAACACTGTGGCAAGGAGAAGGAAGATCAAGGCCTGCCGAGGCCTGGAAATCGTGCGGGGTAACTAATAAATTTAGATTGATTGAGGGGTTCGAAAGGTAGCAGCACAGGATATAATCTATATCTAAGCTGCATGCACGATGAGCTGGATACTCCACTTGCTCGGTGGGCTTTCGGATGGCGAGACTATCATTGGGGTCGGCCCGCTGGAGACCCGCCTCAGCTCTGCACGCTAGTCTCAAGAGTCAGAGCTAGCCCTACTTAGCTTCATGCAGCAATCGTGCGGTGCTCTACGGAGATTCCAATCTGCGACTGCGACTGCTACCGCGAATGACGTTCTCCCTACGAGGGTTTTTGGATGCGTTTGCTCCACATTTCCAGGTGCCACAAAGAGGGGTCATCTTCAGTGTTCGACCTTGCACTTAACAACACACTGAGAGCGCAGATCTTTCATTAATCAGAGTTTGTGACATAGGTCGTACGATCGGCATCCATTCTTAGTCAAACCAAGTAAGGCATTCTTTTCTTGTGCCAATGAGTGTGTCCGTCCTTTCTTTTTCTAAATTCGGGTCGATGATGTTTCACAAAATGGCTGATTATCGCAGCCAGATCGGGAAACTTAAGGATGCAGCATCAATTGGCCATGACGTCCCATTGCAAAGAGGCAGTCCTGGCATTTGAGTGAGCCAAGGAGTTACCTCCGGTGCAAGATTCTCAATGATGATCGAAGTGGGAGGGGAAAACTGGCGATCTTGAACATCCTCTTTGCTCCCTTGAGTACTTAACGAAACACCTTTGTATCTACCATGTACCCTGCCTACATCTACGCTAATGCAATGCTCGACGAATGGAGTATAAATCATTACGTCTATAGTATGCAATGTATTTGTGCTTTGTTCTATCAATCCCGATAGACAACGGAGGGTTCGCTACATCAAGATCAGATATCATTCCACCTGGACCATAGAGCGAATTACTTGGCAATCTCTTCCTAATGCAGCAAGTGCGCCGAAAATGGCGAATCAATAATTGGTAGTCCTTTATCTCACAGAAAAGAGAACGAATTGACCAAGTGAAACACGAGCGAAATGCCCATCCTGCTTCTAGAATAAGATACACTGATTCGACCAAGAATATAACCCCAATCTAGCTTACTGAAAACACGGAAATCCTGCTTGTTCTAACAACCACTTCCCGACCACCACTTGGCCCATTGCTTGTCACCTCTCTGTACCCTGCCACTCTGAAGGTACCATGCCCCGATGGGCCGTGCAAAGAGACAGAGACTGCCCCTGGGTTGATATGCAGTTGAGCGCCATTCTCTTTTGAGTCTCCGATATAAGAACGGTTCGTTGATTTTTGTGCCTCCGTACCCTTTGATTCAGCACACTCAAGGGATGCCAGCTCATAGTTTATTTTTATCAAAGCATTAAGTAGCGTGCGCGGCTTTCCCAACCGAAGCAATCCAAACTTCGGTAGAAGCTGGAAATGAAGATGCACATCTCCGGTCTTGCAGCTTTGCTTTCCGCTGACTTCGGAACTCATACATAATGGACTGGTGAAGGAGGTTCCTAAGACGGTTACAAGATCGTCGGAATTGGCTTGACTCCTGGTCAAGACGAGATGCGCATAGGTGCCTTTCTGCAGAATTTCAACGAGTCTTGGTAAAGTCAGAGCATCAATTCCCGGGGTTCTACCATGTTTCTGGAAAGTTAGGTGTGGGTCGGGTAACGCTGTGGCGGACCGAATAGATGCCTCAGGCAGCATAATGAATGGAGAAGTGGCCGCCAAGATCTGAGAATCTGTATAATCTCTTGACTCGTTCTCCGCCTCGTCTTCTGGCATCGGAGGTTGAAACGAAATCGCCCATAGTTGATGAAAGCGTAGCAGGAGTTTAGGTTAAAATTCTTAGATTAGAGGTCTGGAATAGCTCGCAGGGTCGACTCATCAGAGCATCAATTACTCTATTCAAGATTCACCCTGATAAATTCATCGTCCTCGAAGGACTCTACAGCCATCGCGTTGGCCAGTTCTTCGTCAACTGGATCTGCTCTTGCGAAACACCCAAAGCGATAGTGTCGTCCTCATTTGGCTTCCGATAGCCTCAGATGGAGCAGTAGGCCCAAAGGTTCTGTGAAGTCTTGGCGACCAAGGGAGTACGATGTCGGCGTACAGTCCGCTGCGAGACGCCTCCTACCGGCCGCTTCGAGATGATCTGATGACGGAACCAGGTTCACGTTATATGGTTCTGTTGTTGCAAGGACATCCATCACGTCGCTCAGCACAGATGGGGAATTATCCGCCATTGTAGATGAAGGCTCTGTCCCGTGCGGGCGCCCAATGCTCCTCAGCATTCTGGCAAATTGGCTTTTGGAAGAAGGAATCGTCAATGCGCCAAAAGTAATCGTCTTCTTCCTGGGTTCCTAACAGCTTCGTGCCTTGGTGGGCTAGTAAGGACAGCGCACGTTGAAAGGCGTCCGCATCGATTTTCTCCTCGGTCTTCTCCTCGCTAGGATTGCTTGGGAAGGGATGCTGCGCGTAAAAGTCGAAGCACTGCCATAGAAGTTGAGTACTGTTATCAGAAAAGGAGGCACCGGGATGCGATCTCTCAATGTGCTTCCTCAAACTGCCTATTGTCCAATCTGGGGGTGGCATAGAGTTAGTCAGATCAAGCGAACTTGCCAGGTGGAAAACATACATAGTCGACGGTTGGCGCCCTCAACACATGAGGGATCGAATGTTGTCCAAAGATAGAGCGTTCATCACAATAGGGTTCCTCAAGTAACGCCCGCTCGGGCTGGGAAAGCCCCGGGGTTGAGTACCTGCGCCACATTCGGAACCCGTAAGGCTGACTGATACCATCAGAATCATTCATGTATACTCTTGTCCAGCAGATCCAGTTCAAGTGCAAGCACGAGATATTGGGGCGTCCTGTGAGTACTGGTTCATGCAATGTGGATGTCATTGAATCAGAGTACTACATATCTTCCTGTGTAGCGGGCTAGCGTGCGTATTATCTATATGGTCAACGAGGCTCCATTCAAGTTCTCGAGCCATTAACTAGTTGATAATTACCAATCACCAAGCAGGCATGTGTAAGAGCGATATCATCAAACGCTGAATCGAGGGAAGTATTGGCCGTTCCGGGTCGGATAGCTTCCGTGTATCCCTTTACCCCGCATCCTAGCACTCGGATGAGCATCCGAGATCCCGAGATACTGGATTCATGCATCTACAAATATCATTCATTGCTTTCCACGCCTCTCAGCTAAACCTTATCCTGCATGCAAACAAAGACATATTCTGTCTCCAGCAAGTCTCTCTCTGTCTGGCTTTCTCAACCGAGCAGAAAGACCACCCCAATAATCACCTCTCACCATGTCCGGCCCAGCAATCATTCAAGTTCCTCCGGAACTCCACCCGATACCACCCACATCGCATTCTCCCAACTCCCCCTTTCCAGTGATTGTCTACCGAGGCGCCCTTCTCGACCGCACTCCCACCGGTGCCCTCGAGGCCATGGAGACATCCGAATGGCCGCAAGGAGGCCATTGGAAAATCGGTCGAGAGAAAGTCGCAGCCACACCGCATTACCATGCTACGACCCACGAAGCGTACACCGTTCTCCACGGCAGTGGAACCTACCTTCTTGGTCAATCGCCTCTAGACCCCGAGACAGATGAGGAGGGAAAGCCTGTTGGCGTAAAGTTTACAGCATCGGCTGGTGATGTTTTTGTTTTCCCCGTATGACTCTATCCAGGACCTGTCAAAAGGGTCTTTCATTCGCTGCTATGCATAGAACCATGTATGAGCTAATGGTGGCCATGAATGACAGGCAGGAGTAACGCATTTCGTCACTGATACGAATGATGACTATGAGATTATCGGGTTCTATTCTTTGGTAAGCAGCATCCTGTCTTCTGAACCGCTGGATACCGTTTTGATCAGAAGCAGAACGCGCAAAATTCGCGAGAAAATCCGTATGACATGGAATTCGCTCTCGATTCCGTGGAGGAGACGGAATTGAAGCGGCAAAAATGCAGACAGGTGCCGGTGCCAGTGCACGATCCGATCTACGGGAAGGATGGCCCTATTCCGAGAATTTGGAGAGGAGAATAGCTTGCTGAAGTAGTATTCCTGGTGATATGGAGCAAGCGTGGTGCATGTATGTGGCTCAATTGTTTCTCAATTGAGAAGAAAGTCGTCCTTTTTTTCTTGGAGATGGGCTGTTTTATTCATCTGCAGAATAGCCAGAAAAATACATACAATATATGGTCAAGTCTAAGCGCACTCCATAACTCCCCTATCCTCTCTGGCAAGGTCACTTACAATCCAAAAAAAAATCTCAATATCCGAGGCCCTTCAGGCTTTGCAGCTCTACTTAGAATTCACGCTCATAGTCTGGGATACAGATCAGGTTCCGCTGTGGTCTTACACTCTCAGGTCAGGTGGTGCTAGGAGATCTGGAACCATGCAAGGGAAATTAGTCATGATGTTGTGTTTACATGGACTAGGAATCAAATCACTTAGAAGTAAATGTCAACAGAATCAGCCCCCATGTATCCTCTGATCGTCAGGGGCACAGCTCGGCTAGAAGCGATACACCATCTAATCATAATCCGATCACAAGGTACACAATACGAAGAGTAAGACACAGTATATAGAGTTTGGGATGTAAAATGACAGTTCAGTGGTGGAGGTTCGTATTCAACTGAGAGTGAAACATGTGGGGGGACCGAAGGATTGGGAATGGACGCCCTAATTTGTTGGGCGTTCACCACCAGTTTCCGGTCTCAGCATTAGCGTCAGGGTCCAAAAGCCATGCATTCCGTGTTCTCGAAAATCGAAACGTACACAATTCATGATCCACGATCGTTGCCCGTGTTTCCGCAACATGGTCGCGAAAGGTATATGAAGCCCCAGTCGACCTGCCTCTTCACAGTTCCTTCAACAGCACCCAAAAGCTAATACACAATCCAGCCACACCAAGAAAATGTTACCTACATTGGTCATTCTCAGTTTAAGCGCCGTCGCCAATGCTCACGTTGCGGCTTGGGCGAAAGGCATGTACTGCCTGAACGGCTCCTCCGGCAGCGACGACCAGAATACCAAGACCGCTGTCGACCCCCTGTATATGCTCGACCGGGCCGACTGGTGGTTTCAGCATGACCGTGGCTGCGATAACTTTCCTCCCGCCGACGGCGATTTCCTCGAGCTTCCCGCCAACGGCAAATTCACCGTCGAGCTCGCGCACAATCGCGCACAAACGACTCTCTCGTATAATGGCCAATACGCAGGCGAGTGGCCCGACGGCAATGAGCACCCTGAAGACTGGTCAGGCCCGGGTAACCCCCCGGATTGCATCCAGGATGATGGCGCGATGCATACCCAGAATCAGTCAATGGCGGCTGGTACCGCGTTTGCGATCAGCTATCAGAGTGAATTGAGCCAGGTGACTCTGGACAATCTTGTTGTCTTCAGCGTCCTTGAGCAGTAAGTGCTTGCCGTTCAGACTGTGAGGTGTTGGATACAGCTAATCTGTCTTGCATAGCACTCCTTGGAAGCGCCTGGCAACTTATGAGGTGCCTGACCTTCCTGCTTGTCCTCCAGCCGGCTGTACTTGTGCATGGCTCTGGGTAAGTTGCACATAATACATATGAGTCCACCAATCATCGTAATAACCTCGAATGACAGGTTCCCAACGGCTGCGGACAACCCAACATGTAAGTAAGATTTTGCGTCTCTCGCAAGATACGGGACTAATAGCTCCAGGTATATGCAAGGATTCAAATGCACTGTCACAGGCTCGAGCTCGTCAAAGAGCCTTGCTACCGCAAAGGCCCCTGTTTACTGCGGCGATGACTCTTCCAAATGTGTCAGAGGCGCAAAGCAGATGATCGCCTGGAACCGTTAGTACTCACCTTGAACCAATGTCAGTCATATGCTAACGATAATTGGACACAGAAAAATCTGGCAACAACATCGAGACTCCCTCCGGTGTCAGTCCAGCATACAGCAGCCTCTTGGGCTGGGAGAGTGGTAAGTTCCAATATACTTCCCGAAGGTCGCTGGCTAAGATTAATTGAATTGTAGGTGCTCAAAATGATATTTTCGTTTGAAATCACCAAGCTCATGTACTCTATTGTTACGCACCTACAATTGCAACACATTGGTTATTGGATAACGACAAACTTCTACTCGAGGCATAGATAAAGATGTGAGCTATTTTCGCTACTTCGAGAATATTCAATCACCACTTTCCTACTAGTTTACTTGTAGCCTAATCTACCTGGTCATATTAATTTATGAATTGAATACAACAATGCCGAATGAACTGCACGGCATTTTGGCGAACAGCACAACGTACCCAACTAATACTCAAGCCCCCGGCTAGAAATGGTAGTATAATTCCCTGTTGGTCTACCAACTGAGCCCTAGAGGACGAATATCTTTCAAGAAATCATCAAGCACAAACTGAAAAGAGCAGCATTCATTAATCAGCGCAGCTGGTAGATTAGTCATGATATCTGTTTCAGAGCCGTAATCCTGCCAAATGTCTCCGATCGCATTCGGGCAGGAGATGGCTTTTCGATACCCGTAAAATAACAGCGTATCTTTGCAGAGCATGATTTTTAAAAGAAAAGTAGAATAGCCAAGTTTCATACATCTACAAGTCAAGGGCGTAGATTTACAACCGCGTCTTCATCCTTGCTCGTCTTATTCAATGGATTGTGTCGGCCGGGTAGACTACAGCCGCCGTACGAGATGCTTTCACTTCCTAGTATACAAGATACTAGAAAGAGTAGACCCTTAGCAATAAAACGAAAAAAGCCATCCTTCATGCCAGCCTGCTAGAGTTGAGTAGATTTGCGGCCTGAGGATAACAAAACCGCGTCGCTGTCACGTGATCAATACCCTTTATCGCAGCCTTCAAGCAGTATGGGGTGAATGGCCAGTGGCTAATACTCCATGCCATGTCCACTGCGAAGCTTGTTGCACATACATGGAAGTATAGCACTAGTAGGCTGCATAAGGTTTCCTGATAAGCACGTTTAATACCATTCCGGTCGCAACGACCCCGCACTAATTGAACATTGTTGTACAAATTCTAGACTAGAGAAGGCTAGTACTGACCATCAGCGTCGGAGCTCCGGTCATTCTCCGCTTTATAAGATCAGACAAGCACCCCTCTCATAAATAAGTATCCTTTCACCAACATTCCCTCAAAATGCCCGGAAACAGGACATTCACGCCAGAGTCTGAGTTCCTCTCTTTTCTCGTCGTGTCCAAGTGCTAATTGCTGGAAATCCGACCACCAGACTTCTGATCACAGCTCCAAGGACTTCAGATGCAGTTCCAAATGAGGAAGGAAAATGGGCCCTTTACACCGTTTCGACTTACGATCTTGAGACACACACCGAGTTCACCGATGTCAATCTGCTTGACCTAGAGACAGGAAGCGCAACACGATACAGCAACAATCCGAAGGAGAGTTCGTTTTGTTGGCTGCGTGGATCATCGCTTTTGTGGCAGAGGGAAAGTGAAAAGGATAAAGGAACAGAGTTATGGATTGGGGATGCTGATCACGAGACACGGTAAGATAGATTTTTCGTCATGAGGAGAGTAGTTTGGAGGTGCTAAAAAACCATGTCCGACACGATAGACCATACCTAGCAGGGAAGATCGATGCCAAGTTGAAGGACCTGAGGACGAAAGTCTTGGAGAACGGTGATCTTGCATTCGTCTTCACGGCGCCAGTGGATGCCAATCAAAACTTATATAACACATCAAAAGGAGACAAGCCCCATACAACGGCTCGGGAATGGGAGTATAGTCGCCCCAGAAGATGGGATAGCTATGTCGACCAATTCCGATCGGCCATTTGGTTCACAGTTTTGAAGTTTGATGGCGACACCAAGAAATGGCACCTCTCTGCTACTGGCCCCATCAATGCTTTGCGCGATACAGGGCTGGTGGTACCTCTTTACTCTGACTCGTCGAGTTCTGCGGATTTGAGTATCTCAACCTACGGAGTCATCTTCGCCGCAAGCGAGCCTAGGGATACGGATTGGGAACGCACGCAGCGCTCGATATACTTTATTCCCCTGTCGACCTTCGAGGAAACTGAGGTGCCAGCTTTGAGAAAGATTCGTGTTCCTGGTCATGCGGACCTTGCGTCAGCCCCAACTTTTGCACCTAAGGGTCCCATGGCTGCCTTTCTAGTGGACCAAGAAAGTGAAGAGTGGTCGTACAAGACCATTGCTGTGGTCAACGTAGACACCTTGAAGATCACAGCTCTCCTGCAAACGATCGACCCAAGTGACAACAGCCGACACTGGGATGTATTCCCGGACGAAATCTTGTGGTCGAACGACGGCTCAGCTTTGTATCTGACTGCGAACGACCAAGCTCTATCTCGGGTGTTTCAAGTGCTTTTACCGCCTGTAGCCGAGGACAAGCATCAGACCGTGAGTCCTGTGGAGCTCGAGATTTCCGGCTCGGTTTCATCAATCTACCGTCTGAGCGAACGAGACTCAGAGAGCCGGTTCCTGGCCACTTCTTCATCCTTCATCGACCAGGGATTGTTCTCGATCGTTGATCCGTCAATTCCCAGTAACACTCAGTCACAGCGCAGCAAGATTATCTACAGCACATCGAATCACGGGTCCTACTTCGGTATATCGGACAAACAAGTCGAATCCATCACGTTTCCAGGGGGCCCCGATGGGCGAACCCCCGTGCAATGCTGGATTCTGAAACCATCCAACTACGACCCCACTTCCGCCGAAAAGTATCCTTTCTTCCTCTTCATGCACGGCGGGCCCAACTCCGCCGTGAAAGATGCTTGGACATGGCGCTGGAATGCCGCGCTTCTCGCTGAGCAAGGATACATCGTCGCGATCCCGAACTTCACGGGATCGGACTCCTTCGGCCAGGACTTTGTTCGGGGCGTCTCGCTGCAATGGGGCGGACATCCCTACCGCGACCTGGAGCGGTGCTTTAACTGGGTCGAGGAGAACCTGTCTTCCAAATGCGACACCAGTAGGGCGGTGGCTGCTGGCGCCAGCTACGGCGGGTACATGGCCTTGTACCTAGAAGGACAGCCCCTCGCCAAGAAAATAAAAGCGATTGTCTGTCACGACGGGGTTTTTGACGTTGTCTCCGAGCTGCTGGGCGATGATCTTGCGCAGAAAGAGGAACTCACCCGCTCGTTTGGGTCGCCTTACTTCACCGATGCGCCATCCGCGGACCGTGACCCGCCCGCCGCGAAGGAGCTCTGGCGTCGTTGGAACCCTGCTGAGTATCTCACGAATTGGTCGACGCCCTTGCTGGTCATTCATTCCGATCGCGACTTCAGGTGCCCCAGCACGGCTGGCTGGGCGGCTTATGCGGTCTGCCGGTTAAAGGGGATCGAGACGCGGCTGTTGAATTTCCCGGATGAGAATCACTTTGTTCTGGGGAGGGAGAATAGTTTGGTTTGGTGGAACACGGTTATCGCCTGGTGCAATAAATTTGTTGGCATTACGGATGGGCCGACGTTGGAGCCGGCTCGCAGTGAGCCTAGGTGGTTGGGGGAGGCTAAGCCGGGGAGAGTGCTTGATGTGGCTGATGTTTAAAGAGAAGAAAGGGAATTATTGCATTCAAAGACTATGTCTAATGGGGCGACTCTTGGGTATTTCATTGCTGTTGGTGTAGGATTGAGCGAAGTGCACAAATCGCTCTTTGATCAACAGAAGGCACCACGGGAAGATTATTTGTAGCCCCAACCATAATATGGTGTCTGATAGTGAGTGATATTGCATAGTACTATTTCTGTATCAGGAGCTCTAAATAGGATGACGAAAGGAAGCTTGCCTAACACGTGCTCTTTACTGTAACAGCCGCATATTTACCTTGTCTTCTTTTATTTTATTGCTTTAAGGAGAGGTTAATCGGGCAGGAAACATGATGATTTGGCAAGTGGCGCACGAGCCAGAGAATCACATGGAGGTATATCTTCTGGTGATCTTGATATGGACTCTAGCTCGACTGAACTTACTTTGTACCAGAAGAGTCTGACCGAGTGAAATTGGCTATCAAGTAATCAATAGTCAGGAAGATATATAGGCGAGGATCAGAATAGGTTCAATGTTCTATGCCACGATAACAAAGTTGAGGCATATCCCAGGAGGGCGGTTGAGTACGCTAGTCCCGAAACGGTCGCCTGTTGCCCTACATTCTGCTTCGATGTCTGCTGCATCCAAGATAACCTACTCCATGCAAACCAACATGTCTTTTCATCCTTTTTTAAGGATTGTACTAGCTAATGCTAAAGCCGATACAGAGTTCGAGCAAGCCTGGCCACATATGACCTTTACAAATCGACCTTCGCAGGGTAAACGCCACCGACATATCATGTCAACCTACAAATAGAGTTTCAACACACATATGTGTCATAGTTTCCCTTCTATGACAATGCGGACTCACCATGCAGGAATTATTGCTTTCTGTAGATCTTTAATTTGCCCGGCCCCACGCAAGTGACTGGCGATGAGGCGACCGCGGCGCTTCTTACATTAATATCGTTGCGTGTCCAGTGCTCCGAAGAAATCCGATGGGAAGAATGTCAAATACAAATGTAGGGTTCCGATCCGACAACTCCGCTTCTTTGTCACGGTGAGACGATGACTATAAAATCATTCCCCGTGGGGTAAGGGTCAGAGCGTTTATCAGTCCACTCTGTGTAACATGGTTGAATATAAGAGGATGGAGAATCCCTAGTAGGTCTGTTGGTCCACCAGCCTTCAACCATCTGGCTTCGCAACAGCATTCCCCAGATTAAACAATCAGACCGAAAGCTTCCATCAAGCAAGACACTTCGCAATGTCGACCTCCGGTGCCCAGCAGATTCGCTTTCGTGAGTGATCATCCTATAAGACAATCGTTTCTAGGTAGGCTTTACTGATGTCAACAGGATGCGCGATCGCCGTCGTTGGCTCTGAGGACAACTTCCAGGTGTTCACCCAGGACACCTTCGGACGCATCCGCGAAACCCGGTGCCGTGATGGCAAGTGGTCCGGTGGCACCGAGCATGACTTGGTTCGGCAGGGGATTCTCGGATCCCCCATTGCAGCAATCTCCTGTCCCCGGGAGGGTGGCAGCGACGTTTCATCCTCGGAGGACACTACGTCCACCCAGGTCCACCTTTATTATATTGGCGAGAACAATGTTGTGAAGGAGGTCATTCGCGACAAGGACGGAAAGTGGCACGAGGGAAACCTCAACCGCCAGGAGATTAAGGTTGCCCCTTACTCAATGATGGCCGCTTGCTGCCACCGCGGCAGGGATCGGACTCACTGCCGCCTCTATGTGCAGATGCCCGACAATAACATCCAGGAGTTTGGCTGCGATGGTTAGTCTCAGAGCATACTTTTTCGGAATGTGACGGAAGCATTTATTGACCTACCACTGCAGATGAGAGAAGCGGCTGGTCCCAGATGACCAAGCTGGGCCGTGCCCTCCCCGGTACCGGACTGGCCTGCCTGAGCCACAGCTCGGAATCGCACAACAACTCGATGAGCATCAGGTATGATTATCGCCGTCATCACTATAATCGGTCGCTAAAGTATTTGACGCAGGGTGTTCCACCAGTCCGAGGATCTCAGCCTCAAGGAGAAGTTCTACGATGGCAGGAACTGGCGCGAGGGCGACTTCTCGATCTCCAAGGCGCTTCCACGCACCGACCTTGCGGCCACCGCTCTCGACAATGACAGTTTCCGCGTGTATTTCATCCACGAGAACAACCACGTCGTGGAGATGGTTCACGAAGGCCGGAAATGGCAGCGCGGTGACTTCCATCAGCAGTGCGTGCCGGGAAGCCAGATCGCTGCCCTCGCTTCAAACGGCAAGGACCGGAAGATCCGTCTCTACTTCCAGAGTGGCAAGCATGTTACTGCTGTCACTGAGTGGATGTATCATCGCGAGTGGAAGGAGACCAAGGAGGCTCTTCCCCCAGCGTAGGCCAAGGCATGCCAGGGAGACAGTGGCTTTCCCAGCGGAGCGCGTGCCGTTCCTTGATGGTCTCTATTGATGGGAGCCCACTGTCACCGAGGACTTTAAGAGGCTGAAGATTAAGTCCTCCTGCCTTGATGCACTTATGCGCGTTCGTTTTGCTTATTGCTGTCGCTATTTGTGGACAAGATTGTTCTCAGTAGTTCACCGCATATCTGCAATAGGAATCTTGAGCTTTGAAAGGAGGTTTCCCGATTTGCGAGTAGTCTAAATATCCTTCGTGATCAGATGCTCTCAAAAAGGGTGTGACTGTAATCGCTCCAAGTTAAGCTGTCAGTAGTGCAATTCATTGCCGCGGCTGTAGAATAGTTTAAGGTATTTGTAATGCAAGCTCTTTGAATAGAAAATGAACCAGCTATTTTCTAGCCAAAGAGAGCCCATACCCCTCATTACGAGTAACGCAGAAGGGATACATAGCCGTCAGCCCAGTATGTCAGTAAATACAAAATCGACTGTTAGCAAGTAATACTTGAACATTGTACAGGCCAAATTGACAGCTATCCCGGCATACATCAACAAGTTCTCAAACTCGTCGTTCCACCGTGCCACGGCGCCTCCCCAGCTGGCGCCGAAGCTAGCTGCGGCCTCGACGTAGGCACTCACGAGAAGCCATTCTGGCTTGGCTCCCGCTTCCTCGTCCATAATATCACCGGTGAGTGTAAGGGCCAGTGACGGAACTGACATTACTGCCATCAGGGTGGCCTTGAAGCGCTTCTTCACCGGTCTTGGGATGTCCTTCTTCTTGGCCACACGGTTCAGGATTACGCCTGCGAGAGCCTCGGCCCCACTCAAGCCCCAGCCCTGAAAGAGAGTTTGTGTCAGTGATTCCATGGAGATAAAACCTGCATGCATTGCGAAAATTGTGATAGAAGGAGTTGGCTGGCACATACCGCGTATTTGATCGCTTCACGGGCAGCCGATTTGCCCTCGGCCATTTTTGAATCAGGTGCCGCTACCGGCCAGGTCGTAACCCCAGCCATCGTGTTGAAAGTGAGTGTAGCAGAGTCCATTACATTCATCAAGGCATCAATCGGTCCGATGGGAATGAACTCCAAGCCCAAGCCTTCAAATGTGCCGTCCACCAGGAGAGAAAGCATGTCAAACTCACCACCAACGAGCACAGCACCGGATACTGCTGCCACGTTGAATCCAAGAATGTCATATGCGAGAGAGCTATCAGCCTGCCCACTGACATATTGGCCAAACGTTTCCTTGGTCAATCTTCCTTTTAGCTTCGGTGGAGCATGGTTTTTCTTGGCCTTATACAAGACGGTGGTGGGGATGGCGACCAATAGCGCGCAGAAATTCAGCAGGGTCAAGGGGCGTCCACGGGCAATGACATTCTTCCACAGCCACGTTATGACGGGGATTTCGATCTTCTTGTTCGCGATGTCTCGGATCACATCAACACCCAGCTTCAGGGCGTCGAACAGAAGATCGACCAACTTCTCAAGCGCTTTCATCATTCCGTCCACCAGGTCCTTTGTAACCTTGTTGATAACCTGCTGGACGCTATAATTCTGAGGATTGAAGAATTCGACTAGATCCCCGGCAACGTTGACAACGGTGTCTTTGATGGTCTCTAGTTCGTCCTGCAGATCATCCCAAAGTTTTACGATGTCGTCTTCAGTCGTACCCTTGGTAGCAGCGCGTGCACTGTCATCTTCTAGCACCGCGTTGGTCGGTCCACCGCCGTAGGTGAAATAGTAAGTGGACCAATTGTAGGGCACCGTTGCCGAGATATCATCTGTCAGACTGCTGTTGTCTTTGTCGCTATGGCCGGTCTTGGGACGGGGCGCAGAAACATTTTTTCTGTTACCCCCAGCCCCGGCTCCCTGATATGAGTTGTTTTGAAGTGAGTCGAGATTGCTTAGGATCTGCTTGCGCACGTCCTCCAACCACGCCTTTGCATCAATATCAGCAGTCGCAAGTTTCTCTTCGCCGTAGTCCAGGGCAGCATTGAAGCCAGCAGCAATACTATCTGTAGTATCGAGGATGTCTCCCCATTCGAACAGAAAGCCAAGGAATTCGATCAGGTCCTGAATAAAGCCACCGATTTTCTTGAAGACCCAAACAATCCCTTTCACAATCGATGTGATGGTGGTCAGGGCAATCTGGTAAATCTCTTCGCCAATCTTAATAATGAAAGTCCAAACTCCGTCTGACACAAAGATGTTAAGATCAGTCCAAAACTATCATCTTGTACACGCGATCACGAGCAGGATGTTAGTGAACTTACCGACGACATCGCACACCCAATCCCACACATCTTCGGCAACGTCTTCCAGCCATTCCCATGCTCCATTGACCCAGTCTCCTACATCATCCCAAAAGTTTAGGGGAACAATTTCACCAGCGGCCGCGGCTGCGCGCCCTTCCGGAGAGGCGATTCTGGCATGATATGCTTTCAGCCGCTTTTTATCCTGTTCACGAATATCCTTGGCACTCTTGGTGAGCTGGCTGAACGCGGCGGCCGCCCCTTTCGCGTTCTCGTCGCTGATATCCGGGAACAAGAGACTACCATCGGGCTTTGTGAGTTTGCGCACATCTTCCTCCGTCTGGACCCCGTCCAGTTTTGGAAGTATCTTGTCTGTCGGGTCCAGCAGCGGGTCAGCCAGATTGCGTTCCCTCTGCATTCCTTGTCGTGAGGCTGCAGCGGCTTCTGCGGGCCGGTACGCATCCACAGCGAACTGGTGGATCGTCGCGTCGTCGGTCTGTAGCAGGATGTTTAGCACTCCTTTGGCGTCAGTCTGGTACCATCGCGGCTCCAGCGAGACGGTAGTATGTTTGCCGTTAATGATGCAGCGTACCAACCCTGAGCAGGTCACGCGGAGCCACGACCCGGGAAGCATGTCAGACGAGTCGCCGTCTTCCTCGTTCACTACGGTTGTATGCAGGCGCAGCATCAGCCCCTTCACCTCCATCACATCTTCAGTGGATGCGTGCCAGTAAGGGTAAGACTGCCAAGCCTGCGAGCGAGGATCCTGCTGCAGGAGTGACAGGTTGCCGTTCTCGTCCACAGAAATCAGGCTGCTGACAAGAAGATCACTGTTCCCTTCTCTTGGGCGGCTGGATAGCAGACTGGAGATACGCCCGCCCTGGTTGTTCGCAAGGAGCGGAATCACAACCCCCGTTGAGAGTAAAGTGGTAGTCGTCGTGTAGTAATACACTGCATCCTTCGTGTTGGTATACCAAAAGCGAAGGTTCTCACCTGTCTGCGATATTTGCAGATCTTTGAGACTTTTTGTCGCGTCGATTACAGTTCCCGACCCCCCATGCGAGGACGTGTAATTTTTCGACGTGAGAGCCGTGATCACTGCTCCCCCGACCAGCGCCACGGTCTTCCCAGTGGATGGATCAAGATATGACGCAAGACATGTTGCTCCTGATGTAGATTGTCAGCGTGAGGCTATTCGAGTTCTATTCCATACAAAGTAGCGTACCATCGGGACAGGCGACCTGAACTGCAAAACCGTCGCCGCTGTCATCACTGTCATCATCTGAGTCGAGTACTTTGAAGACCAGATACATCTTTCCGCTGTCGAACCCTTCATACAGAACCATGACCCCGTCACCCATTGAACAGGTGATCAAGGTCACATCCACGATCTTTTTCGGGTTGACAGGTAAGCCCCACGGCGTGACCAAGGTCGCAGTCCCGTGTGCAAACCGCACATAGTTCAGGTCTTCGGTAGTGGTCAATCGATCTGGTCGTTGAAAGGCCACCATGACAAGCGGAAGAGCCTCTTCATTGTCGGTGGACTTGTGGCCCTTCATGTGTTAGAGATATCGTTAGCCCTATCCTTCTGTTCACTAAAGTCGCCCGGAAGCTTACCATGTAAATATGGTCAACCGTCGGAAACAGCCCATGAGTGACCTTGGCCGACGGCATGGTACCCGTGATCTCGTCCAAGGTAATGTGGTGCAGCAGGTAGAAATTCGACTCTTTATCAGATGCTTTGGTCGCGATGCAGATGTCTAAGCTGGAGTCGGGTGCTTGCAGGACTGCGAAGGCTTGAACCTGCACGTCCTCAGGGAAAAGGCCTGATTGCTGCGCAAAGTCGAATCTCGTGGGTTCGCGGTTGGTGGTGATGACGAGGTTGAGGACCCCATTCTCACCTAGGGCGAACACCGCAGGTTGCTGCTGGATGTCGTTGAAGACGGCGAAGTGCTCGCGCGCCGGCACGGGATTGGCGGCCACATAGTTGGTCATCACCTCCGAGTCTTTTTTGACGATGATCATGATGAATATGATAGGAAGGAAGTAAACTACAAATGCACAATTGAAAAGAGAGATATAGTAAAAGTCAGGGTAGCTAGCAGGTGTTTGCTGGGTGTGATTTGTGACCTGGGCAGATTGGAGAGATATGTGTGCGAAGCTGCTGCTGATATGGAACTGGTAGCATTGTTAAGCTATAATCTTGCGGCTTTTGGAGATAGAACTCTAAGACTTTGCATAATCAGGCTAATGATGGGGATGTGAGTTGTAGTGGTTCGATAGGTCAGTTGTCTGGGCAAACATGAACTATGGGATCATTTCCAACGCCCAGCATGAAGACTGGTTCGAAGAAACCTAGTAGCTGGCATGTTTGGGTCACCACAAAAGCCATGTAACCTTGTATCCGTGGTTGCACAATGACGGATGAAGATGTAATCATGCATACGGCTTGGGCACTTTTGAGTCCGCTACCGTGCAGTTACCATGCATAACCCACATTCCAGCCTACCCCGCGTGATAATAAGATACAGACACTCCTGTGTGGTTTGTGAGGTTATTGGATGGATGGCAAGTCCGTGAAGCTGGACCACATATCCCCCACATGCATATGCGCTTCGACGTGTAACTTTGACGTCTTTGAATGTGCGCCATTTTGTGCAGCTGGCTGAAAGCAGAACGCTTAAACCGGGAAGTTTAAACTTGAATGTCTGGAAGGCAACCCAATTCTCACCCGATTTCTTCCATGCTTCCCTCATTCCTTGTTGGAGCATCCTGTCTGCACACCAAACTTGTTCCATTGACCCTCATCCACCATTGTTGACACAGCAAAAGTCAAACCAAGTAAAGAGCGGAGATCGGTTCAGAAGCCTCCAGTTTCGATTGGCCATTGCGTATTGTGATATGAATCTCGATTATCTCATAGGTATTCTTGTTCAATATGCTCTGTGGTTCTTTTCCTGTGCGATTCCAATTTAACTAGACATATATATCCTTCCTCTTACACTTGGTGAGCTATTGGTCATTACTTTCACTTCTTCCACATTTTCAACTAGTTCACCAATCGCATTTCTTATCATGGCCTCTCCACGGGACGGTTATGTTTCCGACACGAGCCCCAAGCCCTACGACCAGATCATCGTCCTATCGCAAAAGGTCATCAATAATGGCTTCAAGAACATGTGGAAGATTGCTCAAGATGACCCTGACTCCCCGTTGAACTATTTCGAGAAGACAATGCACGGCGAGGAAATCAAGGCATACATCGGAGTCCCCTCCGTGCGGCTACACGTCGAAAGTAGATTACCAATGTTGTACTTCAAATTGGCCTTTACCAAGGGTACATTGAAAGTCTATGAGAGTGATGACAGCGAGGAGATGATTGACTTCGATGTCAAGGACTGGGTCCTCGTTTTCAATGTCGACATAAGTGAGTGACATCAACACCCCTTCCTCAACCACCACCGCGCAGACTAACAACCTCCAAACTTCAGACCAGAAGCTACTTTCAAAGGACTCGGACGAGTATAAACAGTTCAAGCATCGAGCAGGCCTCAGCGAGTCCAATTTCTCCCTGGCGCAGCTTTATGTTGATGCTTCAGGTGAGGAGCAATTATAGACCATGTGCAATGTGTTCCCCCTGGCTGATTTCAAGAACAGCGAGCACTCAATTGAACGAGGAGTTGACCAGCCTTGGCGATAAAACTCTGGCCGATTTGGCCTCGGCTTCAAGGTCAAGCGTGACCGTGTTCATTGAAAAGTGGATTACTAGCATGCGCGACAAGGGCGAGAGCGTCCTGGGGTTCGCGGCTCAACGAGACGATAGCACCGGTAGTGAGCGTAAGCGAGCCGACACAGACCCACGGGCAATGGGCCACGTACTGACCACTATCTAGTTAACCCGTACGCACCTTCGTTTCCTCCTACCGCGATCGATTACTTTTGCTATCCATGGCAAGGCGGGAAGGTCGATGGCCCGAAGCAAGATGGCGCAGATGCCAATGCTCTCTCCTATCTCCTGACCACTGACTTTAAAAATCCTCCGGCAGAAGGTGCTATCCCGTACAGTGGTCCGTGGGTCGATGGTGATACCCGGCTTGGTGCCTTCTGCATGAGTCGGGATCTATTATGGCCGTGGCTGCTGCCACTCTTGAGAAAGCTGGTCCTGGCCATGACTCCGGTACCAGAGTTACCGCACTGCGTGTGGAAGGGCACAGATGAAGATCTCCCATATGAGACGGGTCCTCGATATCACGTCGGGGAGGATTCGCCTCTCGACACGGACTATCATTGGAAGGAGCACGAGACGCAAAAGTCCCGCTGGGGAATGAGTGCGACCAGAAAGGAGGAGAGCAATAAGGCATTTAAGCCCAATCACCACGAAGACAACATGAAAGCCACCGAATGGGGTATGCTTTCGTCATTTGCCCTTTCCAGAATATGTGAACTAATCTAGTACAGTCGACGATGTTGAAGCGTCTGTTGTATACGAGGCCGGAGCCGAGAGGCTCACATTGCAAGGGTGCAGCACGTTTGAGTATGATTTGTACCATGACAGAACCGACTATGATCCCACAGAGTAAGTTTCCCATGCTTTCTCCGAGGTAATGATGTAGTATAAACATTTCCACTCATTATGTGCAGCTTTTACACCTATAACAGCATCGAGTGGAAGATTGTGCTTGATATGACCAGCATTGAAGAAGGGGGACTTATCTGGGAGGCTGGCAGCACTGAAAAAAGTGTGGATATACAGTATTATGAAGGCGGGGACATGAAGATGTCTCATACAGCCGAGGACCTGGCAAATAATATCGCCTCGGATCTGAAGAAAAACCTGGCTTTGGCGTTGAACAGGGAGACTGGAACGCTGGTCGAGGCGTTGGCGAATGCAAATCGTCTTTGTCTGCCTGGTGCAGGCACGTTCTTCATGAAAGATCCCATTTTCAACCAGAATGGCGATATTCTAGTCAAACTAGAATATGACGGGTTCGTCTCTCTTTCCTCGACTCCCTTGATGCTCATAGGTTCTAATGATGTACAACAGGGCCGATCCCCCACCACCTCCAAAGAAAGGCAAATACAGAGTCTTGCCTCGAGAATTGAAGACTTCGGTCCGTCGCGCCGATCCAGAGGAGCACGCAGAGATGGTCCGACGCCGGGATCTGGCTCGTGCGAAGCAGTAGTATCGGTTGCGGGTGTTGTATAGGTTACATCTCATTACTGTTCTTTCAGACTTGTGTATTCTCAGTCTCGCTCTGTGCATTCATCGTACAGGAACCGGGCTTTTCCATAATTGACTCCAGTAGGGAAGGTGTAATGTGACTGAAATGTTTGGGATTTAGTCTACATTTCAAGGGTTTGTATGGAAGATTGCCGTGAGATATTCTAACACGTGATATATATATATTTATATACATGTATTTTTGTACTAGATAGATATGTTTCTATACTGTACCTCATGCCTATGATATAAATCACGTGATGTGATGTCATGTTTTGAAAGATTGACCCCTTGAAATTTCAGTAAGAAGAAAGATTGTTCCGGAAGTTGAAATTTGACCACCTCTAGCCTCTAATGCTTGTAGGTGTAGGTGATTGGGATTTTGCTGTAAATCCTCGATTCTTACACAGGGGTAGCTCTCAGTTCAGAGCCCGGAACAATCCTGGCTACTAAAATTGGATATACGGCTTCCAGTGCTACCACACATGGCTTGAAAATTGCTAAGAATTCCAATAGCTCGGGAACGGTTCTTGAGTATCACATTTGGCTCACCGACAATGTGCTGAAAGTTGGTATAGGCCGAACACGAACCACCAACACTAACAAAGCCACATCTGCACTGACAAACTGTTATAGCTAGAGCGTGATCGGTGAATAGTCATCCTCAAGTACAGTGTGCAAGGCAGTCGAAAACTTTTGTTTGTTTTCCGGGCACTTCATTGGGATCTCCCATAGCTGTAGAGGCATGTCAATGAAAAGAGTCTCTTCTCAAAAGTAGCAGCAACGGATACCACCATGGAGATCAATGCTTATCCACTCGCTAAGAAACGCCAGCATACGCTCTTCTGAGAGATCTGGAAGCATGGAGAAAAACTTCTCTCGGTGACTCAGTACCATCCACGACCAAAAACTCATGGTTCCCCGGGACGGCGCCAGAAGATTCACAAGCGACTCTACGATGGTTGCCGGTAACGTTACTTGCGCCCGCAGGATTCGGTTCTTTCGAACATGGCGATGGCTAAGGTGCCGGACAAGTGCTTGAAGGACATCAACGGGCAGTTTGGGATTCTGGAGCAAGACCTCATATACTGCGTTGGATAGGTCCCAATCCTCGGGAAAATCCAGGATCAGGGTAAGCTTGCTCACGACACTCTCAGACATATACATGCTTTCTCCTAGCGCCTTGACTGTGTACCGTCGTACTTTGATCGATTTGTCTTGTAGAAGGGGTACAATAGCGTTGAAGCTTCCTTTGTCGACCTTCACGTTGCTCTGCAAAGCGGAGACTACCTCTGCTCTCGTTTCCGCTCGTTCGTAGTGCAGGAGGAGGATGAGAGCCTGAACTATTCCTGACGGAAGTGTTCTTTGTGCTTCAATACAGTTTGCTGCACTTTGTGCCACCTCTTTATCATTTTCTTCGAGGTAGATTATAAGCTCTGCAAGAACACTTTCTGGAAGAGTTGTGACGCCTTCGAGGCAGAAGACAGCATGGCGAGGTAGTACTAATTTGGTCTGTTTTGGGACGAATTCCAATTCATTGAGAAGGTCCATCGTGTAGTTTGAGTACTTGGATAGTGCTCTTGCATCGTCGACAAAGTCGCCACTTCCGGGGTTTTGCACAATACATTCGAGATGGTTCCTCATCTTTGTCGACATAGGCGCATGTCGGCAAAACACCTCAACAAAATGTTTCCTGGCAGTGGACTTTTCGTGCTGGATGCATGTCTCGATGCACGTTAGAGTCTCTTCTGACAAAACGCCCTAGTTTCTAAGAGATAACGCTGCATTTATCCTAGTACCTTCATCCACGTCATTTGCGAGAACAGAAGCCAACCCTTGGACGATTGGTGGTGGCAAATCAGACTGATACCCAATTGACTCTGCAGTACTCTGGCGAACAGCTGGATTCTCAGCGTTTAATAGATTCAACACGGAATCCCAGTCTTCAACTGTGAGTGGCAATTGTTGCCGTAAACCGTAGGATACAATATATATGACGTTTGGATTCTGGTCCACCAGTAGGTCGCGAAAAACCTGTTTTGGGATAGTTCTATGCTTCCACAACAGTCTCACATTGGATAGATAGTCCCCGTCGCAATCCTCTTCATGCTCTAGCAACGCAAGTATGATATCACCTGGTGAGCTCGGAGGGCACCGAGTGAGCTCAACAAGAAAGCGCCGCCGCTTCACGGGCTCTTGGCCTCTTATGATCTTCAAGACATCTCCACGCGCTGATTCTGCATGCTCTGCTAGTATATCACAAGCTGGTCCCCACTGATGTAATTCTGTGGCATCATCTACTATCGTCGAGATGATTTTCAATAGGCCGCAGGAAATCCTGTCCCGGTTTGCTATTATTCTCAGGAAATTGCTTCGAAGTTCCACGGGCGTTCTTTGCAGTGCTTGTTCTAAGAGGTGCTCTGGAAGCTCGGCCTCAAACAAAACTGGAAACCATTTATTGTCGTCTTGCATCATTCCTGTGCCACACAGAAGTCGAGATACGTGGTTCTCCAAGTTTGATCGAATTCTATTTACTTTCGAGTCAGACATCTGAACAGGAATCTCATGAAAACAATGCATCATAAGTGTAAGCTGTCTCGGTCCAAGTAGATCCCGGGGCTCTGAGTCGAGAGCCCGCAAAAAATCGATGAGTTTGCTCAGGTTTGCTTGGGCTGACAGGAGACCGGAGACAAATCGCCACATAACGTTATAGCGCATGTTGTACTTTTCGTTTTGAATGAGCTCCATGGGTGCGAGCTCTTTGCGGCAAACTCGGTCAAATTCAACGATGAAAAGAGGTTTGCCCTCGATCCAATATTGAACGAAATATGCGGCCGCGAAGAACTCCTGGAATATCAGGTGAGTGAAGTAATGAGCAGAAGATGGATCCGGACTTCGGAGAAAGGAAAGCCTACCCAGCATGCTGTCGTTCCAGTGAGGGAACCATTGGAAAAATGCATCCCTCTGAAAGGGTTTTCGCAAACGATATGTCCTAGCTCGGCTTTCGTCTAGCGGCCCCATTTGGTCCTTCTTCCCCAGCGAAACCATGTCCTTTCTCCACAATTTCGTTTCGATGGCCTGGTAGAGGAAGGTCATGGTTTTTACATCACTCATGAGGGCTTCTTCTCCCCAAGTAGGACACAGAGCATCTAATTGCACCGGTATCCGAAGCATTTCTGCTATCCCTCCGTGATCTTCCAGAAAGTCTCAAATTTCTTCCTTGTGCGCGTCATTCGTCATCACCCGAGCTATGTAATCATGCACTTGCTGCGGGCTAAATCCAATCGTCTCCAGTTCCAAGTCACAGCCAGCGACATATACTAGGGCTGCATAAGGGCGTGACGTGATAATGGTATTTGCCTGCTTGAACAGGTCTTGAAAATCCTCGACCAATCTTCCCCCTGGGTTCATCTCTGCTGCGACTTCATCAAACCCATCCAGAAGGAAGAGTGTACGTTTGTTGTTGCCTCCAAAGACTAGTCTCCATAAACCACTCGCAAGAAGTGTCTTATCTTCGACGGCGGCAGAGAACTCATTTTCCATGAACGTCTGCAGTGTGGAACTCGCCTTCAACTTTCGAAGTGGGATCCAAATGATTCTATCAAAGTGCGCAGACCAGATACTACCGTTGCAGAATTCATAGATGATTTTCTTGCACAGGGTTGTCTTTCCCACTCCTGCACGACCCCGGATCAGAATCCTTCGAGACCGCCTCTCGGTACCATCCTGTCCACCACGCTGTTTAAATAGGTCAGGAAGTTTGAGCTCTTTTATTGGATCTGGTGTTTCGACTTTCAGTCTTGCGCTCAAGGAAGTTTCCAAGCCCTCGCAACATTTGCCGAGTTCAGTTGACCGCTCTACTGTGCTTAGGTTGATGTAGCAATTTTCCAAACTCAGGAAGTCTCCGGATATTCGCCGGATCTGTAAACGATCTTGTTCAGTGTAATACTGAACCAGTCGAGAGTCTGCATAGTAATCATGAGCTTGGTGGCATCGCTGCCATGCTGCTGGATAAAGCTCACGTGTGAAGCTCTGCGGTATGTTTGACTGATGGCAAAAGAGATTGAGTTTTGGCTTGCATTGTCTTTTCTTCCAAAACTCATAGAAATGGCGCCGATAAGACATTGATAGGGACAGTTTCCAGTCAGGCCTTTTCATGGTCTCAGCGAGAAAGTTCCTCCATTGCGCGATCTGAGGGAGCGCTTTGAAGGCAGTCTTCAACGACTCTTGGCAATGCATCCATTCGACGAACTCCTCGATCTTGGATTTCAATCCGTCGTTTGCAACCCATGTCTGTTCGAGCTGTGAGTACAGCCCGCACCAGAAGGGCTCTTTATCAACAGGAAGCTCAGGCAGTATCTGCTTTAGAAGTTCAAATGCCCCTGCCTCAGAAAGCAACCGACAATAGCGAAGAGCACCGTACCATTGCCGTGGCTTCTGCATACCATTGATAGTGTCAGTGAACGCATTCTTCAAGCTTTGGGACTCTTGACGGAGTTGCTTACCGTTTTCAACCAAGGTCTTGAAGGCACTCAGTAGCTCCATGACAGCTGGAGCCGCGTCGATCAGGCTGGCTGGGTCTAGCTTCGAAACACCACCACCCACGGTCGCTAGCACCGAAATCACAGCCCCAGCATTCCTCCCAAGCGCCTGCCATGGACCATCATTATCCGGCACCCCTCGCAATGCCTCGTAGGCATAACTCGCAGCCTGTGCTAGGCGTGGCTCTGGATTCTCTCGCAGTTTGCGGAGCAGGTCTAGCAGCGATTTGTGCAGCCATTCCCTGTCGAGCCCAGTAACTTGAATATCAACCATGGCATCGAGCACGACTCCCAACGTACAGATAAGGTGGTACACTTTCTCTATTTCTGCTGCCTTCGGAGCGAAATCCAGGCGCTTGTATAAGCTATTCAGGGTCGCTCCCAGGTTATGACTTTCCGCCGAAAGAACACCCTTACTCTGGAGCGCAAGGACAAAGGCTTGCAGAAGAGCGGTATCAAGCACGTTGTTATCCGAAGTATTATGTATGATCGCGTTCGAGAAAGCCAACATCAGTAGCTTGTATTGTTCTTCTTCTGTAACGCTGGCCAGCTGCGCAGCTTCGACTAGATAGGTCGCCCTCTTCTCATTTTGAAAAGCTTCAATCATCTCCTGCACCAAAGTTTGCAGCGCCTTATACTCCTTTGCATCCCGTTCCGGGTTCTTCAGTCGGCGAATCAGATCATCGGTATCTATTGGTCGAGACGGGCAGTGCAGGCGTGCCATGCTGGGTGTATAAGAAATCGGAAGGACTTGGCTAGATTGAAACCTGTACTACGGTGCAGGCAGGTAGTGCGCAGGGCATTTCGAGAAAATTCCAGGCATCAGCTCTGGCTAAGCATGATGAGCTGTCATACACGTGATCATAGACAAAGCACTGATGCGGGGGTCCAAAAAGCTGTACCTCGGCCAGGGTATATTCTAACTTGATTTGAACCAGTTTTTGGAGACCTCATTCGAGACTCCTGCCCGAGACATGTTTTGAGCTTTTTAAAATAAGTCGATCGCCCCTATTATACTGGTCTCTCCAGGTTCATTTCACAATATTGGTCTTGATCATATTGCTTGCACTGTCGGCAATCTAGCCGGCGGCTATTTTTAGGTATAGCGGGCTAGTCCGCATCCCGCACGACGCTAGTCCCATTTAGCTTCCGGGAAAGTTTGTTCCCGTCCCTCATCTGACTCACGCCAAGTATTAATAGTTAACTACTGTGCATATCCCAGCACTGGCGTGTCATTCAGTCTCTCCATGTTCAGGCTTTCTACCTTCAAGATCAAGAAGTCAACAAATTGAACCTCATACTCTGCTCACTGTCGTAAAAAGTCTGACCAAAGCCCATCATCTAGTTATTCATACATACATACGTCTCGGCATGGCCTCGATACTGCGGGTTCCCTCGCTACGCGCCAATTTAATGCATGGCTTCCTCCGCAAAGGTGCACGCGCAATGATCTATCCTCGCCAAATATCATCTTGCCTAGTGCGTCAAGCTCCAATCAACAAGAACTCTGCCTCGAAAGACCCTCGAGATCACGGGGAGAGACCCGGGTATTGGAAGTACGATCTCAGCTTCAAGGGTCAGATGGGAAAGGCTGTCTTCTTCGTGACCTTGATGTTGGTGGGCTCTGTGGAGAGCTGGTCCTGGTATCGAGATGTTCGAAGTTGGTGGAAAGGGGTTCCAGATGATGGCGCCGAATAGACCATTTTGTCCTGTTGATCTCTACTGCGATTATGTGGTAGATGGTGAATGTACACATTTTGTGCACATTTCTTTGTGTGGCGGAAATATCCGTCGCTACAAGCACGACATATTCTGGGTGACATCTTCTGCAGCGATATATGGCATGTGACAAGGAGCAATAGGAGCCTCGATCAATCGTGCGTGGCTCATACCGGTCGAGCAGATCATGCTCTTGATGTTCTTGAAGGCCATGTGAGGCATCACGTTTTGTCATCGTGAGAAGGGAAACCGATCAATGTGAGAGGAAAATGTGCACAGATATGTTCAAACGAACTGTTGAAGAGCAGGAGTTGCGTCCAACTACAAGGGATTCTAGACAGACGTTGCAAGACCGGGCTACTTTCTGCAGGGAACCAATTCTATCCTCTGCGAGAGATCGCACCCCCGTCTCGGACTCGAGATTATTGCGGCGTCTCTAGCACTATTTATTCAATCACCGCTTAACAAAGGATTTGGCATTGGTTACTTTTGTACATCCACTATGCGGTTTTGAACTATGTAGAGAAAATGATGGCCGGTGAAGAGCCAGCCATCCATTGAAGGGTGTGTTCTATGTAATTCTACTCCTTTTCATTTGCCTTCAAAAACTCCAGCAGTTTCTGCGTGACAGCAGATGGCTGCTCCTCGGGGAGAAAATGCCCACAATCATCAACAGCGCCCCCAGAGACGTTCGTTGCGAAGCTTTGAACCATATTCACCATACCGGAACCAACCGAGCTGGCGCCACCCAGAGCCAAGACAGGAAGGTCGAGTGGTGTCTTTGCAAAATCGAGATTCTGTTTCGAACTTGTCTCATAAGCCCGATAATACTCGAACCCCCGACTCATGGCTCCCGGTCTCGAATAGGCCTGGATATATCCTTCAAACTGATCCTTGGATATACCATCCTCGCGGACCGTCTTCAGATTGAAGAACCAGGTCAGGAGCTCGCGCTCGCGACCTTGCGTGAGAATCTCAGGTAGCTCCGGAAGTGCATTGAAGGAAAACTGCCAAAGGCGCAGGTTGGTCTGGTTCGACATCGGGAACTGAAACGGGGGCAGGAAGCCCGGCACGGACGCGTCCAGGATACTGAGCGATTTGATTCTCGATTGGAATTGAGCGGCCCAGGGATACGCAATCCACCCACCCACGTCGTGGCCCACGAGATGGTACGGCTTTTCTTTCAGGAGATCGTGCACCGCTTCAGCCATGATTTTGCTCACGTTCGCCGTGTCGTAGCCATTAGCCGGAGCAGGCGATTCACCCAGACCCGGCGGGTCGAGAGCGTAAAACTGATAATGCTTGGAAAGGGGCTCGAAGATGCCGCTGAAAGCCTCCGCTGTTTGTGGCCAGCCTGGAATGAGGATCAAGGGGGGCCCTTGACCGCCGAATATGGCTCGGACGCCGTGAAGGAGACGTGTGGTTTGCCATTTTGATGCCATTGTGCTGATATACACTTCGTTAAATGTGTGGACGAAGAGTTCCAGAAACGGACGGTCAGCGAGAGTAACTCTTCCGCCATGGGGTTCTTTGGTAGATTTATTTGTCCTATAATGAGTCATTGCGACGCGCGTAAGCACGGAGCTCTATATTAACTTGTAGCCTTCGGAGCACCCCTAATCTGTACTATGATTGGTCCAAAGCTTCCAGTGCTTGTTTAGCGCTAAAAGGTCTTGGCAATATAGCATACAGTAGGCAACTTGTATTTATCGGTACTAGCGCTTATATGCTGCGTTCGGATTGGTTATCAATCATGCGGGGCAAGAAGGGACAGACCAGAGGAGAGGGAGCCACCTTCCAGTCATTCAAATTCAGCTTGCAGGTTTGAAAGAAGATAAAGCTAGCATGTAAAGAATGGTATATACTTACTACTACGAGGTGCTAAGTAAACATACTCACGTGTTTGATTTTGAGTAGGGAACATAGTAACTGCAATCAAATTTCTGTCTTCCTGCTAGAGATTTCTCATTTATTGGTGCTTATATCATAGGTTTTGGGAGGCTGAACAGCGTCTGCGACGAGCCTTACGCGAGATCCTGCTCGAGCTGAGCGAACCGACTTCTTGCAAAGACGGCGCTGTGTTGGTATAGCGATACCCCTACGGATACTTTCATAATGGAATTCCACCCCGACGTTGAGAATGTCTTTATTGGTGGCGGGTGTAGTAGACAGTAAGCTTGATTCTGCTTTCTGTGGAATGTCACATCACTAACCATATGCAGTGCTTTCAATTTCCTTTCGGTACTGGTAGAGTACCTGCGCCGAGCATGGGACAAGGTACTGATGCCCCATTTGGCTGCCAAGTGGCGATACCACACGGAGCATGAAAATCTGGAGGATGCTTTCTGGGGAGATAGGAGTCGTGGTGGACCGGAACGTCGGGAGCTGGATACTCGTGAGCGATCTAAGGTCTGAGATGCTCTCATGGATCTCGCAATTTCAACAAACCTGGTTCCTACTCCAATATTGAGGTCATATTGATATCTGAGTAGCAACCTTATCGCCATTTGAGATCTAATCAAAGAAAGATAAGCAGACATCGAAAATAACCAAGGATGAACTCCTTGGCTTTCCTTGGCGAAGATCATCTACGCGGGGTATGTAACGCTAGACCGGATGTGGTCAATCACTGTTCGCTCACGTGCGGTACCTATCTCTGGTAGTTGCTTATCTGCTTTATCTGCTTAACATTCTACCTTGCCAACACGGCCCACAATTTGTTCTCCATCTCCGTCTCTTTCTCGTTATTGTAAAAATCAGAGACATCTATTCTCCCCAGGCAAGGCGCAATCGTACTGAGTATGGAGACTAGATCTTAGAGCGAATAATGAGGCTTGTCAATGGGAGGCGCCCCTTACTGACTTCGCTGGAGCTTTGTGGCTCTCATCATGCCCTCAATAAATGGCCATAATTTACTGGCAAAAACGCGAATCCGAAGTTGTGAGCTTTGATGCTGGCTGAGCAGAGGAAGCGGTCTCCAAGGTAGCTCCGGCTGTTGTCTCGGACTTCAGGGTTGTGCTACCTCTACCTCTGTCTACTCACGCTTAAGTATACTTATGGTACATTGCCTATCTGAAGTCTATTCAAAGATATTTCTTGCTCTCCTCATGATTGAAAAACAAAACTCGAAACTGCTCAGGCATAGTTGACGGTAGACGCGGCACGTCTGCTCGAGGCATTACGGGCGCTGCGGAAAGCATGGCAAACAACAATTCATGTCGTTGACAACACAGTGTGCTTTCAAAGGGTATATGTTCTGGACAAGAGTCTTTGTTTACCCATAATGAAGCTTCCGGGAGATCAGCACGACTATCCACCCATTGCCCCTTTGCCCGCCTGGACCGCCAGCAACGGGACGCGCTACTATCCAGACCTTTGTATTGCACAAGCACTAATTCAAGACTTCAGCATCAATGTATGTTACATTCAGATCATCCGCATCTGGGATGAGATCATGGATCGTCATCATCGGATATGATCGGGAAACAGAGACGGCATGGTCTTCTGAATCTTCGAGCTCCAGGCTTCACAAGTTCGAGGTATACCTGTCAGAGAAGTATCGCTTGCGGAACATTTTATTCACAAGACAGTCGTCCAAAGACCTTGCCAGTCAGCGAACTACTGGTATCCCTAAATCTTCGTTCAATCTCCCTTCCGTCTGTCAAGCACGATTCTCAATCATCCATTTATTCATCTCCTTGTTCTGTGCAACGGCAGCATCCCACAGATAAGTCTTATCTCCAGTAGCCGGTTGACTATGCATTCTTCCGTTCTGGCTTGGTGTTCGGGCTAATCAGGAAACATAGGAAACTGGGATAAGAAGCTCACAACCCCTGGCTTGCACGTGCGGTCGCCACCACGGCGGCAATTTCGCGGATCTTTCAATTTTCTAGGGACTGTAAGGTAGCCAGCGAGCCCAGCAACCTGAACGCTGCTCTTGCAAGGACCTCCTCAACCGTTTTCAAAGACGTGGCCCCACATCTCCCTCGTACAGTGGGACAGCTCCACATTGTGCGGACAAATTACCTCTGCAGTGCTAACTCCTGCACAGCTCGAGCTCCTCGGAACTCTACGCGCAGTTGCAACAAATGGCTACCAGCACACCGCTAGACAGACCGTAGTAATCGCTTTCCAATCCACTCTGATCCATAACCTTCTAGATCCCAGTATTCACTTGCTATTTGATCTCGACCCAGGCCACCGTCGGGCGGGTCTAAGGACCCCAACCTCAACGTCTGCATGGGGTTTACTACGCATTTTGTCTGCCCCCTGATTGGAGAATATGCAGTATATATATCGTCCAGCTAGTCAACATGCTAAACTAATAGCCTTAGTTGTTATATGCCGCGTTCCGACATTGTGGATAGCTTGCGTGGAGATGAGTTGTTCTCGCATTTTGCCCCGGACAGTCTCCGGTGGTTGCAACTCGGATTGTTATCAAGGATTATGTAGAATTCCCACAAAAATGGTATATTAGATGCTAAATGCTATACTATACTTCTGGCAACTCAATTCAGTGTACAATAGTACTGTCAAGAGCATTTGTAAGTTGTGATAATGTAGAGTCGGAAACATGAATATATATATATATATATATGAGATGGTCAACCGGAACAAGAAATCCCTTCCGGTATTTTCCCCTCGCAGATGAACACAAAACATCGAGGTGCTGAATGAACTACTTATAAGTCCATACCTACTAGAAATTTCGATGTAAAACAGAAAAGAGGTACCGATGGAAAGTCTGATCAGTAATCTTGGTCAGATGGGCATGAACTTGCAGTGAAGCCTGAAGCTCGAGCAAAACAAGTCTTCCGGAATTCAAAAACTCCGTTGTTATCTTATCAGTTGCTTATCGCCGGTGCTTTTGTCCTGGTATACAAATTCAATATCCCTAGGCATAGCCACCGGTCGTTCCTTCATGTATGTAATAATGGTAGTAAGCTGGTTCGTATAGCTTGCTGTATCACTCATATAGATGCCCGCCTTATTCCTTTCGATTCCATGATCCTAGTTCTATCGTTCCATGAATCAACGAATCTTAGTTCCTGAGCTACAATGCCCCGGGAGCCTTTTCGAACAACATCTTTGGGTACTCAAGGGTCTCTGCAGGTGATAAAGATGCCGCGGACCGTTAATACTCGGACTCTGCTCATATCATGACTTTAATTATACCACTGGGGGGCCTTCGTCGCAAAGCAAAGAGAGAGACTCATGTGCAGCTCTGATTCATATATTTCCACTACGAACATTTGAGGGCAATTCCGGGTATGCAATATTGTGGATCACGGCAAATGATTCATGGAATACACGCGGGTGATCCAGCTGCGTGATCCCTGAATCATGGGAGCGGATCGCTGCTCCGGTGGGATATCTTAGTAAGTATCGTGATGATTAAAAATCAAAAGTTGCCCGAACAACTTGCCAGATTGCGCATCCCTTGTCATCTTGACTTCAAGGTGAGCAAACAATTCGAGATACTTTGTAGTGCTATCTTGATATCGCGCATGTACCCGGAAAAGGATATACTCCGTCTCGAAAGAATTGAGGAGATATTAATGATGCCCCACCAATCTGTCTGGTTCGTGTTTACCAAGCCACCATGACTCGTGACGGCGCCAAATGCCGTTGGCCCGCGGAGAATTCAGTAAGGAGAGGGCTCCTTTTGACAGGATATTCTTGGCTCTGTCGGCACTTCACCTTCGCCGGTTTTCATCGGCTTATGAAGTTGCAGCAGAGTTAGCCACACTGAGGCTACAAGTCTTACTCTTCCATATACAGCTGGGGATTCAATTTATTCAATCATACGGTAGTGATCCCACCAAGGTTTTAGGAAATATTGAGGTGAGACAAGAAGGCTTGGCAGGACTGCTGCATAAATATTCACGTGAACCGCGATTAGGTCTAGACAGAGCACGTGATACGGCAGTTTCGGCAGCGGCGGAAAGACTTGCAGGGCCCGAGCGACGACGGATGTCATGCCCTGCTCGGGCAACGATTTTCCTCGAACCCTTCTTCCCCCACCCCTTTACAGCCTGCCGCTTTTGGAGAACCATCCACCGCCAATTCCATGTATTCAGCTTAATCGCGAGCTGGGTAAGCTTTGATGTTCCTCTATTATCCAAGCTGTAAGCTTTCGATAGGCATTCTTCAGCATCAAATCGACCCGTCACCTTCGGGTGCCAGGAAATTACCTGTGGAGCACTGAAAAGCAAGCCTCATTTAATGGGCCTTTAATGTCCTCGTTACCCATGCTAATGAGGCTAAATCTCGGCTCGCCAAGGGGATGGTTTCTAGAAGGGATTAAAGTCCGGTAGAAGGGGTCTGGCATCGAGCCCCTCGGCAAACAATTGGCCTGTGTGGATTCTGCCAAGAGCTCCGAACCTCTTTTGGGTGGGGCATTTCCATTAAAAGATGGACCTCCGGTATCACTCTGCTGCACTGGGCAAACGGGTCCAACGTTCGGCGCATGGTTCCAGGTCCTTGTTGAATTGGGCAAGCTTGTCTCAAACGTAAACAGGGGTATTCTCGCCGACTCCACTATGATGTCCACGATTCTCTATATAAGATATCAACCACCACGTCTCTGTTGTCCTTCTTGATCATCCAACCACTCTCTTTTCTTTCATCCATTCTCACTCATTCATTCTTTCCTTTCGCACTCTATCTGTTGATCATGAAGTACGCAACTCTTCTCGCCGCTGCCGCGGCTGTCTTCGCTAACAGCGTCAACGCTGGTGTCGTTGGTGCTGCTCAAGGATTCGCCAAGGGCGTTACTGGTGGTGGCAACGCCCCTGAGGTCTACCCCAGGACCAACGAAGAGCTGGTCTCTTACTTGGGTGACAACGTGCCCCGTGTCATTGTCCTTGACAGAACGTAAGTGCTTGATTCCAGAACGCGGGAGATGAGCCACGCGACTGACCAATATGTTCGCATACAGCTTCGACTTCACCGGAACTGAGGGCACCGAGACCACCAGCGGCTGCTCTCCTTGGGGTACTGGCGCCAACTGCCAGATTGCCATCAACAAGGACAACTGGTGCCATAACTACGAGCCCAACGCTCCCAAGGTCAACTCCATCACCTAGTACGTCTCTCCCTCCGTTGCATCCCCGAGTCGACGTCTCGCTATCCCGTTGCACAAGATATCACATACTGACAATCGCACAGTGACAAGGCTGGTGTTCTCGGTATCACCGTCAACTCCAACAAGAGTATCGTCGGAAAGGGCTCTGCCGGTGCCATCAAAGGAAAGGGTATCCGCATGGTCAGCGGTACCAGGAACGTTATCATCCAGTGAGTTTATCATCATCTGCATCAGTCCTCCTTACTCACCTCGATCAGGAACATTGCCATCACTGATATCAACCCCCGCTACGTTTGGGGTGGTGATGCTATCACCCTCAACGACGCCGACTTGGTTTGGATTGATCACGTTACTACTGCCCGTATTGCTCGCCAGCACATTGTCCTCGGAACTTTGGCCGACAACCGCGTCACCATCTCTTACTCCCTGTTCGACGGTCGCTCCGAATGGTCCGCTACCTGCAACGGCCACCACTACTGGGGCATCTACCTTGATGGTTCCAACGATATGGTCACTATGATGGGCAACTACTTCTACAACCTGAGTGGACGTGGTCCCAAGGTTCAGAGCAACACTCTTCTTCACGCTGTAAGTCTTCCTTTGAAGGAGCTTTGACCAATGAAGCGCGGAGCCTGTCGGGATGCATTTATCCAGAATTGATAAAGATCTTATCACACCACACACATTTCGACTTCATGTGCTAACACAGTTAATCAGGTCAACAACCTCTTCCACAACATCGAAGGTCACTCTTTTGAGATCGGCCAGGGCGGCTACGTCCTTGCCGAGGGTAACGTCTTCCAGAACGTCGGCGCCCCCGTCGAGACCCCCTACCAGGGCGCCCTCTTCAGCTCCCCCGACGCCAACACCAACAGACAGTGCCAGGCCTTCCTTGGCCGTTCTTGCCAGCTCAACGCTTTCGGCAACTCCGGCCCCATGAACAGCGCCGACGGTGGCATCCTCGACAAGTTCAGGGGCAAGAACGTCGCCCCCGCCAGACCTCCCACCAACATCGCCGCCTGGACCATGGCCAACACCGGTGTTGGCCACGTTTAAAGCGGGATTATTCCCTCCATCCTTGCTTTAGAGTTGCCAATGCTTCTTCAGCAGATAAGCCCCCGTGCTCGACTTTCCTTTTCTTCGCTGGGCTAGTTCCAGCACTTATTTTCCTACTATTTTATCACTTACAGCTTGCTGTTCAATCAAAACCATCTTGAACTCCCAACCTGAAGTCCAAGTAGAGTTATCTTCCTAAAATTAGGATCATCCTGTGGAGTACAGCAAGATCGAAACATCGTTTCCAAGACAGTAAAGATGTGCGTAGTTTGAATAGATTAAAACGGATTTGCATGTTCGCATAAATCGATGCGCCAGCATAAGGACCCTGAATGACTCAGCAATGCAATGTCTCGGACCCTGTCCCTGTTTTGGAGATCACAGGACCTGCGGTCCGAGTCCTTGATTTCCGGTGTTTCACACACCGCTTGTCAGTTGTCTCAGGGGTTCCTTTTGGGACGAATTTGTTTCACACCGCGGGCTCCCTCAACCGGGGATTTGGTTCGGGAATTTCTTGTTTCTTCTAAGTTCGAGCCTCCCGGTCACATTGTTTGGTTTTTCACTGCCCGGATTATCCGGCTTCCGGCGGGGTCAATGCATTGCTTTATGGAGTCGAGGACGGAATCAGGGTCTGCCCGCTCAGGGTCTACCCACTCAGGGTCTCGCATGTATGGTATTTTCAGTGAGGGGGAGGCCTTCTCTCATCTTGTTCGTGTCGTTTGATTCCAAGGAGACTTTTCATACATTGGCCGGGTTCTAGCCCAGAACACCCACGACAAGTCATAAAGGCAACAAGGACCGACACAACACCTGGTACGGTGGCGTTGCCTCTACCGGAGTGAAGCAGGGGTTAATTAGCCGACAAACGTCTACAGAATATAGAGCTCACGAGTAGCCGTATCTCCTTCAGGTAGCAGGTGTTCATCTTCTGGCTAATGGCTTGTGGCCGGCGCCAGCCGGGAACGTGCTGCTGTGCCGTTTACTGAGCACGTCAAGAATCCAGCCCTACTTACTCCGTACTTCGCAATGACTACATCGGCTCGTACCCTCTGCGAGGTGCAGACCAAGCTGTCGATTCCAGTTCCAGCATGTACGCACAGCGGGATAATTAGCTCCAGCGATTTTGAGATAGAGAAAACCGTGTAAGGCATCCGTTGCCTCAGGCGGCGCCTTAGGGCTGACTGCTACGGTCGCATTCTCGCATTCTTGCACGCTATCTGAAACGCCAATCGCCACAACTCTCAAAAACAGACAAAGCACCCAAGCTGCGATGCGTTCATGAGGTTCAGTGTTACAGGTTTCGGTCGTGATATTCGATTCTTGGATGCAAAACAGGGTCTGAAACCGAGATGGCGGGTGAGTTTGTGCCGAGTGGATCTTGCGATGATCTCCGCTCTCCCTCACTCCACTTGCCCTCTCTAGCTCAGGGTTCGTTCCATGGCAGATCGATCCCTTCATACTCATAGCTACCTATCAGTTAGTTGCGAGACAATCTGTGCTTCCCAAGTCTCTACAGCATCCAGCAATCGACTCGTAAATAATTGGTGGGATTACTAAGGTCTGAGGACGTAGATGTGCACCACCCGACACGCCAATGACGTGAGTGCAATTGACGCGCGAGTGGTTGCCCTGCAATTTATAACCACGATCTCATAGGTCGTCAGTTGAGACAATTCCCCGCCTGGTGCACTTATAATGTGCATGCTGAGGCATTTGGAGAGACATGGGAGGCGTGCTGTGCTGCAATCGGGCTTTGTATCATTGGACTGCAGCCCAGCCGAGAATGTCCGGCCAGCGACGAATACGAGGAACGAAGATTCACTCGACCCCGCATGGTCCGATATGACAACCACCGGGGCCAGGTGGGCGCCTGCTATTGGACAATTCACCAATTTCCGAATCCGAGTGATCGACCTTTGCCCCTCTTGGGGGGAGATAAAGAGATAACCCGGGAGGAAAGCAAAACCAGGCCAGGCCGCCCTTCCTCGTCAGATACAGCTCGAAGCTTCAGCCCTACAGCCGATTTTGCAAGTACACTGAATTGGTCGCTACTTTATAGGATCGTGGTTCAAAATGGAGATCAGAGAGAAGATGGACACCGTGAACCGTCCCGATGAGTGGATGATCGAGCAGGGCATGGCCGGCCACAAACTGCCCATCCTCGACCAGACCGGGCGCGAGACCGTCCACCTGTACCCTCCCGCCCCGATCAAGATTTCCCAGAATAAAGAGGCAATCAAGGCGGTGGGAGATCGCAATAAATTGTTCGCTCGCGAGCGGGAAGGCTGGGTTGGGTATGCATCTTAAACAAAAAAGAAAAAAAGCCATCCAGCTTGAAGCTTACCCACCGGCAGATACGTCGAATGGGAGAAATACCCGGAAAAGAAGGCCAAGGCCCACCAGATTTTGACCTCGCAGACCTTCCCCGAGTGTCCCGATTATCAATTCGGGCCTATCCCGGGCACCAATCCCGTGCTTCCGGGCGACGACTTCAAAGCCTGGCATGCGGCGATCGGCGGCGAGCTGACCACCGTGGCCGACGACTCGTGGAAGACGGTGTTGCAGGAGAAGCATCCCGACATGCTGCACCTGCTGCAGTTCCCGTACAACGGCGAGCCGCCCAAGCGCCTCACGACCGCGAAGCCTATCACCCCGAACTCGCTGCACTTCGTGCGCAATCACGGCGGCATCCCGCTCATCGACAAGGATAAGTTCGAGCTGACGCTCGACGGGCTCGTCAAGAACCCGAAGAAGTACACCCTGGACGAGATCATGGATGAGACCCGGTTCCCACGCGTCGAGAAGACGATCACCATGCAGTGCTCGGGCACTCGTCGGATCGAGCAGATCGCGCTCTATCCCGGCCAGGGAGATGAGGTGCCGCAGGCGCCGTGGGCCGAGGGGGCGATCGGCACGGCCCGATATGTCGGTATCAGTCTCAAAAAGCTCATCAAGGACTGCGGGGGCCTCGTCGACGGGGCCAAGCATCTCGAGTTCTACGGCGCGGAGACGTACGTCAAGGACCTGGAGGTCATGAACTATGTGGTCAGTGTGCCCTGGTCCAAGGTCAAGGCCAACGAGGTCCTGCTCGCCTGGGAGATGAACGGAGAGCCGCTGCCCAAGATCCACGGGTACCCATTGCGCGTCATGGTCCCGGGGTATATCGGGGCCCGGTGTGTCAAGTGGCTTTACCGCGTGAAGGCGATCGAGACCCCCTCGCTCGCGCCGGTGCAGGCCAGAGAGTATCTGTACTTCAATCAGCAGAGTGGCAAGCATAACCAGCGGCCCATCGACGGCATCCAGATCCAGGAGATGCCTGTGAGCTCGGCGATCATGTCCCCCTGGCAGCATCAGGTCATCATCCACAATGGCTCGATCGAATGCAAAGGCTGGGCTTACAGCGGTGGTGGCCGCTGGCCCGAGCGCGTCGAGTTGTCGGCTGATGGCGGGTTCACCTGGTATGCAGTCCCGCAGGAGCGGCTGTCAAAGAAGGGCAAGTGGACCTGGCGGACGTGGGAGATGGATCTTCCTTGCGATGCTGAAGGATGGATTGAGATTGTCTGTCGTTGCTGGGATAATGCTCTGAACACACAGCCGATCGGCATTCGTCAGACTTGGAACTGGGGTCTGCATGTCACGTCTTCCGCGCATCGAATCAAGATATACAGTATCAATAAGACGCGGGAGCTGACCAGGAAGCGTTTGGAGAAGTTTGAGCAGATGGGGATTCCCTTGGCTCCGATCACTCGCTATGATGCCGTGTCAAGCCTGACTGATGCGGAACTTGAAGAGTATTGGAAGATTTATCCTCGCGACGTTGATGAGTAGGAGATGTGGGCGGAGAAAAGAAGCATGGAAGGACGCTGCCTATCTGGGCGAAGGTGAAGCCGAGAAAAAGCGCGTAGTGCTGAGATTCTGCCGATCGGAGATGTTCTGTGCGGGTTGAGAGCGGTAGGAGTATGCCCAATCAGCAGCCAGTAACTATCGGGCCTGAATACGTGATTTCCACTTGAAAACTGCCCTATCACAGAACAGGGATCCCGTGACCTCTCCATCTTGTCTCTGACTATGCATTTGCTCGCTCATCTGTTTGACCATGATCTCTACATAATCGCACCTTTATTATAGGGCCAGGTTGGGCATGTTAGACGCTTTGTCGTTAGTGCGATTGCAGATAGTTCAAAAACTTAGGTATGCTTATGATTCAGTCGGACTTCATTCCTAGTGCTGCATGGAACCGCAATGGATAGACAACATCTACAATATTGTAATGGACAGCCATGTGCAGACACATGACAGTGAAACGGACGAATGGGAGCAGAGAGTGTAGTTGCTTTCTCTTGCACGAGTGATCATACCTAGCGAGAGTCTACAGTTGTCGCAAATCTATCATATACTAACCCCAGATAAGGATCTTGGTATAAACGGATCCTTGGATTATAGAATTAGCCCCAGTTCAGGGATGAAATACCATTAGCATGCTCATGATGTTCCCTGAAGAAGCTCGTGCACAACAGCAATCATGCACTGATAACTTGTCGCGAGCCTCATGACCTCCCTAATCCCTCCAAGATCTACATGCCCCAGGCGAGGAATGCTACAATCAAAACAAAACAACCCAAATATAGGACTTGGTGAATAGTACATAACCACCATGGCACAGCAAGCCCATCCAGCACACATCCCAAGCCACCGCCAACATGATCCTCCAGTCCCTCCTAACACTAACCCTCACCCTCCTCCCCCTGACCACCGCCCAAACACTCAACATCGTAGCCCACCAAGACGATGACCTCCTCTTCCTCTCCCCGGACCTACTCCACACCATCGAATCCACCACCCCCTCGACTCCAGTACGCACAATCTTCCTAACAGCCGGCGACGCAGGCGACCCATCAACAAGCTACTGGAGCGCGCGCCAAAGCGGCTCGCAAGCCGCCTACGCACGTATGGCCAACTTGCCCAACGAATGGACGCAATCCACCCTCTCATTTCCCGACACCGATTCCTCGATCTCAATCCCTCTATTCACACTGACCGCCAACCCGTCCATCTCCCTCGCCTTCCTCCAGTTACCAGACGGCAACCTCCACGGCGAAGGCTTCCCAGTGACAGGCAACGCAAGCCTCGAGCAACTGTGGCACAACGAGGTTGCCTCCATCACAAGCATCAACCCGGACACCAAGACAACATACACGCGGGACACGTTGCTAAGCACTCTCAGTGCCGCCATTGCGTCCTTCCGTCCGATGCGTCTTAATACCCAAGATTTCACTCGGGAGTTTGACGCTGTTACGCCCGGTGGGACCTGGACAGACCATAGCGATCATATCGCTGCCGCGAAGTTCGCGCAGGAGGCTGCGGCTGGGTCTGGGGTGCAGGTCGAGGTTGTCGGGTACATGGGGTATCCTGTTTTGGATGCGCTGAAGGAAGGCGGGAATGTGCGTGGGGCAGATTTGCTGGAGAAAGAGTTTGTGTTCTATACGTATGCTCTGGGGGATTATAGGACTTGTCGCGATGAGAGTGGGTGTCGCGGGGGTAATGAGGAGGGGTGGCTGGCTAGGCAGGTTGTTGTCGCTTCCTCCTCTTCTGCTGGGCAGGGTGAGGTGGTGGCTAGTGCTGAAGTTGTTGATGGAGATGTTGTGTCTGGTGGTCTGGGGGCGCAGTGGGGGTTTGTCACGGTCGGGGATAAGGTTGTCCTGGACGGAGAGGGCAGTTATGCTGGCCAGGAGTATGAGTGGCGGCAGGTGGAGGGAGCGCAGGCGCAGATTGAGAATGCGGACAGCCAGAAGGCGAGGGTTACGGTGCCTTCTGTTGCTGTTGGGGAGCGGTTGGCGTTCGAGTTGCTGGTGGCTGGCGATGAGGTTAAGAGTACACCCGCTAGAGTCACGTTGTTTGTCGTCCCTGGGGAGAATGTCTCGGCGCATGCGAGTAATGTGACGGCGTCGTCGGAGAATGGTGCTGACGGACAGGCTGCGCTCAAGGCTGTGGATGGCTTTGTTGGGGGGTATCCTGGGGATGCATCGGTTGAGTGGGCGACGACAGGTGGGAAAGAAGGCAGCTGGTTGAGGCTGGAGTGGGATGCTCCGCAGAATGTTTCCCAGGTCTATTTGTTCGATCGGCCGAACACTCAGGACCAAATCACTGGCGGTGTGATTGAGTTCGATGATGGCAGCAGTGCTGGCTTTGCTGCCCTCACCGGTTACGGTGCGCCGAACAGGGTGGACTTCGAGGAACGGTCGACTCATAGTCTGACGGTCAGGGTCACTTCGGTCAGTGAAACAACAGGGAATGTGGGACTGGCGGAGATTAAGGTGTTCTAAGCAGCGAGAGTCTTTTATTATGTACAGTACAGTATTCGGCAGAACACGCTGGCGGTTAAAGAGTTTGGAACAGGAACAGTGGTTGCACAGATCGATCGTAATTGTCACAGCTCAGGGATTAGCTGATTTACCCTGGATATTCATCACAACTAGATCCTTAACTTGTTTCCTTTATCTTGGACTACTATTGTATAAGTGAACTGTAGAGTAGCTAACAGCCAGATTAGGTTAGATTAGTAAAAACTTTTATATCTAACTATAGGTTTATAATTAGATTAAAGAAATTTTTATATCTAATTATAATATAACTAAAAATAAAATAATTAATTATTTTAATTATTCTTGATATTAAAATTTATTTATTATATTTTTTAACTCTAATATAATTAAAATATATCTAAATTAAATAATAATTAAAATAGTTAGAATAATTTTTATTAAATAATATATAAAAATAAGTTTTCTGAAATAAAAAAAATAATTAAAAAATATAATAATATTTTTTTTATTTATAAAATATAATAAAAAAACTATAATAATATTAATATAATTTAATTTTTTATAATATTATTATTTTTGTAATAAAAAATATAAAAATAAATATAATTATAATTTAATTTAGATTATATAAAAAAATTTAATAAATTATATAAAAAATATTATATTTTATTATTAAAATAATAATTAAAAATTAATATAATATCTCTAAATTATTATTAAATATTTTTAAATAAATTTAATAAATTTTTTATTTTTTTATTTTTTATTTAAAAAGATCTTAATTATTTATATATTAAATTAAAAGAAATTTATTTTATATTATATAATTAATTTATATAAAAATTTATATTATTTATATTTATTTAATTTAAATATTAAATATTATATTATATTTTTAATAATAAATTTTATAAAAGTTTTTTCTAGACTTTTTTTATATAAATATTTTTTTTATTTAAATTAGAGTAGTTAACAGCCAGGTTAGGTTAGGTTAATAGGAACTTTTATATCTGACTATAGATTAATAATTAGATTAAAGAAATTTTTATACCTGACTATAGTATAACTAAAAACAGGATAATTAACTATTTTAACTATTCTTAATATTAAGATTTATCTACTATACTTTTTTTAGCTCTAGTATAGTTAAGATATACCTAGATTAAATAAGAATTAATCTAATTATTTTAATTATTATCTAAAAATATATAAAGATAAGCTTTCTAGAATAAAAAAAAGTAATTAAAAAATATAATAATATCTTTTTTTTTTATTTATAAGAGAAGATAGGGAAATTCTAGTAATATTAATATAATTTAACTTCTAAAAATATTATTATTTTTATAATAAAAAATATAAAAAAAAATATATAATTATAACTTGGTTTAAGCTATATACTAGAAATCTAATAGATTATATAAAGAATATTATACTTTTACTATTAAAATAATAATTAAAAACTAGTATAATATCTCTAAATTACTATTAAATTTTTTTAAATAAGTTTAATAAATCTATTATTCCCTTATTTTTTATTAAAAAAGGTTTTAATTATTTATATATTAGATTAAAGATTATTTATATTATATTATATAATTAATTTATCTTAATAACTATATTATCTATAATTATTTAATCTAAATATTAGATATTATATTATATCTTTAATAATAAATTCTGTAAAAGCTTTTTTTAGATTTTTCTTATATAAGTATTCTCTTTATTTAAATTTATTATCTTTATTTAATATCTATATTTAGATCTTTAAAAAAAGTTAGATATATTAAAACTGTAAGATTTCTAGGAATTAAAATATAAATAATAAAATATTTATTAAAGTATAATTTATATCTTAATAAAATAATATATTTAAATCTAAGATTTATAATAGAAAAAGAGATTATTTAAGTCTTAACCCTAAATATAACTCTAAATAATTAAGTATTTAAGTTATTTAGAAGAAGAAAATATTTAATAATTTTAAACTTTAAATATAGTTTTTTATTTATTATATTTATTAATAATAATAAATACAGCAGGTAGATTAAGCTGAAAGAAGAAATATAATAAATTATATTTATATATAAATATATTTTTAAATTAAATAATACTATTTTTATAAAGTTTTTCTATTTTTTTTTATTAATCTATTATTTACAGAATCTTTCTAGTATTATAAATTAATTATAATTATTTAGTTTATTTTTAGAAGATATTATTAAGTTCTTCTCTTCTATTTCTTAGATCTTTATAAATAATAATAAATCTTAAATTAAGATAAGTTATTTAAATTAGATTTTTATTTCTTTCCTAAGTCTTAAAATTATATATATTATAAAAAATTAAAAGATTATTCTATATCTAATTCTATAAAAAAACTTTTTATCTTTTATAATTAGTAGTAGGAGATATCCTTTTCTAAAACTTATTTATAAATTTAAAAACTATTATTTTACTTTAATTAGGAAAAGTTATTAATATTATAAAAAAATTTTTAAAAAAATATATTATTTCTTAATAGAATTCTTTATATTTATTATTTTATATATCTTTATATTTTATAATATCTAGAAATTAAAAACTCAGGAACTAGTTTTATAAGTTATTATTTTTATAAGAGTTATAAAAAAAAATATCTTTAGTTATATCTAAGTAAATAATTAATTAAATATTAAGTAAAGGATTATTATAAGTATTTATTTATTTTTTTAAGATAAATCTTTATTAATTATTCTTTATCTCTAGATCTCTACTACTTATAATAAATAGGATTTTTAGGATTAAGTCTTATATTTTATAATTATTTATTATTTATTATTCCAGATTATTAAATATATATAATTTAAATAAATAATTAATTTTACTATTTTATTTCTTTATTAAAGACTAAATTCTTTTAATTAAATATAAATTAAAGAATATTTATTAAAGCTATTTAAAAAAATATATATAAAATTATTATTAAAGTTTTTAGATACTAGATAAATATTAATTATAGTTAACTACTAGACTAGTTTTAATTAGAAGATATTTTTTACTTTAATTAGATATTTTTTAATAGAAAATATAGATTATTATAAGATTTTACTAGATTTTTAATTAGTATCTAAATCTTATACTAGTAAGAATCTAATTATAATTATTTTATTAATTTTATATAAGTATAATCTTTTTTACTGGTTATTAAATATAATAACTGATAATATTAGTAATAATAATTTAATATTTAGTTTAATTTTATTAGAACTCTGGACTTAATTTAATTAGAATATCTAGTTTTATAATATTTTTATTAACTCTAATCTTATAAAAATTATTTAAAGTTAGTATTATATTTTTTATTTTACTTATATAATTCAGCTTATAGTTAATACTTTTTTATAAAAATTTTAGATTAAAACCTTAAATAATACTGTTAAATATATTTAGAATAATAATAATAAAAATCTTAAAACCTCTTCTAGTATTTTAAGAATTTTTAAAAAAATATATTTTAAAAATTATTTATAAAAGTCTTTTATAGATAGCTTCTAGAGGTTTTCTTTTTATAATAATATATTATACTAATTTTTGATTATAGATTTAAAAGATTATATAATTTATAAATATAAGTTTTTAATACTATAAGAAGTTCTAGTTTATTTAATAATTAAAATTTAGTTTAATTTATTATCTTTTTTTAGATTATAAGATTTATTAGAATTTAATCTATCTTATAATTTACTAAGTACTTAATTTTTATTAAATAATTAAAAGTTTTATTTAGTACTATAATTATACTAATATTAATTATCTTTAATTAATTTTAATTAAATAAAAATAAATAGAGTATCTTCTTAAGCTTTTATATTTATTTTTTTTTATATTTTATTTATTTAAGAATAATAGATCTACTATTTATAAGATTTATAATATCTATAATAACTTTTTTAATTATCTGGATTACTTTATTAACTAATTAGTAAAAAAATAAGTATTCTAGAAGAAGAAAATTCTTAAGAATTTATAGAATATATATTAAAAATTATAAAAATATTACTATTATATCTACTAGATAAAAAACTATATTTATATAATTATAATAATTTTTAACTTAATATTTAAGCTTAAGAAATTTAAAAAAGATATATAGTTTAATAATAATATTAATTAATATAATAAATACTAGACTATCTTTAAAAAGATATTTTATTTTTATTATAATTAGAATCTAGCTATTAATATATTATTTATTATTTTTAGATTATTTTTAAATCTAGATAAAATTTTTTATAATATCTTTAAATACTAGAGGCTCTTATCCGTAGTAGAGATATTTAAAAAATTTAAGATATATTTAAATATTAAAAATATATAATTTATTAACTTATTTTTAATTTAATTAATACTATTCTAAATATTATAGGATATACTAATATTCTTATTTACTAAAAGTTCTATTATAATTAGTTTTCTATTTTTTATTAAATAACTAGAGATTTTTTATCTATTATAACTAATAATATTAGTATTAAATATTTATTTAATAATTTTTAAGATATTTATTATTATTACTAGAATTATCTCTAGCTTAATATAATTAAAATAATTATACTTTAGATATATATTAATTATTTTATTATAAATAAAGAGTATTAAGATATTTTTAAAAATCTTAATCTAGACTTAATTATTTTTATATCTAAAGATTAAAAAAAGAATAAAATAATTATTATTTTTTATATTAGTAAAAATAAGAATATAAATAATCTAGAAGATAATCTAGAGAATAAATTATTATTAAAAATAGAAAAAATAGTTTTATTTAAGTTTATAAATATTATATATTCTTAGATAGAGGTCTATTCCTTATAATTTCTATATTATTATAATTATTATTCTAGATAATATAAAGAGTAATTAATATATATATCTTATATTAGATACTATTCTTCTTATATTAAATTCTATAAAAGCTTTTTCTAAAGTATAGTATATCTCTTAGAAGAAATAAATAAAATAAATAAAAAAAATAAAATAAATAAAATAGAAAAAATAGATAAACTAAATATAAAGAATATAACTATACTATAATTAAAAATATATTATACTTTATATATTATTTATATAAAAAAGATATATATATTATTAATTAATCTATAATTAATAATTTATTTACTATACCTAATCTTTCTAACTGGCAGGTATAAATAGTTAAAGTAATAGTTATATCTTAACCTGACCTTAACTATACAGTTAAATCACTTTTTATACCTTAATCTAACTGCCAGGTTATGGTCAGGTTAAGGTTAAGGTATAATGGTCAGGTTAAGCCACTCTAGCCAGCGGCGCAGAGCTGTATTTAGTATTAAATCTAGATATTTTGAACTTATATAATTCAACAACAAGAATACTTAAAAACTTTAAATAAATATATTATAGAAATAAGTATATTAATTCTTTATAAATCTTATTTAGAAATATCTATATCTTTTTAAAAAGAAGTTATTCTAGAAAAAGAATAAAATACAAAAAATACACTGTATTTTTCTATATTAAGTCTTATTAAGCTTTAAATTAGAAATCCTTGATGTAAGTACTAATTTATAACTATATAAAGCTGTATATAAGATTATATAGAATAATATCCAGAATTGGTCGAGATATAAGGGATTGAAAATTACTATTTTATATGGGAAATGCAGCACGCCGCTGGCTTACACGCGCCACTCGCTTACCGATTACGTTACTCTGGGCTGCTTAGTAAGCAAAAAGCAGCGCCAAGTTGGACCTAAAGTGGAAAGGGAAAGTCGCTGGATTTCCGCAGCAATCCAGCTCGTTAGCAGCTAAGTCAGCTGCCTGTGCCGATCATGCGCCGGTAAGCTCTGGTATAGTCACTAGGGCATACTATGACTTCTTTAGCGCCAATAGGAGGTTCGGTGACAGGGAAGTTCATGGTTCGGGCCGAGCCGAGGGGGACGAGGAACCCCGGGAGTTCGTGGATACTTCCATGGATGGCCTCACCGCAGATCAGTGAACAACCATTTGAGAAATAGAGGACGAGCGACAGGCACACACATGAATCCACCCCGACAAGTCGAATAGCCGCTCCACGCCTGAATGTGGGGACTCACCAAGCTCGTTACCTATAACAAGGACGGTATAAGTATCAAACAACCCCTACGTGTCTGACGAGTCGAAGCGCTTGTAAATACTAATGGTTACCAGCCTTAACAATGTCCTATGAGAAGGCAATGCCAAGACGCAAATAAGACAGTCGTGAACCCTTCTTATTGTCATCTTCTATCTCACTTTCCCGAATCCTAGTCGCCTTCTGCAACTTCTATCCCAACCAGCCCAATTACATCAAGCCAACTCCGCCTCAATCAAACTCTCCGCCACACCAGGATACGTGTAAATATGCACGACCTTCAAGCCCGCCTCCGCCAAAATCGCCCTCCACTCCGCCTCCGTCCGCTCCCGGACCGCAAAATGCGCCAGCATCATCATATCCATGCTCGTGGCCGCCAACGTCGGCCTCTCCTCGCTCACCACGATCTCATTAAACAGCACCCGCGAGTAACCCCGCCGCAACGCCGGCACCAGGTTCCGCAGAATCTGCACCCCGCGCTCATCATCCCAATCGTGAAGAATCGAGTGCAGGTAGTACGCCCGTGCCCCACATATTGGCTGCGGCGTGAAGAAGTCATGTGCAGATGCGGTGTACAGGGACAGCGAGGTCGCTTCCAATGCGCTGATGACGGGCTCGCGGTCCTGCAGAACCACACGGCCCGGGTGAGTCGGATATTGTGCGATGAAATGCGCGACATCGTGGCCACTGCCGCCTCCGACATCCACCAGTAGGACGTCGCTGATGCTGGGGTCGAAGCCTGCGATGAGGCGGTCTGCAACGGGGTAGAAGCCTGGGTCTCACCAGTTCGCTTTCCCGGCGCGGTAGGCGCTCATGAATGAGTTGAAGTGTTTGAGGTTTGGAGGGTTGGTGGTAAGCCATTCGAAGAAGTGCAGCTGAGTGGAATGGGCGTGTTGGAAGGGGCCGTTAAGGCTGCCAATCACCGGGGACTTGTACTCGGTTTGCTGGAAGTAGTCGGGGAATTTGTTGAAGGATGGTCGGGCGGTGTCGTAGCAGAACGATATGCTGTCTTGGTAGTTCTCTGCGGCGAGCTGGTTGCTTAGAGGAGTACCGTAGAAGACCCCGTCACGGAAGCTGATCAGATACATCGCCACTAGGTGGCGTGTTAAGCGCTGCAGTAGTACTACATCCACGCCGGTCTTCTGGGCGAGATCGGCCGGACTCAACCCTGCCTCATCAGCATCTCGGAGTAGCTGGAATAGCTTGGTGTCGACCGCAATGCGAATAGTGGCGGACATAGCGGGCTATGAAATTATCCACGAGTGAGTAGGTGAGAGTTGTCACGCTGGAAAGGTGTAGCAGCATCATACCTCGGCCCAGAAACTGCGTTGGATGAACTCGCTCGGCATTTCTAATGCCGCGACCAGGGCGCGACTGCGATCAATCAGCGCTTCTCGTGCACCGGGCTGATCGCTGTCAAAGGCCTTGCCTGCTGCGGTGAGGTCTTCCAGAATGGAAGAAACGGATTGGTTCGTCATGATGCGCTGAAAGCAAGAATTTCGGTTTGGGGAAACTTTGCAAGGGACTCGGAAGCTTCGTCAATGATCCCTGTCCGCTCGAGGGGTACACGGTATATAAAGTATTGCCACGTCCAGCGCAGGCTAGTCAAATTGCAAGCATTGGAGAAGTGGATAGAAAACTTCTCTTTCAAATATGCATTTCCTCGGCACGAGGCTAAGTAGCTAGCTGTTGGCTTGATCTGATGTGAGCACTCTCTTCCCGCGTCTCTTTGTATGAGGACTGTGGGCTGATCGACTGTGCTTAAAGTAGTGAGTAGATAAGCTCCTCAGTGAATGCAGGAGCCCTGCAGTTTTCCCGGCTGTAGGCAAGGACCATGCTGCAGCTGCATGCATGACAGATGGCAGTGACAGCTGTCCTTAATGTTCTTCATTTCTTAATCATTTATTCCATCATATGTTTGACTTAATTAAACACGCCATCCTGTAACCGAAGGTTAGACTAGTTCGAGCCGCGGAGACTTACCGGAGCCGGACAGGAGACGGACGTTGGCACCGGCGCTGGGCTAAGAGTGCTAGTGCGCTGTCGCCTAAGAACCATGTGGGCCCTGTGCTTGCCTGTGCCTGCCTGTGCTGCACTGTTCCTGCCTCAAGTCTAAGGGCAATGTGTCTCACATCCCGCGTTCCCCATTTCTTTACTCCAAACCAGAAATGCATCTTGGGAACCTTGGCCACAACGGTACGACCCGACCCCGGCGCTTTCCGCTCCACTTCCCAAACCTGTTCTCCTAACGTTCTGACTTTTGGCTGGAAGAAGAAAAGAAATAGAGCAATCTTTTGAGTCTTGGAACAGTTGCTGCGATAACACGGCCTTCTTGTTTTCACGAGCACTAACGATGGTGCTTGCAGGGATGATGCTTGCCGAGGCCGGTAGAGAGCCGATCGCGCCACCAGCTTGTTAGGGCTTAGAACGCTTGTGCTAGGGAATACGACCGGGCGATGCTTTTTCTTTCGCGCTCCGCTACCTTTAAAGTCGTGCGCTCTGTCAAGAATTTTTGTTTGTCTCCATGTTCCGAGTCCTGTTTGCAAGTCGAGGAGATGTGCTTTGGCCACTTTGCGGTGGCATCTTGAGATCATTCGGAGCTGGCAAAGCACATAAACCGACCGTGTGACCGGCGTGTCAATGGCTTCTTTCGACACCGATGTGGATTTCAATGAGAGTCGCGCCGCCGAGATCAATGCTGTGGGGTGGGTTTTCATCGGCATCGCCATCGTCGCTGTCGCGTTGAAACTCTTGCTCGTGGGCATGTCACTAAGAGCTTAGGATGGGATGATTTCTTCATCTTCTTCTCAATGGTGAGTAATTAATGGGTTGCGTATCGCGCACAGAGTCAGAATTCACTGATCATGGGCTAGGCACTGAGCCTCATTGCTGCGGCGTTGTCTCGTACGCAGTGACCTTAGGGCTCGGCCGTCACACTGCTGCTGTTGTGGCTGACCATGGCATGGACCGGGTTATCCTGACTGCCAAATGGCAGATAATCGCATTCCGTGAGTTTTTTCTCGCATAATACAGCTGTCAGCTGAATTACCCTTGGCCTAACACTATAGCACCACTTAATATCGGTACGTCTGCCTCGCTTTTTTCAACCTCATCTCTTCCGCGTCGTTTCTAACTGATTGCCCCGGGTTGATTGCAGGCGCCTTCAGCTTCCCGAATATCTCCATCGCCATTCTCATCACCCACCTCCTCGACCCCAACCCACTGCGCACCCGCTGTCTCTACGGCATGGTAACGATGCAGGTCGTCTTCGCCATTATATCCGTGTTCATCGTCTTCTTCCAGTGTCGCCCCACCCAGAAACTGTGGAATAGTGCCCTGGACGGCCACTGCTGGGACGCGAGCGTGTTCGACGACTTCCAGTACTGGGTCAGCGCCTACACGACGGTTACGGATGTCGTGCTGGCCGTGGTACCCATCAGTGTGTTCTGGAAGCTGCAGATGCGTTCCTCGACGAAGGTGGGCGTGTGCATCATGATGGGGCTGACCCTTCTCTCGGCGGTCGTGACTCTTGTCAAGGCCGTATACTTGCATCTGTTCACTTATCACATCGATCCCTGTGAGTGCGCTTCTCAGCCACCGGCCAGTCATTGTCGACTAATGTTCTCCGTCGTCTTCAGTGTATAACGTGGTACCGTTAGTAATCTGGGAACTGTACGTGGTTTATACTCTCTTGTCCCTCCGATCACCTGATCCTTCGCTGACGGTCCGCTCTAGCATCGAGCAGAATGTTGTCATCGTGGCAGCCTGCATCCCGACTTTACGGCCCTTCTTCCGGCGAGCCTTTGGATCGAATACCACAAGCAGCTATCCATATTCTGGGTCCACATACAAGCTTTCAACCACGCCGAAGCCGACCGCTTCCATGCGCCTTCAGTCGGAGTCGGAGTCGCAGTTGGCGCCGGACTATCCCAGTGAGCAGGAAAGTAAGGGTGGCGGCTTCGATCATGAGATTTGGCGGACGCATCAGGTGCATGTCTCGGTACAGCCGAATCACACAGCACATGACACTTGACAGTCTTGGTGCGTCCTGCGAGTGCGTCCTGCGAGTGCGGTCTAGTGAGTCCCAAGTTTACTAGGGACAATTGAAAGAGATTATCCTAGGTGTTCTTTTCCTTCTATAGGATTAAGTATCTGTTCTAAAGACCCAGCCTTCTCTTCATAATATCCTATTGGATTTATCTGCGAGCTTAGATCGGTTTGATTTGGCATTTGGCTCTTTCATTCCCATAAATGGGGTAAGTAGTGGAAGTATATGACTACCAGGCATCTTCGAAGAAAGACATTCATCCACCCATCTTGATTCATGTTCAGTATCATGTATTGTGAGTTCTTTACTTATATGTGCGCCAGGACTAATCTTACAGGCATCCATGAACAGAGAATATATAGATTAGGCATTTAGCAATGGTTCTGCTTCTGTAATCGGTATATCGCAACGATCCATTGAATATGCACGAAAAGCGAGCTTAGATTGCCTATGTCTTCTATCTGTTTGCCCCCTTATACACACACCTTAAGACTAATCGATCATCAAAACAAAATACACATCATCCCCGGTAGAACTCTTCTCCCCGAACCTAATAACAGTAGTACCAAGGCCCAATATCAGGCTTAACCCCGCAGGTCCGGGTACAACACATTGCGGGATCATTGATATTACAAGGTTTGTTTGTAGCCACGCAGATCTCCGGACAAGAGACCTTGATATCCGGGAGGTCGCCCGTGAGGGGTACCTTGTACGTGGTAGGATTCTTTCCATCATCACTCGTGCCAGTCCAGACAGCGGCTGAGTGATCTGCTTTAGGCTGGGCGTCTAGCTGCAGCGTCTGGCCCCGCTGAGCGAGGAAGGTCTTCGAGGTATCATCATCGAGGGTGAAGGAGCTCTTGGGCAGGTTCCAGGGGAACTTCACGTTCACCGAGCACCCTTCATTGGTCAGAGTGATTTTCTCGCAGAGTAGGTTCGTGGCGGCGCTGAGAAGTCCGCTGGTGGGTAGCCCGGCGCACACGTCCCGTAGAGAATGGGGCATCGCTGCTGCCAGGGTGGCAGTTGGGAGGAGCCAGATGAAGAGGAATGATTTCATTGTGGTTATTATGGGTCTGATTGCTTGGATAGTATGAGGGAGAGCAAGGAGGAATTGAGGACATGGGCATTGAGAAATCACCCTGTAGTAGAAAAGGAAAACATGCCTTATATACCATCCAATACTTCTTTACTGGGGTATGCCGAGCACAATGTTTTTTTCTCTGAGATCAGACGACATTACAAGCCCAGGGTCTAGATTCCCGCACTATCCAAAGTCTCTCTGTCTAGACCATTGTTTCCTCCATTAGGCTTTTGTCTTTGTGGGGTGGTTCACAATGCTAGACATCGGATCTGGGGGTCACTCCCGATCTCAGATCCGATCCCGTTCCCGCATCTCGTATCCCTTCCGTTTGCGGCCACTCGGTGGCAATGACAGTGCTTGTCATACAAAAGCTTAATCTTAAGCTCTTGCTATCATGCACAGCCCCGTTTCGGCTTCTTGTCACGGTGCACATTCTAACATCTCCCTGGTCATTTTTTCCCGCATGGTCGCGTTCAGATGCGCAGCTGCAGGGGGGTGAACTGAACTGGCCCACATAGAAGCAGTTCTGCCGCGAAGCTTCTTTGTTGCAATGATCCCGTCGAGAGATCTAGGTGGGATAGTTTGGGGCAGCCTGGGAGGGGATTCCGCGGGAGTTTGGCCTTGTTGTTCGATGTCCCTGCACAGCAGACATTGAGGTTACTCACCACTCCTCCATTCTCTTGCTCCTCTTTCTCGAACTTCGCATCTCTCATCGGTAATCTCACTCGGCTTACGACTATATATCGGGCATCTGTCGGGGGAGTTCCTTTGTTAGTGGAAGAAGACAAAAAAAAGACAGAGCGCTAGTCGGTCATGATCGACTCACGAATATGGATTTCTCTCTGTGAAGAGCCGCTCTCTAATTTCATAACTCAAGCATCGACTTGAACAAACAGTAGTGAATGCTCAACCGAAACAATCTCACCCGACGGATTTAGACCCGAATTTGAAACATCGCAAACCTCGACTTCTGTTTTCCTAAGGGATATCAATCGGATATCGCGTGGGTGTGAAGACTGTATCATGGGTATCTTGAAGGATTCTCTCTCACAGCGGGCATAGTCTCTATCGCTTGAATTGTCTTTTCTTATTGTACATTTGTTCATGTTTTCGTCAAAATATCTCTATAGATATTTTATAGAAAACAATCTCAACCCGGCATACAGGCAGTGGTCTAGACTGTGCCTACCACCAATTTACAGTAGTAATATCCCAATTAGGTGAGTAGGCAGGGAACAGCAACACAGTTTACATATACACTAGACATTTAACCCAAAACATGCTATCAATTGGAGAACTCCATCCGCGGCCTGCCTCCCGCAATGCCCCTTCGGAAGAGCATCCGCCCTCGGGCCCGGCACCCGCAACACCGGATCAAAACGCAGATATAAACCTAACACCAGACATCATTCATAGCCAACGACCCTCACCAGTCTCACACACCCAATCCAACACAGACACCCACAAGCAAGATGCAACCGACGCCACTCTCCCGCTTCACCTCAGCCCCCTACATCCCACCAGACCGGATCTTCGAACTAACAGCCCAATACCAAGCCGACCCAAGCCCCCAAAAAGTCAACCTAGGGCAAGGCACCTACCGCTCCAGCACCGGCGATCCCTGGGTGCTGCCCTCCGTCCAAGAAGCACGCAGCCGACTAGCCAACAACGGCCTGAACCACGAATACCTCCCGATCCTAGGGCACGCGCAATTCCGCAAGCTGGCGGCGCGGATGGCGCTGGGCGAGGCCCTCCACGACACGCTGGGCTCCCGACTCGCAACCTGCCAGTCCCTCTCAGGAACCGGCGCATTGCACCTAGCGGGACTCCTGCTGCGCCACCTGCACCACCTCAACCTCAACCCCAATCCCGAGGGGCAGACCAACCGCCCACTCCCAAAGATCTACATCCCGGACCCAACCTGGTCGAACCACCACCAGATCTTCACCTCCCTAGGTTTCCCCGTCGTCTCGCTACCGTACTACTCCGCCGAGACCCGGTCCCTCGCCTTCGAGCCCTACCTCTCCGCGTTGGAGAATGCAGAGCAAAACAGCGTGGTCATCCTGCACGCGTGCGCGCACAACCCGTCCGGGTGCGACCCGAGCACCGCTCAATGGCGGGAGATTGCAGGGGTCATCAAATCCAAGAACTTGTTTCCGGTGTTCGATGCCGCGTATCTGGGATTTAATTCGGGGGATGTCGATGAGGATGCTGCTGCTATTCGGATGTTTGTGGGTGAGGAGTTTGGGTTGGAGGTTGGGGTTTGTTTGTCGTTTGCGAAGAATATGGGGCTTTATGGTATTTTCCTTTCCCTTCTTGCTTTTCTGGTTGGGTTGATTGGGGGAAGATACTAATGGGGCTAGGGGAACGGACGGGGTGTTTCTTTGTGACGACACGGTCGGGGGAGATTGCGAGGAATACCGAGTCCGTGCTGGAGGTGCTGCAGCGGCGCGAGGTGTCGAATCCTCCTGCTTTTGGGGCGAAGATTGCGGCGCTGGTGCTTGGGGATCTTGAGTTGGCGGGGATGTGGAGGGAGGATTTGAAGACCATGAGTGGGCGGATTCGGGAGATGAGGACGGGTTTGGCTGAGGGGTTGATTCGCTTTGGTGAGTTTGTTTCTCTTTCTGTCTTTGGGTTGTGCAATATGTAGAATGAGGTGCTGGGAAGCTAAAAGGAAGGGGGGTCCGGGGGTTCTCCCCCGGGATGCTTACACGCTTGGCCTAAGAATTGAGGTGCTTGGGAAGCTGAAGGAAAAGGGGGGTCCGGGGGTTCTCCCCCGGGACGCCTTACCAGGTGCACTTGAGAACCGCTGTGCTGACGAGAACAGGGGCGCCGGGGGACTGGGGGCATTTAGTAAGACAGACGGGGATGTTTGGGTTCTTGGGGCTGGATGAGGAGGTAGTCAGGGAGCTACGCGGTGAGATATTTCCGGTCTGGTTTGCATTGAGCAAAGATTGACGATTAGCAGAAGAGGATCATATATACATGGCGGACAACTCGCGCGTCTCGATTGCTGGGCTGAATCCGGGGAATGTCGAGTACGTGGCTAAGGCGATTGCTGAACGGCTGCGAACGCGGGATGTCTGAGTTGGAGGACTGGGTTTTAAATGGGCAGGACGTGGCGTGCTACATTGTGGTGGCTGCTTGGACAACGGAACTGTCAATATTGGCTTGGGATCAAGGAAAACGCAAATTGAGACCGATCTATAGATATCAACAATCGGTTTGTGCTATAGTGCGCAACAACTGATAAATGTATGCGCCTCGGATGTACTGCAAGACTCGCCTAAGCTGTACAGCCAAGGCGGTCGTTTCCTCCACATCGCTCGATGTGTACTTGAGGACTGGGCCCCAAAGGTGCTAACATCATCAGACTCGACGCGTGAGAGAACGGAACGGATCACAGTAGAGATAACGTACAACTTCGGATAACTGAGATGAAGCATTTGCTACCCTATAGACTATATAGAAGTCCCACTGTTCTCCCACGGCGACACAGCCAACGGTCGGTGGAGGCATTGTGGAATTTTTGAAGCGGCTGGCGAAGCTCCAGAATACCAACCCCGACATCCATACTCCTAATTGTATCTCGGCTTCGCCTGGTGCTCCGTCGTAGGCTTTGACTTCCACCCCTAACCCTAGTAGTCTTTGCTCGGTATGCGGATGATCAATGTGGCTCAAAGCTTTATCGCGAATGTCAGACCCTGCACGCTTATACTCGTCTGTTCAAAGATCCTTTGGGAATCCGACGACCAGGTCGACTTTGCGATTGAAAACACCCTTCACAGTATAGCGGGACAGGTATTTGGGACAACGGACTCCGTTTGTCTGAGTGGTATCAGCGTCTTGGTCAGCGGATGTGGATCGCTGCCAGGGCGACGTACACGCTCCATGATTCTAGAGGCAAATCGTCGATTGCCAGAGTCAAAATAGGGCGGACAATGTCCATAATCCAGGACCCTTCACTTCGGCCCTCCATCTGGAATTTGTTTGATCGTGCCGCAATCTTTTTGACTTCATCCTCATGGGGCTCCCACCTAATCTAATGGGCCAGCCGATCTCAGAAGGTCCCAAAGGCGTCGCGCATCGTGGCTTTCAATGTCTGCTGCTCTGGGGAGGAATATCACTTTTGGCGCAGCAAAGGCCAGCTGTGCCCTGATACGAGCCAGGTTGTGAGTTTGTCGAGTTGACTCTGACTGTGTCGTAGAAGGCGATAGGGATATGCCATCTTGATAGGACTGTGTGCCGGCATTATCACAGATTGTGATTTCACAGTGGGGTCTTTTCCTGAAATTGGCCCGTGCCATTGATGCATTAGAAAGCTTGCGCTTCTGCTGAGCTAACTGGTGAGGGTTTCTCTGTGGAATACTCTCCGCCCGGTCGTCATCTTCTGGGTCAGTCGGAGGAGTCGACGGCAGCTCCGAGGAGACGCGGCCAATCCATTCCGCGATGGCTTTTCGGTCATCGCCGTTCATTTTCGTCCCTTAGTACAAGTTGTTTCTCGTCGCGGGGTCATTGAGTAGTAGTTGTGGTTGTTTTACCCCAGACTATGGGAAGGGAAGGCCCGTGCACCGTGACTCCACCATCGATCGACAACACCGGACCAATGGTTGTTCCGTGGCCGCCACTCTCAGCAACATCTGATTCCATCATGGATGAATCTTTTCATCACTTATCATTCCATCTATCGAGGTTGTCAACCTAAGTAAGCAACAATACTTTCTGAAGCTTGACACTCACCTTAGGAGGCAACCGCATTAGAATCACGGATAATTGCAGGGAGCTACAGCCCGCGAATGGCAGGAACCCCACAACGCGCGCTTGACGGTTAGAACTTAGATGCCCTACTGTCCTTATGAGCCTCAGTAATGATCCATTGTAGTCGTGGCCCTAACGATTAGTCCGTCCACTTTGAAGTAGAGTCCTATTCGTAGATCCCTGTAGTCGAATCACACCTTTTCCCTTTCTCCTGATTGAGACCGAAGAGTAGAGTCCATCTCCAGAGGACTTCTTTTGTCAATGGCTCTGTAGTCTTACTAGAGCACAAATTAGCAGAGTCTAACAAGGTCTGGCAGTAAGCAGCTCGGAGAGTGTTCAATTGTTGTGCCTTGTCTCGCTTCGAAGCGTCATGTGACCGCTTGGTGATAGCTACTGATGCCTCAGGCAGACGACCTTACCAGCACTGCTCGTTGATCTGAGCCGCCCCGTCCTCGTCGTTCCCATATGTGTACTCGAAGCTGAACGCGAATCTGTTCAGTTTGTATTCTCTTCAATGCTGGCCTGCGAGCCTAATTCTTCACGCAAGCAGGGCAAAATCGCTTCTCAGCAAATGCCAGGTGTTGTCTATATTCCCTAAGCAGGCACGAACTCCTCCAGATCTGATCTGCCATAACTTTCTCAAATTGGTACATGTAGATTGGCTTTAGCGAGTGGGACGTCCCCTTCCAGTGTCTATACACAACTCTCAGAATCTTTATAGTTATGAATAAGATGCTTGGGTGTCCCCGATGTCGGGCCCGAGGATACGGTGGGCTAACTACAGGCAGGTAGCTGAAGTTTAGTGGTGCCGGAGTTGGGCCCGCCCTCCGACTTCAAGGTTGTCTAGCCGAGCCCGGAACGCACAGACAAAACACCGCGGGGAGCCGTGACCACCGCAAAGACCGGACGGACCTTTCCCCGGATTTGCTGGGTCGATGACTCATACACTTTTTTTTTGCCTATCTTGCTTACAATAGAATTCATGGCAATAATCAAACGGCTAGGGATGTCAATAAAAGACAAAATTGAAGTAAATAAGGGTAAATAATATTTGTGTAAGAAAACCCCCGATTATACACCAGTAAAAGTTAGGTAAAAGATCCTGAATCCAATCAAATCATAGTACAGTCGTAAAACTTTTCCCCCAAACCCGGTTGGAGGTGTGTTTTTGATATCCTCTTCAAACAATTAAACAAGAGAAATTTACTTCTGGTTCTCGGGGCGGAGGGAGCTGCAAAGAGGATTAGTATCAGATTCATCGAGATGATTTAGGGGAAGGTTAAGGAGGAACATACCGAACAGCCTTGCCGGCGCGCCAGATCTCGAGATCGCGGATGTCCTGCATCTCCTTCTCGTACTTCTCGCGGTAGTCCTTCTGGGAGTTGTAGTCCAGGGAGCGCTGGGTCTCGGTTCCGTCGCGGACGGAGTCGTAGAGCTCGTTGAACAGGGGCTTGAGGTTGTCCTTGAAGCGGGCGGACCAGTCGATGGCACCGCGGCGGGCGGTGGTGGAGCAGGCGGCGTACATCCAGTCCATGCCGTTGGCGCCGATCAGGGGGTAGAGGGACTGGGTGGCCTCCTCGACGGTCTCGTTGAAGGCCTCGGAGGGGGAGTGGCCGCGCTCACGGAGCACCTCGTACTGGGCGAGGAACATACCGTGGATACCGCCCATCAGGCAGCCACGCTCACCGTACAGGTCGGAGTAGACCTCCTTCTCGAAGGTGGTCTCGTACAGGTAGCCGGAGCCGACGGCGACACCCATGGCGATGGCCTTCTCCTTGGCCTTGCCGGTGACGTCCTGGAAGACGGCGACGGAGGAGTTGATACCGCGGCCCTCACGGAAGAGAGTGCGGACGGTGCGGCCGGAACCCTTGGGGGCGACGAGGATGACGTCGACGTCGGTGGGGACATCGACCTTGGTCTTCTCCTTGAAGACGGGGGAGAAACCGTGGGAGAAGTAAAGGGTCTTGCCCTTGGTGATGAGGGGCTTGAGCTGGGGCCAGGTCTCGGACTGAGCGGCGTCGGAGAGGAGGTTCATGACAATGGTACCCTTCTTGACGGCGGTCTCGACGTCGAACAGGTTCTTGTCGGGAACCCAGCCGTCCTGGATGGCCTCCTTCCACGAGGCACCATCCTTGCGGACACCGACAATGACGTTGAGGCCCTGGTCACGGAGGTTGAGACCCTGGCCGTGGCCCTGAGAACCGTAACCGATCAGGGCGAGGGTGTCGTCCTTGAAGTATTCCTGGAGCTTCTCACGGGGCCAGTCCTCACGCTCGTAGACGGTCTCCTGGCTATCGGCGAAAGTCATGGTCTTAACACCGCGGGCGGGGGTGATGGGGGCGGCGGTCACGCGGGGGACAGCGGCGGCGGCGGCCTTGAGGGCGGGGCGGGGGAGGGCGGCGGAGAGCACAGAGCGAGGGGCACCAACGCGGGCCAGGCGGAGGGCACGGGGAAGTCCACGAGAAGCCATTGTGTGGTATGTGTGTATGATGATGAGGTAGAAAGGAGGGAGGAGGAAGGTGGAAGGTGGAAGGATGAAGGATGGAAGGATGGGAGGATAGAGGGGAGAGTGAGAAAAACTGGGATGAGATGGAGAGGGAGAAGGAATGGAGGAGAAGGCCAGCTGGAGCTGTCGTCCAGTTTATAAACTCGTTGCTGGGGACGAGATCGGCCGGCGGCGAGGCACGTGACCCGGAGTTGCGCTCTTTCTCCCCGGCCGATGTCGGATTGCACGGCTGCTGATTGGTTGAGTGGGGGAACAACCGTGGGCGCCGCAAGCAGCTTGGCTGAATGGGGTTAGCGTGGGACGAGACTCGGCTCCCGCTTCGGGGACAGTCACATGAGTCACTCCGGGGTCCAGCCCGATTGCCCTCCGATGGCTATCAGAAAGATCTAAGAATGACTCCTTCGGGTGCAATCCGGGGATTCAAGGGACGTGGTCGGGGTGATTGGTGACTGTGCAAAACGTTAATCTCTATCTGTGACAAACTAAAACTGCAGCTCCTGGTTCACCCCACATTTGAGGATAGACCACGTAGTGAGCTTTCAATTGCATTGAGGACTGATCTGAGTCACTCACTGCTGCTGCAATCTAGCCTCAGTCTGCTCGAGCACAGTAGTAAAGTGAATCTGAGTGATTCGAGACTCGCTCCGAGTAGGGAATTGCCACTGCAGAATCTATGACTAACGATAGATTAGAACCAGCAAGCATGTCATCAAAAGGCAGACAGTTACCAATTGATTCGATACAACGGCCGGCGCAGATGAGACATGAGTCAACATGTATACCTACAATAACCTCAACTTGGCTACTTCTATCACCATCAGAACCACGCATAAGGAATAGGGCGTGGACACCTTAGCTGATCTTCATTGTTGCACCTTCCCAACATAAATACCATTCAAGAATCAATTGGCTCCCTCTAGTGGTACTCTGAAATATCAGCCATCCTAACCATCTACTACCACATGCATTGAACCTACTGGTATGATAGTGACATAACATGAGACCCAGGTTGACCACAAAAGCACAACAAGGCATTAGCAACAAGAAAATCGCAGTGAGATTATAGAAACAAGACATGTCTGACAGCATGCGCTATGAACCGTACAAAACCAAACCACCCCCAACTCATCTCACTGTAATCTCACGTATCAATCAAGCCCACCAAGACAGGCATGCATATGCAAAAACTCAACGTTCTAGACCCCCAGCCAGACCACGGACCCCTTGCCCACCGCGAGATCCCGAAAGCACAGCTCGGCTGTCAGCAAGAGACTAGCTAAAGCTTAGGGCTGACCACAGCAGACCATGTGACCGATCTCGTGACAACGAAGCTCACCTAAGGACTAGGTAGACATCGGATCAGATAAGTTAAAGTGAATCTCGGGTGTACGAGCTGCATCTCCGGCGATAATCTCCGTTCCTAAATGCAGGAGACCAATAGTAGCCTTCGGCGTTGAAATTAGCTCGGTGATAGCAGACGTTACCTCCGTACGCGAGAGCAGAGCCAACGCCTTTATATTGAATCTGACTCAGCATATATAACTAGTCATTCCAATAGTATGACGCTGTATAGTCAAATCAGAGCCTCCAAGATAAGCAGGAACCCGAGATATATGAAGAACTCCCTCCCGAATCTCGTCTCACCCCCATCCTCACAGCTAACCTCCAAACAACCACCAGACACAACCTCAACCCTTCACCACCAAAAACCAAGAGAAAGAAAAAAAATGTCTTTAACAATCCACCACCTCCACCAATCCTCCTCGGAGAGGGTGATCTGGCTCTGCGAAGAACTCTCCCTACCATACACACTCAAAACCTACGACCGGGTGCCCCTTCTCGCACCAGAAGAATACAAAGCCCTACACCCAGCAGCAACCTCCCCGATCATCCAGGATATCACTGACAACGGCGAAGAAATCACGCTCGCCGAAAGCGGCGCCTGCATCGAATACATCAGCCACCGACACGCATCAGGCCGGCTGTTCCTCCCGCCTACCCACCGTTGCTACCCGGACTTCCTCTTCTGGTGGCACTGGGTCAACGGGACGTTCCAGCCGACGCTGGGACGGGCGATGATGGCGCGGATGGCTGGGCTCGGCGAGGAGAATCTGATGGTGCGGTTGGGGGCGGAGCGGATGCGGCGGGCGTTGGCGATGCTGGATGAGAGGTTGCGGGCGGAGGAGTGGTTGGCTGGGGAGGAGTTTAGTGTTGCGGATGTGATGCTTGTGTTCTCTTTGACCACCATGCGGTATTTTTTTGCGTATGGGTTGGGTGAGTTTGAGGGGATTTTGGGGTATTTGGGTCGTGTTGGGAGCAGGGAGGCGTATCGGAGGGCGATGGAGAGGGCGGATCCCGGGATGGAGTTGGTGTTGGGGGCCGATGCGCCTCTGGGGAAGAGTCTTATGTGAGGGTGTTTTCCTTTGGGTGTAAGGATTGTGGTGTATTATTATGGTTATTAGGTTCATACCCCGCTCTTTTGTTTGGTTAGTTGGTTCTAATTGTCGAATAATGTATAATCTCTCCTCTTAGGACTATTTTTCTTGCTGGATGGTGGTAGATCCAGGATTCGTTTACGTTTTTGAGGCACGTATTGAGAGGGACGCGCTACAGCTGTCTCAAATCAAAGTACAGACAGAACCCTCTTACAAGAGAAGCCGGCTCAGTCGATACCCGTTAGGTTAAGCATAATGCGGCCGTATCATGTATCGGTGCCCGATCCCGAGACATGGCGATGGCTGCCGATGGCTTCTCGGAACAACACCCGAACATGAAGAAGGGATGGGTTGAACATGAACCCCTCTTTTGATACCATCAGTGGGAGGTCGTGCCTGTGTCCCTCTGTCAAACCTCTTACCCACTAGCCTCCGTAAAGCGCAAACAGAACTCACGACTATGAGCGATCAGATCCCCAGAGTAAAAGCACACGGGTCCCAAGAATGGAGAGAAACCGCTAAAGATGTGACCGCTGGCGCAGCAGGGGGAGTCGCTCAAGTACTCATCGGTAAGATAGCGACTCTGTCTGATCCTCGAAAAGCTGAAAGCTGACATTCGCAGGCCAACCATTCGGTAAGCCACCACGCTCTCTGCTCCCATAACGCGCACAAGCTCACACACAGCCTAGACCTGGTCAAGGTCCGTCTGCAGACCCAGAAAGGAGGTAACGCGTTCTCTGTCACCCGCCAGATCTGGGCCGATGAAGGGCCACTCGCATTCTACAAGGTCCGTTGCTGCTCGACGCTGGTATGAGTATTGTACTGACATACGCAATCGATGAAAGGGCACGCTTATGCCATTGCTGGGAGTTGGCGCGTGTGTGAGTACTTGCGAATAGACATCAGAACTTCTAGAGTCCTCACAAACGAACAGGTCAGCATCTCATTCGGCGCATTGCACACCTTCCGCCAAGCGATAGAATCGCACAACCGCCAGACCCGCCCCTCGCAGGACCAGACCCTCTCTCTGCCCCAGTTCTATGTTGCAGGCGCGGGCGCGGGACTTGTCACGAGTATCGTCTCCGGTCCGGTCGAGCATATCCGTATCAGACTTCAGACGCAACCGCACGGGATAGGGCGAATCTACTCAGGGCCGTTTGACTGCGCAAGGAAGTTGATCAGGGCGGAAGGGTTGGCCGGGCTATATAGGGGACAGGTGATGACCGTCGTTCGAGAGATGCATGGGTATGGTGTGTGGTTCGCGACGTATGAGGGTCTCGTCCGGTGGGCGATGCATCAGCAGCGGAAACGACGCGAGGAGCTACCCGGTTGGCAGATTGCGCTGTACGGAGGCGTGGCGGGGGAGGCACTTTGGCTATTGAGTCATCCGATTGATGTGATCAAGAGTAAGATGCAGAGCGACGGGTTTGGAATGGAGAGGAAATATCACGGGTTGAGAGATGCGGTCCGGGATACCTGGGCTGGAAGTGGGCTGAGGGGAATGTTTTATGGGATTGGGCCGGCGCTCTTGAGGGCGATGCCGGCGTCTGCCGGTACTTTCGTGGCGTGAGTATTATTGCCAGATAGATGTGATGTGGATGCTGACCGTTGTTGCTCTAGGGCCGAGTTTGTGCGCAACATGCTGGGCTAAATATATCTGAACCTGTGTTGGTGTCGTCAATGTTTTTGAATAAGAACAAACCTTGGGCCAGGCATTGCATGATGTAGAGACCCTGGCACAAGAAAATTGGCAATTTCTAGGGCGGCATAGAAGTATTCACTACCTGATGATTCTGGAGTCCGTCACGACCTTTGATAGCCTCATTACCTGGTGCTATGTTTGTCAGTCAAACGGATTTCAAAGATGATTGCATATTCCAGAGTATGTTGTCACGCAATCCTGCAGTTCCGCTACCGCACAAAAGCTCAATCCGTGTTGGAAGGGTCCATGATGCGGACATCACGTAGGAAGAGGACACATTGACGAGCTTTTCGTAGAGATACCGCTGAATACGTCCACACGAGTAGGGGATGACGTGCGTATAAGTATAAATGGTCAGATACTTGGGAAACGGCATCACGAGTCTCCACCGAAAGCGGCAGTCTGGAAACGAACACTGCGAAGAAAAATGGTATATATCTAAATCAGATCGAAAACTCTCTCTACTCTTGTCTGAAAATCCTAGTCACGCCTTTTCCTTTTTGGGCCGCAGAGCAGGGGCAGCGGGGCTCTCCGCCGGGGGAGCCGGCACGGGGTTTGGGTTGCCCTTCCATTCCAGCTTGCGGGGCTTCATGTAGGCAGCGAGGACCTCATCGGTGACCTCCTTGCGCTTCTCCTGGAACTGCGCCACGTACTCCTGCAGCACCTCGATGGTCATCTTCTTGAGCTCGCCGGTCAACAGGTCGCCCTTCTTGTAGCTCGTGTACACCTCCTCCAGCTTGGCGTCGTCCTCCTCAAAGTAGGTCAGGTAGATGTAGGAGACGTCGACGTCGGGGTTGCCGCCCAGGCGGCGGTGATCCTCAATGCTGACTTGGCCGCCGCTGAAGGCGTACTTGTTGATCTTGGTCTGTGATATCGGTTAAGCCGGGAACTCGAAACAAAGAAAGGGGGCTGTGTTACCTTGATCTGCTTGGCAGTGTCGGTCATGAAGATGGCCGAGTTGGGTTCCGACGCGGACATCTTGCCGCCGGCACCTTGCAGGGCAGTGAGGAACTTGGAGTGGATAAGGGCGGGCTTAGGCGAGGGGAACTTCATGCGGTGGGCGTTTTCACGGAGGAGACGGAAGTAGGGGTCCTGGTCGATGCCCATGGGAATCAGACACTGGATGCTGGCGATCTCTTGGGTGCGCTCCTGGAGGGGCTCGTCCTTCCAGATCTCGGGGTAGGAGGTAGCGAAGGCGGCGACACACTGCACGGCGGGGAAGAAGATGCGGCCGACGTTGGTGCTGTGCGAAATCGTGCGTTAGCCAAAGACAGCCCAGCCCGGCTGTGGGGTGGGAGGCAGGACGTACCTCTCGTTGAAACCGAATGCGCCACGGACTTGGTTGAAAGTCACCAGACTGGAGAACTCCCAAGCGTTCATCAAGATGTGGTTGCTGATGTACTTCAAGTCGCTGTAGATGAAGGTCTTCTTCAGGTCGAACCCGAGCGCAATGATATCCTTGGCGTTCTCCATGGCGAAGCCCAACGCATCCTCGAAGGTGATGTTGTCCTTGAAAAGGGCCTTCTCGTCGTCCGTAAGCATGAACACGAGCGGGACGTCGAACACATCCTGCAGCCACTTGGTGAACTGCAGGGGGATGGTGTGACCGAGGTGCAGACTGCCGCTACTGGGACCGCGGCCGGTGTAGAGGAAGAAGGGTTCCCCACGCTCGTAGAGGGTCAGGATCCGGTCGAAGTCACGGTGGCTGAAGAACAGGCCGCGGCGGAGCCAGCGGTGCGGCTTGTGTCCGGTAACCTTCTCGAAGCGCTCGAGAAGCTTCTCGTCAATGAGGGAGGTGTTCCATTTCCTATGCAGAGAGGAGACTCGTTAATTGCGTTCAAAATACGCTGGAACACCGCACATACCGACAGATGGCCTCATAGTCGATGGCCACCACCTCGCCGTTCTCGTCGCGACCACCCTCGACGGACCAGGGGTTGATGTCCTGGTCCTGCGCAGGCTTGTTCTCAGCCACGGGGGTGTTCTCAGCCATTCTGACGATTTCTCTGCAGTCTGAGGGAGAAAGGGGCAAGAAGGACAAAGGAGCAGCACAAAGCGTCGGCGGAGTCACTCTCGCGCCGAGGGGAAATTGACTGCCCCTCCAAATTTCCCCTTTGGGCACTAAATTGTCACGTGCCCGCTGTCATCCCGCCGGAGACCCGCACTATCCCCGATGCGGTCCGCACGCCTGCAGTTCGCTCGCGGTGGGCTATCATTCTTGATGAACTTGACAGAGATTAGCTGAATGCATGACTCATAAAGCATTCTGCAGCTTGACCCATGCATTCCATTCAGTCAATCAAGACCCGGGAATGGTGGGGGATGGGTTAACCGCGGATATCTTGGTCTGCGGTCGATCGCGCCATTATCTCCGAAGGCTCGCTCATTTCCCCGCGATCACTTTACCTCCTTCAATTTCATATAACAGATCAACCAGACTTATTTCTTGACTAACAAAGCTCATTGACTAGCATCATGTCTGATCCCAAAGTCTTGGTCCAGTCTCTCACTCCGTGCGCGGTCCAGAATGCCTATTCCCTCATCCAACCTTACGTGCACCGCACTCCTCTCCTCACCAACCAGACCCTCAACAACATCGCCTCGACTCCACAGGCCCCGGAAGCATTGACCGGTACGCCCTTCGAAGGGCAACCGCCCGCCCATCCGAAGATTCGATTCTTCTTCAAATGCGAAAACTACCAGCGAATTGGCGCCTTCAAGGCCCGAGGCGCGTTCCACGCCTTGCTGCGACTGATTGAAGAGCGGGGTCAGGAGGAAGTGCAGAAACGTGGGGTCATCACGCATAGCTCGGGTATGTGATGAACCAAACAGTGTTCTTGAGGATCCTAGGACCAAAGTCGCCATCATGACTCCAGCTCACGCTTCACAGGGAACCATGCGCAAGCTCTTGCCCTCGCCGCCTCCACCCTCAATGTCCCCGCCTACATCATCATGCCCAGTATCAGCACGCCATCGAAAATCGCAGGGACGCGGTCTCATGGCGCAGAGGTCATATTCAGTGGTTCGACGAGCGTCGAGCGGGAGGCTGTCGTAGAGGAAGTCCAGGGAAGGACGGGTGCGATTCTGGTACCGCCCTATGATGACTTCGACATCATCTGCGGGCAGGGCACCACGGCCCTGGAGCTTGAGGAACAATACAGCAAGCTTATTGCCGAGAAACCGCACCTGAGCGTTCATCAGGAGAATCCGGTGTTGGATGCTGTGATCACGCCGGTTGGCGGAGGTGGCCTCAACGCTGGTGTGGCGACCTTTTTCTCGGATAAGACGACCAAGGTGTTTGGTGCGGAGCCCAGTTTTGAGGGTGCAGATGACTGTTGCCGTGGCTTAGAGGCCGGGGAGCGTGTACCGGCCGTGTCGACCCTGACGATTGCGGACGGGTTACGCACTCCCGTCGGCCTGTTGAACTGGGAGGTTATATCGGATAAGAACAAGGTTGCGGGTGCCTTTGCCGTGACGGAAGAGCAGATCAAGGCTGCGATGAGGTTGGTGCTGGAGCGCATGAAGGCTGTTGTTGAGCCGAGTGCGGTGGTGGGGTTGGCGGTGTGTCTGTACAATGAGGAGTTCCGACGTCTCGTCGAGAAGGAAGCTCCCAATGGTTGGGACGTGGGGATCGTGTTCAGCGGAGGCAACACGACCGTAGAAGCTATCGCGAAGCTGTATAGCTGAGAGCCGGCTCTGGATATCTAAGAGGAGCTTAATCCCCGTATAGTGTAAATAACCACTCATAGAGATCAATCGAATTGAACTCCATCCCTGCCAACCCGAAAGAACAACATGCCTCCATCCAGTGCTTCAATCCCCTCGATCCATCTCCGCGGCCACTCCTCACATCCCCACATATTTACCCAACCGGAGAACTTCCCCCGCATAACCAATTCCTGCCGCTTGGCCGCCTGCCGTTCAGCCTGCTGCAGGTCGATCGCAACAGCAAACTGTCGAACCGTATCCCGCTGAACAACAATTCGTAAAGTGGGAAACGTTCCCCACGGCGCTGGAAGAGCGGGTCGAAATGCCGGCATCCGGAACGCAGGCGCATCAGCGGGGTTATACAGGTCATACGGTCCCGAGGGTTGGTAGCCAGGGGGGCGATGGTCGTGTTTTGTAGATGGCGCAGCAGTCGTGGTGAAGACTACCGCGCAGCTGAAGACTCGCTGCAGCCGCTTGAGTTCCCTGACCAGGTCCGTATACATGTCGAAGAGGTAGAAGCCTTGTTTCTGCCGCCGATTGTTCTCGATCTCCGCAGCTGGACGTCCTATGTCTCCGACCCGGGTCACTTCATCCTGCAGCTTGTCCTGCCAGTAGAAGGCATTGGCGCTGTCTAGGATGATGAGTTGGAGCGCTCGAGAACCGGATACATGGCGGGGGAGATCTAGGAGGTACGTGTCCAGCGTCTGGAGTGTGGCGAGGAGGGCCGATGAAGACTGCGGACGGAGAACATGGACATGCTGCAGACAGGAGGCTATCATGTTCTCTGCGTCCTCGTCGAGCGGGACTTTACCCTGTGCCTTGCATTTGGCCTCGACCAAGCCTCGCAGGACAGTACGAAGGCGTTCGGCGTCGAAGCGTCCATCGGTGTCGATATACACCGCGGCCGAATCGCGCCCTCTAAGCTGGATACTGTTGAACTCAGATGGCAGAATCGCAATAGCAGTTAGGTAGTACAGTAGATGTGACTTTCCAGCTGCAGAGGATGTGCTGGATATCTCCAAGACCGGCTCTGCACGGCTAGTGGGGGCAGACACCGTGACATTGGCGAGATGGATGTCAGCAGTGTCTTCAGCTGCTTCTCGTGGAAGCTCATCATCAGGCTCGTGCTCGGCAATCTGAGTCTCCCGCACAGGCTCTGGTACATGTACATGCTGTCCTGACGGAGCAGGTGCGGTGAAGATATCCAGGAGGCTATCGAGCGCGCTGACCCCGAAACGAGTTTTCAGGGCGTCTCGCCCGATACTCTCTTGACATAGGTCACGTAAGTCATGTAAAAGCTATGAAAACGTTAGCAACCGGAGAAATTGAACCGCGCGACTTGCAGTGATGACGTCCGTCACCCTGCACGGAGATATATAGATAGGACCACCAACCTCATCCAGTCTCTCCTCATGCACTTCTGCCAGTAACCTCTCCCCAAAGCTAGCCGCCATGTCTCACTGAACAACTCATCAATCAATCAATCAGAACTGAACCCTTCGCTGATACTCAAGCTCCGCGGATAGATGTAGTTGCGGTGACGATACAACTGCAACGGCAACGGTGCAAACAAACCAAGACCGACTCAACGGCCCCGGCGCCGGTGCCGGAAATCCTCCCGCACCTTCCACCATCACGGCTCCTCCGCATCATCACCACCACCACAACAACACCCACCCAACCCGACGCAACCCACACCCACCCCTCAACCCAAACGCAAACAGAAAAAAGAAAAGAAAATGGCCCCCCTGGTCCCAGTCTTCCACGCCGAAACCCTCCCAGAGCACGTGAACATCTCAACGAAGAACTTCCAAGAAAAGCGGCGGAAGGGCGGCACCGTCGAGCTCGAGAAGTGCCCGCTGCTGGAGATGGTCCAATACTCGTGCAACCCACCGCAGGGGGGGATTCCGAAGCCCGGCGTGATCGTGTGTCAACCGGTGGTGCGGCTATTTCGAAGGTAAGCAAGCGTCTTGCTTTTGGGAGATTCGGTGCGGAAGGTGTGGGTCTTGATGCTGATACTACAATTGTCTACGTACAGGTGCGCTGGGGGATTGACGGTTGAGACGACGGCCTGGGAGCCGATTCGGGTTGCTCGGGAGAAGGAGGAGGAGGAGCGGAAGCGCGCTGCAGCTGCAGCTGCACAGAAAGATGCTGGGAATGCGTGATGAAGCGGGTGTACTGCGAGTGTTGGTTTGTTGCATAGCGTGTATACATATACGGGAGTTTTGAAGGGGTATAGTTATGGCGTTCGGGTGTTGGTAGGGAAGACATTACGCTGGAGACGATGAAGATTGCTTTGACCATGTACATATTATTTGCATTGATTTTGAACTTGCTACTCCTTTGGGTATCTTCAACGGTCATGCGATGATGAAAGAAAAAAAAACTAATCTTGAACGCCCGAGACGCCATTCCGGTTTCCAGCCCCGAGCTGCCTTGCAAACACACACATACCCTCGACAATCATGTGCTCACCCAGCTATCCACTCTGGACGATATATTGTGGGACTCCTTCGTCGCAGGCTGCTTATCATCCGTCCTGCGCGTCCCAGACGACGGCACCCGTCGCCAGAATTCGCGCTCGCAGTTGATGATGGGCGGCAGCTCGATGCTCAGGGCGAGTTTCGAGCGCGTGGGCTTGACCTCGGTGTCCAGGCCGGCACCGGAGTCGATTTCCATGGGGGCAGCCGAACCCGCCGCCGTGGCTGTCCGCTGCATGCGCTTCGCCAATCCTTTGAAGGTCTTCTCGAACATACTATCCATGGTCTCGGCGCGGCGGCCCCAGGGCTTCTTCTCGCGCGCCGAGGACCCGAATTGGTTATCTTTGAAGGCGGCGCGCGCCAATTTGCGCAGGGCCTCCTCGCCGTGGCGACCGTCCTCGGTGGCGCGCTCGCGGATCCTGCGAGCGTCCTGCTCTCGTTCGGTGAAGACGGGCGTGTGGCGGTAGGTGTGTTTGCTCGGAAATGCGGGGAAATGTTTCGGGATGTGGGAGCTGCGGACGCGGTCGTTCTCGCCGCTGAGTTGCGGTCCAAGGGATGGGAGGGTCTTGAAGGAATCCTCTTCCGGGGGAGGGCTGGGTTGAAGGGTAGGGGTGGGCTCGAGCTTGGGATGGCGCGGGATGTGGGGGAGGAGGTCGGTCAGCGAGACGGAGTGCCGTTTGAGGGCGTCGTCGAAGTCATGGGGTATAGGCTGGGTGCGTCGGCTCGAGAGCATGGACTGCCGCACATACGATGCGACGCTCAAAAGATCTAGACGCAGACGATGATGTCAACCTCGTGCCGCGGGTTCTGATTTTTGTACCTATGCCAGCCAGACAGATATGGATGCAGCTCCCAACACAAACCCAACGTACATTCTTCGGTTACCCTGCGGAAAGCGTCCAGCGCAGCGGGGTCAGCGAGTTCGAACCCGCATGTTCGTAGGTATTGTCCGATCGACCGGTTCAGGACCTGGTCGACGCAAGCTTCGTCGACGATAGCGGGCTCAGGCAGAGCCGGGTTGACGGGGGTTTGGAGGCGATGGTGATGGTGGTAGGGACGCTTGATGCGCTTGGCGTCAGGGGCATCCAGCCCTACTTGAGGCGACGAAGAGGAGCGCTTGATGGTTGGTTCAGACGAGACCATGGCGCCGTTGGATGGTCATGCCGGGGAGAGAGTAAGTCGCAGAAGGAGCTGAGAAGCCGGCGGGAAACACGCCGCCCGCAATCAGAGGTCACGTGCACGGCTGGGGAGCTGCACGCCTGAGGCAGCAACTGCCTCTGACATTGAACTGCCCCCCATTGAACCTCATTGGGCTCTGATCCAGCGTTCACTTGAGCCTTGCAGCAAAGTATAAGATTGACAAAGACTACCCAGCCAATAAACACGAGCAATATCGCTAAGCAGTTGCAGTTGCAGCTGAACCAACCGGTCAGGCCACTCAGAGCGGTCGCTTACTACACGCCGGGCCGGGAAAGCTTCACCACACCCGACTTCTCACTCCGACATCACCACCACCGTCTCTCCTCCTCCACCTCATACCACCAACCACACCTACACAATTGCTCGATAGCATTGAGACACAATGGCCGCCGCTATTCCTCCCATCACCGGCGTAAGTGATCCTCTTTAGATCATTCCAATCCACCAACCCAGCACCGATCAATCATCCCACCCGTACCATGCCATCCAAGCCTTCCATGATGATGATGATGATGCCAATGACACAACCAACCCAATCCACCTCAATTCACGCGCAAGACCCAGACCCAAAGCTAACAAAGAAAACAGATGCTCCGCCGCACCCTGGTCCTGGACCTGAGCACCGCCTTCGGTGAGTACAACCCGGACTCTGTCTTCGACGCAACCCACGCACATGAACCTATGCCATGAGCTTACAGATCCAACTATCCCACCTCCCCCTCAATTCAATCTTAAACAAAGCCACTACACGAAGAAACCATTCAATGAACCAAAACTAACAAAACCATAGGCTTCGGCACCACCTTCGGCTACCTCTGGTGGTACGGTACGTATCAGCCCATCTTACCCTCCAAAAGACAACCGCAATCCAATGCAACCCACCTCCAACCAAACCCTATGCAGAATCGCAAGCTAACAAAAGAAAAAAAAAAGGCTACCACCTTCCCCGCGTCCGCGCCCGTGACAACTACTACTCCCGCCTGGAGGCTGAGCGCGCTGCTCAGCAGGCGTAAAGTCTCGTCTCGTCTCGGTGATTCTTCCGGTAGCGAACGACGCGAAGCGATGGCAGTGGGATTGACCACGTCCACGACTGCAATCCAGAAGTGGGGTTCGATTCGATAGCGAGAATTGTTGTGGGCTGTTAGGTTAGAGATATCTAGGGGTTGTCTAGTGCAGTGTCAATATTATTTGATTCAGTATTGTTTTGTGAGCTTGGTTTCTTTGGTGCGCTAGGTCTGGGTAGATCTTGAGTGGGTGCATTGTGGGGTTGATTGGGTGAAAGATGGGGTTGTGATGTCTTCGGAGGGGGTTGTAATGCGAGGGTTGTGTGGTATAAGTGCTTATTTGACCTGTCTTTATATGCGGTTGGATGGGATGGGATGGGATGGGATGGGGACTGGGTAAACTGTAGGTATACGATGTTAATTGTTGAATGGCTGCTTGAGTCGAGATAGTGGTACACAGTGTGGATAGTAGTGTGTATCAGGTACTAGTCCCAAACCTGGGAGTGCAGCTTCCACAATACGCAATCTCAGAGCCAATAAATCATCTCTTTCATAAACAGGGAATCTATCCAGTCGCTAATGGAATTCAAATGACAAATGCATGCTCGCGCACCCTGCCTCCATATGGTGCCTGTGCCCATCACAGAACAACTGCACCACCCGCACCAAAAGAATCACCTATACTCAGCCGGCTACCACAAACGACAACCTCCAGGCCAGCACAAAACATCCCCCTCTTGCCACCGTACCGTAAGAGAAGAAAACAAAAGAATCACCGCATCACGCGATCAAACTGCACCCCCCGCACTGTCCCGCCACCCATCGACGTCCGAACATTCCGCTTGAACGCCTCGCGATTAACCCGCAGATCCTCCGCGGCCTCTTTGTTAAGGGGATCGGACGCATTCGGTTCGAGGAAGAGGAACTGCATGTACGTTAGCCATCATAACCAGCCCACCCCCCATCGTTTCCCACCGAAGAAAAAAGAAAAAGAAATCATACCTGCATCCCAACAATAACAGCATTCAGATTCAACACGGGCTTCCAATCCTCCCGCAGAATATTCAAGCACACATTACCCTCGAGATCAATATTCGGATGATAGATCTTCTGCGTGCATTTCACCTTGGGCGGATCATGCGGGAAGTTCTGGTTGACCGCAAAAGAAAACGCGAAGCTGCCGCCCTTGTACATGCCTTCGTCGGGTTCGATGGTCAGTACGAAGTTGAGGATGTCGTCGGGGTTGGGGAAGGTCATTTTCATGGTGCTGCCTAGGGTGAGTTCTTGGAGGTCTGCATTCCCATTTGAAAATCAGTATGGGGGTTCGTTAGGACTGGGACTGGTATTGTGGTCTGGGGAAGGGGAGGAGAGGCAACGCACCTCGCTGAACCCGTAACTGCGCGGCAGTGACCTTCTTCTTCTTCTTGCCGGCGGCGCCTTCGGCATTTTCAGCTTGTTGCTGTTGTTGTTTCTATTCCCTCGGAATCAGTACGTTGGACTCATAAAGAAAGAAACACGGGCAGGATCGGTAGAGACCGAAAAAGAGGGCTTACCATAGACCATATCTTCAACATCTTGGCTCGCGTGCTCGTCAGAAGGTTCTCGCCACCTCCTGGATTCTTGGACTTGAACTTGATTCAACGCCTGAGCTGTAGGCGCAAGGAAGTTTGTAGTGTGAGGAATCTCAGCTGTTAAATCAAGAGATTAGATCTTGAGGGTCTGTCGAGTAGGTGTCGGAAGACGCAGGAGGGGGCGGAGGGAAAGCGGCGGGGTCCCTCTGGTAAGCGGTGGACGATTTTGCCACAACAAGACAAATGAGGGCTTTGCTATCAAGCCCTTGTAACCAACTGCAAGAAATATATACTCACACACCCGAGTTCAAACAAAAGAAGGAAAGATAATGATCCGCGCGTCAAGTCAAGACTGGTAGGCAGAGGGCGGAGAGAGCGGCGGCCTGACGCCATGTGCCTTCATTGTGCCATCCTTCTTTCTGCCCCCGTCTGCCGCCTTCCATCACCGCCTACACTTACAAATCGACATCCAAGAACAATGAAGTTAAGACTGGCCATGCATGATACATCCATAATTCTAAACGCTAGTGTCTACAAACATCGCCCATGCCTGCAGTCCGTCGAAATGTGCAATCCAACCAGAAGAAAACGAAAAGAAAACACATGGGGAAACACAGAACTCAACAAACATCATATGTAGAATACAAAATTGCAACAAAAATGTGCCAAGAATAACTCCGCGAGGTTCCTGCCCGCCATGCGTCCGCAAGCCACCTCTCCTTGCAAACCTTTTCATTAATGCTCCTCCTCTACCGCCGCGCGAAGCAGCACATCACTCCCGTCTTACCCAAGAACCAGCAGGCTCCGATGAAACGGAAGAGTGCGACAACAGCGTTGGACCACAGGAGGGCCTGGAAGAAACGCGAAGTCCGGTTCGTAGCAGAGTTCTGCATCCATCGGTCAGCTCCAATCCCCTCGTCCAGAATCGGGAAATACATACCGTGAAGCCAAACTTATCCACACCGTCGCTAGTGATACAAACCGCAAGCAGCGCATTACTGAAGATCCAGAACGTCACCAGGCGGGTACGGAAACTCTTGTACGAATCATCCAAGCTCTTCTCGTCTTTCTCCACGGGTGCCACATAAGGCGTCAGAGCCCGCTTCACCGTCGCCTCGAATTGACTGTCGATATCCGCCTGGGGCTTGTCGATTTCCTCAATCACAGCCTCCTTGCCATCGTTTTCCTTGGTCGTCTTGGCCGAAGGCAGCGCATCAGCCTTGTCCGATCCCTTGGTACCCCAGGACACATCGTGCCAGTTGCTGAAGGCGTAGACGTTCAGGATGTTGATGTACGACGACTGCACGGCCATATACGCCGGGAACGAGGTGAACATGTGCCAAGGGTCCATGTACATGAACGAGGCCACGAAGTACAGACCGAAGGTGGCAGCAAGGGCGATGATGATAATACCGGCACCGGTCGACCCAAAGAACGAGCCAAGGAAAGCGCCCACACCGTGAGAAGTATCGAAGTCCATCGGAGCACTTCCACTGAAAGCGCGGACGACCAGGTAGAGCGCGTCGACCACAACGTAGAGCTGGATGATACCAAATACCACAAAAGACGCAAGGTAGGAGAACTTGGAGCCCTTGGGCCGGTTACCCAGAGCGAGGATGAACTGCAAGAGCAAGAAGCCGAGATAAGCGTATTTGACGAGAGTGTTGATAATCGGGGTCGCCGTGGTGCCGAAGGGGAAACCCGTGTTACCGTTGCTGTTACTGGGAGTTCCGACCAGGTCCATAATGACGGACGTCGTAAGCCAGTAGGAAGCTGGAAACCATGGGGTCAGATCAATCCACATAGAATTCAAGGAATCCACATACCCAAAGAGAACCAAGTCAGAATCGTCGAGAACACGTTATACAGCATCTGGATGTGAAGGAAGAACATGCGGATGATGTTGTGTCCACTCTTGTACATACGGCCGAAGTGCATCAAAGAATAGATACCGGCGGCGAAGGAACCGTTCAACCAACGACGACGCTGGGAGATGAACTCGGGAGCACCCTCGGGCACGTCAGTTTCGGCCTTCGAAGCCTTGACATAGGACAAGTGCCATTTTGAGCCTGCCTTGGCGACCAACTCGAAACACAGAATACGATCTTCAGCCAAGAACATGTTCTTCTTGAAAATGTTCATGCCCTCGATACCCTTCTTACCCAGTTGCTTGGAAAGGGTGTGATCACCGTGGAAATATTGTTCAAGGGGACGTCCCATAATCGCACGGAATCGGTAGGCAGAGAACGCACCGGGCAACACCGAGACGTAACCGAAGGAACTCTCCAAAGGCTTATCCAGGATGTTACTGATCTTATACTCGAAATTCTGCGCTGCGACGAGCGGGTTGACCAGATTCTTCCAACCCTTACCCAACATGGCATGGATTTCACCGCAAGCGCCTCCCAAATCCTTGTCATTATAGAAAGCCTCCCACAGAGCGAGGAGAGACTTGGGACCGGGCTTGGTTCCGGCATCGAGCAAAATACAGATCTCGGGGTTAAGAATGCGGCCGAAAGCGTTGAAGAGCCATCTGTGCGAGTTGATCTTCTTGCTGTTCTTCTGCTTGAGACAGAACATCATCTGCACGGGAGGAAGGGTGCTGGGACCGTCATCGGTAGGCCGAATGAGCTGCTGATTGGGAGTGACGGAAAGCTGAGTCGTGTATTCGAACTGTCTGCTGTTAGCACCGCCATCGAACCTTTTCACCCAATGCACGTACAATGTGAGCAACCGTTTCCTTGCCGTCAACGTCACGCTTCATGACACCGTCTTGGTAGACACCGACCGTGGCCAGCACATCCAACACATCTTTATCACAAGGGTCGATACCGTCGAAGACCAAGGCGACCACGATCTTCTGCCAGGCAGGGCCTCCCTTATTCCAGAATTCTGACTTCTTGAGGTTGACGATATCCCGAATGTTCTGCATGACACCGTGCAGAGTACGGGCTGTCAGGGTCTTGTCTTCGTTGTAATAGGTGATCGCAATTAGCAATTCGGTGTGTCTGTTGTACATGGCGGGACGCAGGTTATAACCGTTGTGAAGGGTAAACTCATTCGGATCACAAGTCGCAGCAGTGTCTGTAGATCGAGGGTGCTTGATCAGCCACAGAATCGCTCACATCTTGAGGAAAGGCTTCACCTACATCGCATATGCGTGAATTCCTCGCTACCACCCTCTAGATCGTTTCTATACTTCGCTTGGATAGCGTTCTGGATAGCGCTGGGCACGGGGTAGTCGACACTCAGGACTGAGCCCTGCACCAGCTTGACCTTTCTGGTCGCATAACGGCGAAGATTGCCACCTCCACCACCGCCGCCCCCACCGTTGGCACCTCCAGGTGCCTGGCGCTGGCGCCAAGCCTCTGTCGACGAAGTTTCACTGCGCGCATAGGGCGAAGCGACCCGACCAGGGACCCCAAAGGCGGCCGCCGGATTCTCTCCTGACTGTGCGGAGTAGACCGACGCACCACCGCTGTAGGGATCATGGTAGGCGGCGTCTGGGGCATAGGTTTCGGTCAAGCTGTAGCCCGAAGTTGGGCGCTGGGGCGACAGACCTCGCTGCTGAGGGTCATCAAAGGGACCGGTGAAAGGGCCTTGTTGGTTGGCTAACAACCCATGGGATGCTTCCTCTTCGTACTATAGGCGTCCAACGTTTAGTCTGGGCAGGTTTCACGGGAGGGGCATCACCAGCGTCGACCGCTTAAGATCGAGACTTACGTTGTTACCATGACCAATATCTTGGAGGCCATGACCGGCGGCGCCTTCATCGTAGCCCGGAGGCGAATGGTTGCCAGCGCTTTGGTAGGCCATGGTTAATGATAGGAGATTAAACGGTTGTACGCGTGAAATAGACTTGGGCACTCAAAGCAAGCCCCAAATGCGAGCAGAACGCAAGGACAATCGTTACAAACGGGGAACAACGAGAAGGGGGTATTCGCAGAAACAAGGAGCAAGGAGTGCGTCGATGTGGAACGTCAGACCAGACAAAGGGAGTCGTTAATCAATACAGTGCAGCGGGCTCCGACCGACAAGCGCAGTTGCAATGCAGCGGGAAGTTTCAAGTCGCTGGGAGATTCCGCATGCGCAGGAGGAAAAGACTAGGATAATAAGGCGCCAGGAGAGGGGCGCGGGCGACAGCAGGAACGTGGGAACAAGCCGCCAGGGCTGACTGAAGTTCACTCGGGGGGGTGGTTTGCGTAGCGGTCAGTGAGTGAGTGAGTGAGTGGTTGATGAGTGGGCTGGGTTGTGGTTGTTTTGTGTTGTTGTAATGGTGGTTATTGTTGTCCCGAGGAAGGACGGGGCAACCGAGAAGACACTTTCCCAAAACGAAGCTGGGGAGGGGCAAGTGGGAAAGGATAAGTAAGTAAGTAAGTGTGAGGTCGTGAAGAGGGAAGGGGAAGAGGGGAGGATGGGATGAGATGGAAAGGGTAGGAGGAGAGAAGGAAGTAGGAGGAAGGAAGAAAGCAAAAAAAGAAAACAGTAACAGTAAGAAAGAGGAGGAAGTCAGTAAGAAAAAGGAAAATGAGACAAGACAGACAGACAGCTTTCCTTTCATGGGAGGGTTTTTTGGACCAGGGAAGGAAAGGAAGTGCACTGGTGGGTAAATCAGTAACTATGTAAAGTACAAGTACAGTAAAAGCAGTAGTAGTTGGATTCCTAACCTGAAGGAACTTGAAGGCTGGGAGTGTTGTTAACTTGTTACTACTGTACTATCTGATCATTCCCCAAACTTTGACAGATTCTATATCATCATCCCCCCTCCCCAGCCAGCCTGCCTGGGATTCTCTCCTTCATGAATCTACATGAAGATCCACCCGATGATTCTCACATGAATGCCTTTCTCACAGTCTTCAGTGTGGTTGTGGTTGTGGTTGTTATTGTTATTGTTGAATCCCATCCTCTTCTGCCCGGGCACCCGCGCTGTTTGAGGATTTCCTCTTTCGTCATCATCCCCTCTTCCTCGATGTGGCTCGATGGCCCATCATCACCCAACTGGAAGATCCCCATGTAATTGTTTTTTTTATTTTTTTTTTAAATAAATCATGAAGATAGTAACTCCCTCCCCTCCTGCTCCTACTTCTCCTTTCCCTCCCCCCCCTGATAATCGTGTGGAGGGTGACAGTGCAGTGCCATGCCGTGCAGTCATGCTCTTTCTCTCTCTTACTGATCCAGGGTCCAAACCCTGATTCTGGGCCAGTGGGTTTTTCTGGACCCTGCTCTTAATTAATACTACAAGTAGGTAGAGTTTCTTTGCGTTACAGCCTTTGGGCCCGTGTAAATTACCTTACCACATGGCCCTCGTCACGTATTGTCCCGCCGAAGCCCGCCCAGGACCCCCCTTCTTCGTCCCCTCCCTCCACAATGGACCAGAGAACCCTCGAGCCGACGAGAGACAGAAAGAAAAGAGCCAGCCAGTGGCTAGATACCATCATTCTCTTTCATCGCGAGTGCAATCCTTTGTAGAAGAGAACAAGCACAGGCACGATAGGGGTTCCCAGAGGCAAGCGTGCCGTGGTTGTTACCAGCAATTGGTTGGATGGTACCTGGTGGCTAGTATAACACCGCTCCCCGAGGGAGTGAAGGAGATGCATTCCCATCCCTCGCCAGCATAACTGACCACATGAGGGTAATTTAGACTCAGACCCTTTCTCGCTCATGTTAACCACGGTCACAGAACATCAACTAGATTATGGAGTACCATTAGACTAAGTCAGTGCGTAGTGCGTACTCCAGCGAAGTGTTTCGACTTGGAACCCTGTTTCGAGTTGACATCCACTCTATATCTCAGACCGCCCCAATTGGCTGGTCCCGCGCCAGTGTGGCTTGCTTGCTTGCTTGCTTGCTGGGTGTCACCGCAGTAACAAGTACTGTACAAAAGACGAGCCACCGCTCGTATCCGGTAACGTTCCATACGACGATTGTTTCAGGGGGCGGGAAGCCCAGCCAAATATAGCAGCCTTGTGGGGGTGCAGTGATGCAGTGGGTGGATGAGCAAGACTTTCATCCAGCACCCTCCCAAAAAAAAAAAAAAAAAAAAAAAAAA